CCAGCAAGTTTATCCTTCACAACCACCATCCTTTTTTTTACCCACCCTCTTTCAGCGCCATCCAAGCTCTGCATGTCATCGCCGTGCCGACCAGAGCCAGTTATTGTGTTTATCTTGATAAATTCACAGCATCGTCATGGCGACGACCTTTCCATGCAAAGCGGAGCTGGCCGGCATGCCCAATGAGCTTTTATATCACATTGCCGAGAACGTTGAAGATAACAAAGACCTCAACTCCCTTGTTCAAACCTGCCGAGACTTTTACGACCTATTGAACCCTGAGCTCTACCGTCGAGATGCAAGATTGAGCGGGGCTTCCGCGCTCTGGTGGGCGGCTGAGAGGGGAAGCGTGGAGACTGCGAAAAAAGCCGTGGAGGCCGGGGCGGATGTCAACAGCGTGCGTACGATTGGGCTTCGACACAAGGAAACTCTGCTCCTGAGCACGGTAATCGCGCGGGCCCGGGCCAAGCTGATGAACAATGCGGCCAAGCGCGATGCGGTGTTTACGATTCTGGAGATGCTGCTTGAGAACGGGGTCAATGTGAACTATATGGAGGAGGAGACCGGTTTCAACCCCATCGAATCCGCCGTCATCGACGAAGACTATGAGGTCGTCAAGCTGCTGCTCGAGCACGGCGCGCAGATCCCCGCCGACATTTCGGGGCACGGGAGCTTCGCGCACATTTTGATCCAGTGGCCCGGCCGCGCACCGAGTTTTGAGCTGCTGGAGCTCCTGCTGACCCACGGCCTCGACGCGAATGCGAGAAACCAAAGCGGCTCCACGGCACTCCACCTCATCGCGGAGCGGCAGTTCAAGGAGGGTCTGGAGCCGGTGCTGGCGCTCCTACTTCGTCATGGGGCAGACATCCACGCCAAAAACGGGCAGAATAGGACGGCGCTGGAGCTTGCGATGGAGGAGGCTACGTTTGTTGCTGCGCAGGGCCGCACCAAGTTCGACGCGAGGGTGTTGAAGTTGTTTCTGGAGAGCGGCGCGGACACGTCGACTGTGATGAGGCCCCGGCTTCAGGTGGTGCGGGAAGCGTTTGAGGAAGTGGAGAAGAAACTTGGGCGGACTTTTTCGTTCTGTGGGTAGAAGCGCACGACGTCTTCAAAGGGAGGGAGGGGGTTCGAGAACGACTGAACGGGGGGACATTGGGGATATTGTTTTTGTTTGAACGGTGTATGATAGCAGAAAGCAGCATGCGATATCATCCAGCTGAAAATTCAAGCCGGCTCCAGGCCAGAATGGCTATTATTGGCATCATTTTATCGTAGACACACCGACATGTGGCAAGTCTGCACCTTCGAGCCCATCTCTCATCCGGGTATCTGCAAGGGGTCGACGGCAATGGCAGAGAGCGTTCCCAGCCATTGATGCGTTCCGGTCTTCCCAAACAGGGAATTTGGCAAGCAACGAGAAGGTGGCTCAGCAGCCTGTCATCCCGCAATTGTTCAAAAGCGATTTCGCGCTCTTGGCCTGGCGGGGGAATCCCTGCAGCCTTGGCCTGTCCAGTCTGACGTCGCATTTATTTTGAAGTCGATCAGATGGGTGATTCTTCGTATTTTTACCCAACAATTCGGGTCAGCAGGCAGCTTCGCCCGTTCGCTTTTCGTCGCGACGAGGATTGAGTCTTAGTTATAATTATTTTTAATTGTTGTTATTACAGGGTCAGAGAAGACGAGTTAAGTGCAGTAACTATACAGTACTTCCTGTCGAGCGGCTGTCTCATCACAAGTCGTTTGGCATGCCGCCCAACCTAGTCCAAGGGGTCAACCAGACTTGGCGGGTGAAGCCGGATAGGTTAAGGGACGGTTGGCGGGTGTGGCGCCGATGCTAAATTTAGACGGGTGGCCTGACTCGCAATGGCTCCCACGAGGGAATCCGGCACACGCAGGAGACAGCGGCGACACTACTAACTACTGCCGTGCGGCGTCGCACAGAATGATTACAGAAAACAATATCATGATATGATGAAGGAGGCCGACAGTAGAATCGTCATGCGGCACCCGCATGTTTCGACACACATGCAGGGCCTTGACGAGTTAACTTGTTAGTTAATTAAGTTAATTGGCTTCGCCAAGCGGGCTCGCTGTTGACGGCGGCGCTCGCGTGTTGAAACCTCATCGACTCGCAACTCGAAGTCGCGCGAGTCACGGTTGGGGCGGTGAAGTTCAGGGTATTCCGAGTAATTAGCAGTTAATTAGTCTTGTTCGTCGGTTAATGACATGAAGCTATGTATCCCGTGTTCCCCCGCCTGTTCCCTGTCCTGCTCCCTGGACCCTGGAGCGGTTCTTCACCAGGCCAACGGCGAAGCAGCTGCCCTCATTCGTGCGGCATCGAGAATGGTGGGTGAGGTCTGGCGAGGCTATGTCCGAAAGCTTCGCTCTTGTTTCCGGGGATTCTATCAGCCACAGGGTCTGAGACATCCATGATGCCGCCTGTGAAGAATTCCCCGACTGATCTCTGTGTTGCAGGCGGCCCTGAGGATTGAGGACACAATCCGCAGCGGTCGAGCATTTCATGATTGCTTGATCTAGAGAACCACAACATGCCAAAAATGCAAGTCATGGCCCCACGGGTATCCAAGATGGTGGCATTGGACCCTGCTTTTGCTGAATGTACAACTCGCTGCACAGAAGAGGCCCACAGAAGCATGGGGCAAGCGTTGGCCCCAGAATCCAGATTGGCCATCATTATTGGCGCGACGAGCTGCTGGTAGCAAGTAGAGTGGTGAGGGGTGGGACGGATGATCGACGAACCGGTGATGGGCAAGCAGCACTGCTCGACTCCTTGAGCAAGGCCGATTATTGATGATTCCAGAAGCTGAAGACTAAGAGGATGAGTGATGACTAAGGGCGAAGGCGTGGGCTATTTATAGGCCGGCTAGTCCGGATGGGGCATGGTGCAGGTGCTATTTTGGCGGCTTTTGTTCCTGATTTAGTAGTCACGAGAGTCGAGCGAGAGAGAACAGAGAGACCGAGGGAGAGAGGGGCAGACGGACAGGCAGAGGGAACACCATCCACCACCACCGATCCCCAAGCCACTCACTCTACAACGCTGTGGAAGCGGTGCCAAATGGTCGTTTCAGATCTGGTGTTTGAATCATGAACCCGTGGGCCAGCAGCAGCTCACGACGCTAGCGTCAACGGCCGTGAATCGACAGAATTGACTCGTCAATGGCCTTGAACTCTCTGGAGTCGACGCTGGCGTAGAGCAAACCACTGGACGAACGCGGTGTCAAGCTTCGCTGGGCGGCTCTCGCTCCGCCCCAACCTGGGATTATTTTTAAGCAGTGCAGCGAGTGCTTGCGGCTGCATGTCACCATGCTCTGAAGCCAGCGGTGTCAAGCATGTTTCAAAACCTCTCACAACACCCCAAAACCACGTTGACACTGAGCGTGGGACGAGTCGACCGCCAGGGGTGGGTGGTGCGTGAAGCCACTCAGCCTCTGCCCTGCGGCTAACTCGTCCAGGGATGCCAGGGGAGGATCTCCGATGGGTTGGCTTGCGATTCTCTTTGCTTTTTCGGCGCTGCTTCGTGCGGGCTTCTATTTTTGCACCCTGCAGCTCCTTTGCGCACTAATTCGATCGTGCATCGTCCAGGTCCTCGATTCATACAAATCGTCCCCACGGGCCGTCTTCAACTTATTTATTAACTCCCCATGGCTGGCCTTCGACTGCCTCTTGCTCCTCCCCGGTTCGCTTTGGCTCAAGCAACACTGAGGTTCGGTCTCGCTGCACTTGCTCCCCTCCACGACCGCACACAATGGCGACCACCCAGGCCAGTCACTCCCGGGACAGATCAATCACCCAATCCACCATGGCCCCAATGCTCGATTTCCAGCTCGCCCCGTCCATGGCGCCTTTTGGTAGCCACCCGATGCCCTTGAGCCAGCCGTGGGAGATGCCCATGCCCACAACCCTCAGCCGGCCGGAGTCGACGGCGAACGCGCTATCCAAAGACGTTGCGCTCTCCATTCGACGCGAACGGGAATTGCTCGAAGCCGCTGTGCCCATCACATACACCCCTGCGACGCACAGAATCAGCAAGGCGAAGAAGGGAAAACGCGTTCATTTCTGTCAATTCCCCGGCTGCCCAAAGGTGAGTGGTCCGCGATGCACACACGGAGTTATTTGCCCGCGAGCGGACTCCTGACGCTTGTCTCTGGCAGGTTTTCACAAGAGCTGAGCATCGACGGTACGCGTTCACAACCTCCCACCGCGCTCGACACACCTCCCAGAGAGAAGCTGACCCCCATCATCGCAGGCGCCATGAGCTGAACCACAACCCGCGGAGAGAATTCATGTGTTCGGTGGAAGGTTGCGGCAAAGGTTTTCACCGACACGACTTGCTCGCCCGTCACATCGAGAAACAGTGAGTCTCATCGCTTTCTCTCACTTTTTTCTCTTTCTCTTGTGAGATGGTAGGCTAGTTAGTTGACCAGTGCCTGTTTGTTTGCACAGCGATTCTGAAAAGCGGGCCCCCAGGCCATCATCCTCTCGTCGCCGGAAGACTAGTCGCGCCTCGACCGTCTCCGACAAAACTGCTTCGAATCCTACTCCGATCCCCAACCATCGATTGACCCCCGTCCGTCATACCCTCCCAGCAGCAACAACAACGACCACAACCACAATTCCCACTCCCACTCCTTCCGAATCACTCCCTCTTCCTCCGACGTCGCTCCCGCAATCTTATGCAGGCGACTTCTCAGCCCCGTTTTGGGGCCAAGCCGGAAAACCGCTGCAGAAGAACCAAACCGTCCCCCAAACCCCCTACCACCTTGTCGACGATGTGGGCCCCATTCTCCTCGCCCGCCAGTTCGCGCTCTTCCTCGTCGAACGGCAGCCCATTTCCCGTGTCCTCACAATTCCCCGTCATCGAACAGTTCCCCGAAGTCGTCTTTGCCCAACAGCTCACCACCTCCCCCACTCTCATGGCATCCTACCCCGACTGGACTCCCCTGGAAGCGGCGGTCACCCAGCCCCCGCAGATGTTGCCCTCCACAACCTTTGGGTGCGACATCCCCCAGACAGTAGGTGAACCTTCCCTTATCTGTTGGACATCCAGCCGGAAGGTTATTGACGGTCCTCCAGCCGTACCAGTACCCCTCTCCAACCTGGATGGAGTCGAATGGTTTGCTCTGCGACGCGAGCTTGCTTCCCCCCCGGAGTCGTTTCAGGCGATAATGGAATGGCAATAATTGACCTGGCCAAGTGGCAGGATTGTTTTGAGTGTTACTGGCAGCACTTCCACCCGCTGTTTCCAATCGTTCACCGGGCTTCTTTCTTTACCACGAAACCGAGTCCTTTGATGGCGGGGGCGATGGTGGCGATTGGATCGCAGTATGATCGTCGTCCAAATTCAAAAGAATATTCTTTGGCGTTACTTGAGGCTTGCCAAAAGATTTTGTCCAAGGTGGGCTTTTTCATCACTCGCCCGGCAAATGATAACAAGAGCTGACAGCCCATTTAGCGAGGCCCTATTACTAGTCGTTCACGGATATCTGATATCCAGGCGGTATTTTTACTCGAGATTTTGTCTAAAAATCGGTCGCGCAGGGCGGATGTCAAGGTCTCTCATCGACTGAGAACCTTGTATGGCAGTGTAAGCGGAGAGCATTAGTGCACGCACCTGGCCCTTTGCTTACATTCTTTGTAGTTTATTCAGGACAGCCATTGGGCATCACGGAACCCGCTTGCTGCATACCAGAGCTTACCTCAGAACCCAAGCCCCGACGATATCACCAACGCGCACAAGTCCTGGGTCGAACACGAAACCCGCAGGCGAGTCCTACAAGCTGCTTTCATTCTCGAGGTGCAGCAGTCGGTGTTGTTCCAACAACCGCTAGCAACTTTTCTCCAATCGAACCTGGACCCTGTGATGAGGGAGTATCGAATTTCCCCAAAGGTCGACCTCCCATTCCCATGTAACTCTGAGCTTTGGGAATGCGGCGATATCAATCAGTGGACCAAGCATGCCAAAGGTTATGAAGCACTGGTTTCTTCTACTGCTAGAGAACGGATTATCAAATCCACGGATGGCCCCGGTTTTGATCTTGACCCCTTTCAAGCCAGTCTTATTTTCAGCCAAACTCTACCTAACACAAGTGATTTGGAAGAGGTCATGGCGGTGTTTGTTGAGAAAGTTGCAGGCAAGATCGACCTAGCTGGTAATTATGGCCAAAACACGCGGTCGTCCTACATCCGGTTCATGTACCATGCCCACCTTGCAGCCAAGCACATCCCCCTACAAGCAATCTTAACCGTTAGCGGAGAATCCTGGCTTTTCAATCGCAAGGTTTGCGAGGCAGAGTTTCAGACAGCCAAAGAACGAGTGCGGACCTGGGCTTCGAACACCACAGAAGTGAAAACGGCATTGTGGCACGCGATACACGTTCTTCAATATACCGTTCATCATTCTGACTGCAGCAAGAGGAAAGCTTCAGTTCAGGGTCCACGCCGACCGAGTATGGATCAGCTTCAGAATGGGTACCTCAACTCGCCCGCCCCCTCTGCGGTTTCTACCAATTCCCAAGACCGCACTGCCACTGGCCCAACCCCTCCTTTCCTCCATAACAACAATACAACGTCTTTTCAACCACCCGCCGGACCCCTGACAATGCTCCAATCCAATTGGGTATTGTATATATGCCTTTTAATTTGCTATGCCTACGAAAACCGCGCCACTCTATCTAATAATCAATTAATCACGGCAAATCCTTCTCCTGTCACGCCTATTTCAACTGCGCCTCCGATGACCATGCATCAGTACATCTCGACCTTCCTCTCCTCTCCCTCCTTTTCTTCTCTCCACCAGTTCCTCCACCCGCCGGGGCCGCATCCCATCACCCCCGGCCACGACTTAACGGCAGTGATTGAGCATATTCGTTTTACTATTTCTAGAAGCGCGGGCGGTAATTGGAATGGCGCCGGCCTTTTGAACGAGGCCGAGCGTGTTCTGGTGAGATTGATTGAGCAACAACAGCGAGCACAGCAACAGCATTTTCAGCATTTTCAGCGTCAGCGTCAGCATTCGCATCAGGCGCAGCTCCAGCCAGCGTGGGAGTTTGTTGATTCGGGATTTTAATGTTTTTATCAGAAACTTGCTTGGAGTCTTATTCTTGTTGGGATAAAGATATGATTAGATGAGTTTGCTTCTTTTTCTTTTCTTTTAATTTCTTCTGCTTTTTTTCTTAGCTTCATGACCTGGTCTTGTTCCTTTATCTTTTTCTTGGGCATATGACGGGGAATAGACTCTTTGTTTGATTTCTTTTGAATATTACAACTTTTTTATTTTATATTTCTGAGCAAGCATATTACCTCTCTTCTCCTTTGGGCTGGGTAGCAATGCATGCATTTTCCTATTGGCGATTATTTACTTCTTCTTTTCCTTGAATTGTAATGTGCTATGCATAATGACTCTTGCGTTTCTACATTTGATGTGACAATATTATAGTAGCTAGGCACAAGCTGCCACCTCGGCTTCGGCTTTAGCTCAGCAGGATGTTTGGTGCCAAACTGTTTAATTATATTAGCCTGATTATAAGATAGGGGTTTATCATAAGTGTCTATCTATGAAATTATAGAATGACTTGGTTTATTTTATCTACCTTCTGGAGTTGAAGCCAAGCTCTTACAAGTATACTTCTACGTACAGAGTATCAGGCTTATGGAAGTCACTTGCCAAGCAAAGGATAAGGACGCCAGAGCCGCCTCAGAGCGGGTACAGTGTAGAAACCAGGCACCAAAATGTCATAAGGTGACCGAAAAGCTGTATGAGAGATTGGTTTGTATGTCAATTTGCATGTCCTTTACGCCATATGCGGGTATATCAAGAGACCAAGCTAACTATGCCAAATGTTTCCCGGTTCATCATATAGCCTCCAAAGGATTCGTTCTGCCATGAGCTCATCCGCATATGAAGGCAGCCTAACTTTGAGTCTCTCATGCCACTCTGGCACCTTGAAGGAAGTGTAATACACCTTTGTTAGCTCCCAATACTCTGGATACCAGCCTGCCAGTGCCCAGTCCACAACTCCCACAATCCTGCCATTGCGTATGATAATATTGCGCGGGGCTAAATCTGCATGGGAGAAGAAAGTCTGGTATTTCTTGTGGTGACAGGATGCAACTTCTTCTCCAAAGATCTTTGCTGTGTTTTCCAGGACAACACCGCCTCGTAAAAAGGAGTGGAAGCTGGCATGAGATTGAAATGGGCCGACAAGATGGCTACCAATGTGATAATCAAGAATAGCTCCACCTTGAGTAGATGCAACTACCCCTTCTTTTGGGAGGATGAAGTGCTCGAAGCTGAGCTAGGATAGCCACCATATCATTGACAATGGCATGCTTATCCTCAGGCTTCAACCGGCCAAGCAACCACAGAGTTTCAAGGTTTGTGCCCTGGATGTAATCCATCATGATATACATGCCGCCTGGTCCATTGTATGTACACCGGACCCGAGGAACTGGAATAGTGGTATGCTCCGCAATGTAGAGAAGTGCTTCAAGTTCTGGAGGATCGCACGGTCCTTTGATGACACGATTCCACCCAACCCTCACAGTGGTGGGACCCAATGATCCGAAGAGTGACCGGGCGGCTCTGAATCGAGTGTGAAGAATGGTGGTTTTCAAATCTAAAAGTCCCCCCGTCAAAGGACAACGGTTGGTAGTCAGCGTTGGGTCTTTTTCAGATGCTGGGGGCCTTGGGTTTGGCCGAACCTTGGAAGAATGTTACCATTTCTCTGCTACCGTTGGGCTGGAGGCTCAACAGATGCGAGATAGGCTTGGAAGTGGTGGTAAAGAAGACCTGCGGAGAACAGATGATTCTTGATTGATTGAGTCGTTCACATATCAGCAGCCTCAAAGGTGTGCTGTCAGTATCCTTTGCACAAAGTAACCCAGGCTCTTCATCAACAGAAGCCAAGTTTCTGGGCCAGGAACTTGAACCTCGAATACATCCAAATCTATCATGATCGCAAGTAAATGCACTGCCAGGTTCTATTACTTGTATTCTTCCAAGCTTCTCCCAAGGAACGTTCTCATTTATTATCCCAGATGAACTTGAATACATAACTATGCCAGCAGCAACCCAGAGCCAATGGTAGTTACAGGATAGTCCTCTACCCAAAAAAAGAAAACACCTTTTCCACTAGAAATCTACCTCCTCTCTATTTAAACCCATGACAATAAGAAAGAGAATTCAATCTACAATCCGTCATTTGAACTGCTCCTCCGTCACCCCCTTGCCCATTGCACTCGTACTGCTCACCCCCCCGGTGACCATCTTCAGCAACTCATCCACATAACTCGCCCCGCTCCACTTCTGGTGCGTCACCACATCCACCCCGTTCTCCATCTCCGGCTCCTGCACCAACTCCCCATATGCCCGCATCCCTTGCTTCGCATACGCCTTCGCAAACTGATCCGAGATCAGCGCCGTCGTGTGCAGTCCCGCCAGCGTGATGAACTGCCAGCAGTACCCCAGCTCTCCCAGCCGTCGGATGTACGTCTCCTGCTCCTCTCGCGGCATCGCGGTCTTCCAGTTGAATGAGGGGGAGAGGTTGTATGCCAGCTTCTGCTCGGGCCAGACGGCATGCACTCCGTCGGCGAATTCTTTGGCTTGTGCGTAGTCTGGCAGCTTGCTTTCCATCCAGATCAGGTCGGCGAAGGGGGCGAACGCGACGGCGCGGTTGACGGCGCATTGGCAGCCGCCTTGGTATCGGTAGTATCCCTCACGGGTGCGCGGCGCGTCCCAATCCCAATAGATTGCCGTGCCGAGAATCTTCTGCGCCGCAGCGCGCGCATCGGCGTTGCTCTTACCCTTAGTCTCACCCAGGAAGGTGGCGATCGCGGCTTTCTTGTCCACCACGGAGCTAGCATTGATCTGATCGATGACAGCATCCTGGAAGCGTTTGAGGCCGGCTTTGGCGGTCCAGTCGTCCTCGATGGCTTGGAGTTCGGCGCCATTCTTGCCCTCGCGCTCGGCGGCAACCATGAGGTCGTTTAGTGGGGGGACGTTAGGGTTTGTGGAGCCGACGACGAAGGCGTGGTCGCGCGGGTCGATGGTGGATGTGATGAGGGTGGCGGCCTCGGAGTCAGTTCTGGCGATAGCGAGGAGGTCGGTTCCTGCGGAAAGAGGTCAGATATGAGGATTTGTTAGGACGATATTTCAGGGGAGAAGCTCACCCATTATGTCAGCCTGTGCGCGAATGGCGACCAGGCGGTTGATATGTTCGCTGATTGGCACCAAGACCTTCCCAGCCATGTGTCCGCATTTCTTCGTCCCAGGGGCTTGGTCCTCAATGTGGATACCAGCAGCTCCTCTTTCAATGAAGAGTTTCGTCAACTTCATGATGGCAGTCAAACCGCCGTGTCCGGTGTCAGCGTCAGCGACGATGGGGGCGAGATAGTCGATGTTTGGAAGGGAAGCGCGTTTCTCTTTGGGATTGCGAAGCCTCTCTTCTCGTTGCTTTCGGTCGTGGAAGAGCTGGGCCATCCATAACTGATTGACCTTGTTGGGTACAGTGTTCTGCGGTCAACTCCGTCAGCGCTACTTTCGACAAATATTAGCCTCCCGACGCTTAGACTCACCATCGGGTAGTCGGCCAAATCTGGAGATGGCTCATCCGTTGAAGAGGCGGTAGAGGAACTTTGCCAGCCAGAAACATAGACGGTATCGAGATATTTGACCATCTGGGTCAACATCGTAGGTTCTAAGCAGCCATATGTGAAGCTAGCAGCTTTTGACTAATTGTTGTAATTGTCTTGGTCAGCGCTATGATCTTTCCATCACATCCTCGTAGAAGAATCGGGAAATACCTTGAACCTATCTTCAACAATCTTCCACAGCTTTTTGCTTTGCACATTTGAAGGATAATCGATTTTCAAATTTCCTCTTTTGGCGACAATCTGCTCAGCTGTGAATGGGCGTTTGGTATATCGCCATCTGGAATCTTTCCACCACTGCTTGACAGCTTCGACTTCTTGCCAGTATTGCTGGTCCTCCTGCTCGACTGACAACGGCATTTTGACGGAATTCTAAAGACTGAAAAGAGTGAATCTAATAGGCAGCAAGCTCTAGAAACAAGGACCACCGGGTCACTTTAAAGTCCTTCTATATTCCAAGGGGCAGAGGTTGACGACGCCACGAAAAGGAAACAGGATATAGAAGCTTCAATAGAAGCTAAACGATATGGACAAGTCAAGGGTATGTACTTGTGAGAAGCGGGTATATGCAGCGCAATGCAAAGAAGGAAGAGATCAGACGAGAAAGAACCTCAAGCCGGCCACCCATACATATATGCTCCAGGAATCAAATTCCGATGTGAGTCAAAAGGGCATTCTCCACGAAAAAAAAAATCATGCGCCTATGATGATTCCCCCGAGGCAAAACGAGCGCTAACTTGGCACAACCTTAATCGCTTTTCGTTCCCACAAGGCAAAAAGGGAGAAAGGGAAACAGAAACAGCTCGTTGCACAAGCGGCCAGCGTCCGAGCTGGGCCCCGGGTTATGGGCCTCCATTGGAGAAAAAGGTCCGGAGCTTGCTAGAATTCATACCCTGCGAATCAGGGACGAGATCGTCAAAGGAGGAAAGCTGCACCTGAGAGGCCTAGCGCGGTTCTGGCATGTTCCTTTTGGATTCTGGGTCTGGAGAGTGGCCGGGCCATGATTCTTATGGAAGTCTTTTTGAGGTTATGGGCGCAGGAGAATCCTCGGCCCAACGGCGGAGCCATGGCGAGCTCTGCGGATGCTTAATATTTCGGGAGATAGCCGTCAACCTCGCACAGAGTGCCTTGCGCACATGGCATCTCCTGCTTACCCTCGAGCAGTAAAGCAGATGGGCGCCATCGCAAGTGTGTTCTGGAGGTCGTTGAGCAGCCGAGAGCGCGTGTGGTGGCGATGAGGTCAGCGGCCGACGATGCCCAAGCGGGCTTAGCGCCGTTACGGTGACGGTAAGATTACACGGAGACCACCCGATAGCAGGTGCAAACAGTGCAAACGCATGTGAAGTGCAGCTCACATGACATCACCGCTGCGGCCGCTTTTCATCTGATCTTTTTGGCAGCTTCAGAAGAGCTGCACCGCACTGCTTGCCCTGTTTTCACGGAGTTTGGCCGAGCCCGGAGGTCACGACAGCATTGTTGTTGTGAAATCATGGTGAGAGGGAGTACCTCGGCCCCAAGCCACGCAATGCATTGATAATGAGCGCGGAAGCACTTTTGCGCAAGCCAGATCACTGTCCTTTATCTAGAAGGTATGCAGCATGTTTGAACTATACAAACAGGTGTCTCTTCCCCGGAGACGCGTTTTGGTGTTTACTTTCAGTTTTGTGTTGAGCACTACATGGCCAGTGATACCAAGAAACGGACTTTTCAACTAGTTATACACTTGCTATGAATAGTTACATACTTGGCAAATTAAAAGTAAGATATGAAAAGAAGACCAGGCTAGCGCTTAGAATACTCACTGCAAAACTTTGTCGCATGATATGCACTCCGAACCAGGAGGCATGAAGGGCTCTGGTTGAATCTTACTCCTAGGCCATCCAAATGAAGGCGTCTTGTCTAAGCTAAAGGTCCCCCTTTCTTAATTTAGTTATTTATTTGGTTATAAGCACGAAACAATTATGCTCATTTTCCAAGTGCGCGAAGAGTCTGATAACTTGATTTTGGCAGTTCCATCCCCTAAAATATCCACCAGTTTATATAGCCGCAAGCTGGGGACTGAATTTCTGAGCTGCCTACTGCTCTAGGAGTGTGCCAGCACTAATGGACCCCTTTCCCAAGTCTCTTGACTCTTTCCCCTTGAATTTTCCAAACGTTTCTTCACCTTCACATTTTCTAAGGGGAAAAAGTTGAAAGAACCGGGCAATATTTTCTGGATACTTTACCATGGGGTTTGAGTGCAGCCGTTGGTTCTAATAGGAGAAAATATATAAAAGAGCTAGCATAAATATGGGCCAGTTTCCCACTCCCCAAACCCGCAGCTCCCGAACTGGTCATCGAAACCCGACACCCTACGGCTTTTTGGCGCTTTCTTTGTCCTCAGAAGTTACGACTATGCTTGAGCACTGCAGGACTTGCCTATTCCCCTTGGCCCAGGTCGCCTGTTCACTTTTGACGGTTGATTGGGTGCCGCCTTGTACAAAAGTTTACGTCTAGGAATCCTGAGCAATTTATTTAGCTCCGTAGAGCAAGAATCAAATTTAGGAGGGTGAGAAAGTGCGCCAACAGACGGGGTTCACATTTAGGTACATATGGACGGTAAAATGGGATACAGAATTGGTTGTAAATAGAACAAGAGCATAAAACTTGAGCAAACAGCATACTCCACGGTTTGAAAGCAAATCACCCTGTTTGCTGTGTACATGCACCCTGGCATCGTTGACGCCACCTCGCCGTCATTCTCCTTTCCTATCTATTTTCTATGGTATTTTCACTATGTCCGCCTCGCACCTGCTCTATACACTAGTACTGCAATGCTGTGGCCTTGCTGAACGTATCATACGGAGTACATGCACCAAGGGCTCGTCTCATATGGGCGTTCAAGAACTGGAGGCCATAAACGAAACTCGCGTTGACCCAACCAAACCTGCGGAAGCATAATTAGCAACAGTACATACGACCTTTGATCAAGAAGCATGGACTTACCCTTCTCTCGAAACACCTTTAAAATCGCTGCCCTGATTTCCATATTCAGCGTCCACACGATGCGGATCAATTGGCCTGGTAACGTCATATTTCTCTACCACCGCCCCGTTGAAATCAACAAACGCTTTTGTGATCATATACAGCCATTTATAAGCCAGTGCCTCAGCTTCCTCTTGGTATCCATAGCGCAATAAGCCTGTCCATGCGAGCATCTGCTGTGGTGCCCAGCCGTACGGATAGTCCCACTGACGGTTCGGACGGTCAATGTCAATGACCCCTCTAGACTCTTCGGTACCGGATACTAAACCGCCGTAAGCTTGAAATTTTGGAAGGGCTTTGCTGACGAGAATCGACGCTTGTCGTGGAGTTGCAACGCCGGCCCACATAGTCCAAAACGTGGTTGCGCTTTCGTAGGTGGTCATTTCCTGCTTCACGGTGTCGTAGTCGAAGTACATGCCTTTGTCCTCATTCCACATATATTTATCGATCAGAGCCTTTCTACGCTTTGCCCGGCGGTCCCATAACGCCGAGGACTCAAACTCCTTCGAATCGTTGCCTTTGGTACGAAACTCCGGGGGAATATAGAGTTTGTCTTTGAAGTGATCACGGATCGTGCGAGCAATGTCAACCTCATACTTGTACAGCAGGCAGTTCAAGTCCACCGTGGCCAAATTGGCGCACACTTTCTCAAGACGGTACGATGTATCGTGACCCGATTCTCGAACAGCTCTGTCATGTAAGAAATACTCATCCAACTCAGGGATCTTGAGCTCTCCACTATCATATGCTTGGACAAATTGATCAAAAGACATGCCGTGTTCTTCAGCAAAAGGAGTGAGAATATGGTAGAAATGTGTCGGTTCTGTCTCGGGAGGGACACCAACGCCGCCTGGTCGGTACCTTGACAACCCAGTGACGGGGTCAAGCCTTGGCTCTGACATCCAGACACTATAGTATTCTTTGATTGCGGATAACATAGCCTGGCGAAGAAATTCAAGCGAGTCCGGCTCCGGTTTGATTCGCTCGTAGACTCTCAATGCCATATCTGTGAGGAATGGGGGTTGCGAGCGGCAGAGATAGTACGAGCGATTTGCGTTGAGAATTTTCCCGTAGTGCTTGATGCAAAAGCAGAAATTAATCACCATATTCTTTGCCAGATCCACCCGGTCAGACACAATAAGCCCTAGGGATTCCATATAGCTATCCCAGCCATACAATTCATTGAATCGTCCACCTGGAACCACAAATGGCACACCTCGTAAAGTCGGTTTTCCAGTGATTTCATCGGTATACTCCTCCATAGCCAAGGCTAAAAGCCCCGGCTTATCATTCAGGTCCCTTACGAATTCAGGGGTAATCTCCTCCTCTGGGGGAAGAAGCTGAACGTCTAAACGCAATTCCGGTCGTAATTCCGCGATCCCTTGGTAATACTTGTACTGTTCTGGGGCTCCTGGAGGTACATATATTCGAGGCCGGGGGTCATCCGTCCAATCTTTAGGGTCTTTTCCCACAACATCAATGTTCGACCCGTCGATCCGCCGCGTAAGAGCTTTCCAAAAGGAATTCGTGATCAAGCGGGACAAACGGCTGACTGGATTCTCGTTAAGACGCTGCTCGTCGAGTATAATGTGCTTTCGTCTATAATCCTTCGCGATTGTTAATTCTTGAAGAAGGTTCGAGAGCATGTACGTGCCCCGAAGATCGAATCTGTTGAACCCAGAGGACGCGGCAGTACCGACGGAAAAGACCTGAGGGGTTTTGTTATTTAGTTTATATATTGGATACATTAGAACCAACTTTGTTGAGCATACCTTTGGCCCTTCATCCTCGATTGTAATCTGCATGTTTCTGTCTGTATCTTCCCTCTCCAATAACCCCTCCAAGGTCGTATCGACATCAATCAAAAACCTCCTTGTATGTGAAAGCTCATCTGACAAAAGTCCGTTAGTACGAGTCCGCGGATATAATTCTCAGTTTACACAAGAGCAATGCAGTGGGCGCACCGTGACTGGATCTCCTCCCGATAAAGCTACTGATATCGGTCAAATCGAACCTTTTCAAAGTCTAAAAGTACAAAGAAGCGTCAGTATTCGACCAGTCAATCTAGATTTATTATGATTGTAGGTGAATATAAACTGACCGCGGATTGTGCTCGCTGATGTATCCGTGCATGTCTTCCCACCGCCTTCTCGTTGCCGCCATAATAAATGTCTGGGTCGGAGAACGGATCAATACTATCAGAGCTCGATCGCGAGTGCCTCGAAGCCCCATGTGACGAACTCATCATACAAGATATTTGTATCTGGTGTGTTTGGGCTCTTTGTTGAGGTGGTGGTTGCTAGGTAGTTTCTAAACGTTTCGATTTCGAAGCTATGACGCACGGATGGGGAACCCGGTGATGACAGTCGGTGAGTCGAATTCTGGGGTTGGATTTCGAGGAATTCTAGTATTTCAAACGCAGACAAAACGCAAGACTGTCCGCTATTGTTCGAGAAGCTGGGAAACGAACGAGTTTCACTTTTCGAGTGGCTCCCAGAGCAAACAAATTCTGGCCGCTTTTGTGTGCGAGTCAAGCCGCCGAGACGAGATATCAGGCCGTTTCAGCACGGGTACGGCAGCCCACTAGATTGTCTGAAGTGCTCAATGGCAAAGATAACTAATAGTTACAACAATTTAGCTTCTTGGGATCAAATTGAATGTGAAAAGTTGATGGAAGGCGAAAGACAATCTCAGTCCTTTAGTGCCAACGATGATGCGTGTACCGGGTACTGCGATTAATGATGTAGGTCGACTCCACCCGGTTCTGCTCTGATCAAGAAAGCTGTTCTTGTGTGCTATTCCTCCGCAAAACATGGATCATTGGGTTTCTTCACTGTGGGGTGTCCTACGAGCGATCAATACCGGGAGCTACGATCGTCAAGCCATCCCGTCGATGGTGCGTTTCAAGGCTCACGAGACTCTTTTCCATAACTATGCAAGTACCAGCTACATTTGGAAGAGGATCGATTCGCCACATCGTGAACCTTTTTCAGGATTAAAGCTGATTGTGCTTAGGATCATGAGCCTCTTTGCCGCAAACCCTGGGCTGGTTTTGCCTCAGGGCAAGAAGGCCAGCCTGTGTAGGATTAACGAGAACCTGGTCATCAAATTGGAATTGCAACTATATAACAACGGATTCTAAAATCATTCATAAACTACAATTTCGCTGCAATAGCGCTACCTCCATCCACCGTTATCGTTGCGCCATTGACATATGATCCTGCTCGGCTGCTTAAGAATAGACAAGCACCGGCAACGTCCTCTGGAGTGCCGATACGGTGGAGCGGAATACCAGCTTCTATGGAATCTTTAAACTTCTTGAGCGTAGCTGCCATCATCTTGCTCTCAAATGGGCCACAGGCAAGGGTATTCGAGCTGCTTTTACTTAGTGTTCTGGTAGAGTAAGCGCGTGGGGAAGGAATACTGACGTGATGTTCCGCTGGCCCAAATGATGGGCCCAACACACGACTGAGGTGGTGCACGCCCGCCTTGCTAGAGCTGTATGCAAATGTTTCGAGGGACGGAACACGAAGACCGTCAATGCTTCCGATGTTGATGATTCTCGCTGGGTCCATGGGTTTGGCTGCTTTCTCTAACAGCGGAGTAAATAGCTGGGTGACGTCGAAAACTCGATGGAGGTTGAGCGTCAATACGCGTGTCCAGGCAGCGGATGGGTATTCATCGTATGGAGCCCCCCAGTTGGAGCCGGCATTGTTCACCAACACATGGAGCTCTTGCAGAAGGGTCAGCATCTCTTCTCGAAATAAACGGGAGACTAACTATCTTCTCTCTTGGAAAATTCTTCAAACAGCTTCTTGCAGTCTTCTTCCTTGTAGAAATCGGCTCTGATGGCGTGTGCTTTGCCCTTGCCGAGAGCATTGAGTTCGGCACATGCCTTCTCACACGCAGCTAGGTCGCGAGCCGTGATGTAAACGGTAGCACCATTTGCAACGTAGCCCTCAGAGATCATACGACCAATCCCTTTCGCACCACCGGTGACCAGCACGATTTTGCCCTGGACAAAACTCAGCAAGCGGTTGGTACTCGCCAAAGAGAGGACGACACACCTTGACGTTGAAAAGCGATGAGGAATCCATGATTGAGCTGGAAAAAGACAAAAGTACGAGTTCTCCTCCAAAATTGTATCGTGAATCGAGATGTGCAAGAGAAAGTCGAGGAAACACAGGCGCCGGCGTCCAGCTCACCAGCCGACGCTTCGGGCTGCAAGCTCTCCGCACAGCCGAGGCACGACGAGAGGCTTTGGCGCTTAGATAAGAGAGTCTATTTTGGGGGCGGAGCCGGGGGAACAATCCACCGCTTCTTGTGGGGGCTGACTAATGATGCCAGCCTTTCCCGGCAAAAGCAGGCACCGCAGCTGGAGAACTCCTCAGTGTCGGCGGGATCGCACTTGTGCTCTTCTACTCTCAGGACCGGAACAGATGGAAGACCTCCAAGCTAAACACCGCAAGGAACAGCGCGACCTCCAAGCCCGCATCACCCAGAAGAAAAAATCCGCAACCAAAAAAACCCGCAAGGGCGTCAATGATGAATGTGAAAGTTGGCAGCGTGAGCTTTTGGAGCGCCAGCAAGCTGAAATCGCGCAGTTAGATGGCGACCCCCCTGCAGAAGATCTCGATGACTTGAATATCGCCGACGACAGCGAAGCTGCTGCAACCAGTGATGGCCTAAGAGACGCGGACTCGAAGACTGCTTCACCCGCGCGTTCAACCACCCCTTCTTCGAGCACCCTTCCTTCACAAACCGGACCCAAAAAGCCCAGCAGGCAGAAAGCCCGTCTTGCCCGTCGCGCCGCGGAACGCGAAGCCGATGCCGCTGCTGCCGCGTCGGAAGCCGCAAATCAGGTTGATCGCCGGAGCAATGAAAAGGAAGCTATGCAGGCTGTTTTTACGCGTTTGGCCCTCACGGAACGAGATATCGCTCCTGACGGACACTGTTTGTACTCAGCAGTCGCGACGCAGTTGGCTGAAGTCGGACTGGGATTGAGGTCCGCGGGGTCGAAAAATACCGAGGACCTTGGTGCTGATGCGGGAGAACAAACTTCCACGTCCAAAGTTGATGGGTACAAGTCTGTGAGGCAGGTGACGGGGAAGTACGTGCTGGCACATGCGGATGACTTTTCAGCATTCATTGAGGAGCCATTAGACGAGTATGCGCGGAAGATCATGTTCACTGCAGAATGGGGTGGGCAGTTGGAGCTGCAGGCGATGGCGAGGGCATATGGCGTGGAAATCAACGTGATCCAAGGTGACGGACGGATTGAGAAGTTTGAGCCAGGTGATACCAATGACGAAGGCGAGAGGAAGAAAATATGGCTCGCATATTATCGACATTCCTACGGGCTTGGAGAGCATTATAATGCTTTGTCCCAGGCGGCTTGATGCCAAAAGAGCAAATTCGATTTTGCTATTTAATTTGAAAATATTATGTACAGCAATGGGAGAGCTATGTGCAAATCTCACTGAGAGCTGACTACGAGCGTCATGATGCAAAACGCTTTATTGCCAGTACAGGAAACATGAGACTAATTCCGCCGGCGCCAAATCGAAACCCAGTCTAAAACATTCCCGCTGTCGTCCATACCAACCGTATGGGTTCGCTCAGGCTGCCAGTGAGCAACACGCTCGAGCCCCTTCTCGCTCGGTTGTTTAAGGGGACTAGGCTTGACGTAGCCTTTGTCGTCATATGCAACGTCTTCCCCGGGATGACTGAGATGTTCCATATACATTGCCGGCGTGGAAGCGAACGGTGGCCCCAAAGTGGCAGGATCTTTTGTGGTTGGGAATTCAAGGCAGATGAGATTCCCGCGGGGCGATGGCGCGAGCAATTGAGAATGGCGGAGTGCCCATTGTGGTCGCAGCGTTGGATTTAATGCGCAGAAAAACTGCAAGGATGTTGTTCGTCAGTTCAATTGATTCAAGGTGCCGTGAGCGGGTAATCTAGCAGGAACCCGTTGCGACGATTCCGCTTCCTTACCGTATAATCATAGATCAAATCAAAATCTCCCTCTGCCAGCCCAGCGTCTTTAAGCCAATCATCCTTGAAAAAATCCCCCTGCAAGAAAGTGACCTTCCCACTCCCCACCTTGTCATCCCTCGGCGGCACCCTCCCGTTCTCCCCATAATACTTCTCCGTCTCCTTCAAACACACCTCCAATGCCGTGTGACTATACTCTAGTCCGTATGCATCATACCCAAACGCGGCCAGCAGAAACACATCCACTCCCCTCCCACATCCCGGAACCAGCGCCTTCTTGCGGCGCCCGTCGTCGAAAACGGCAGGCCCGAGGAACCCACGTTTCTGGACCAACGCGTCTTCGAGGGCGGGATTGTGTGCGCCGCGGTCCCAGGGGGTGCGGGATTCTTTCCATAGATCGTCCCAGACTTCGCCTTGGTTGCGGCCCTGGAGGTCTCTGAAGCGGTCGCTGAGGCCGGCGGTGCTGCGAAGCATGTCGTTGGACATGGTGTCGGTGGTGAGGAGAAGTAGAGCTGGCGGTGGGGCTGGTGGTGCTTGTGGCGGAGGGGGAATCTGACCGTGGTGACCGGGGTCTATATGTAGACGGATGGCGGAGGTGGTGCTTGATTTCTGGCGGCGATGATGACAAATCGGGGACCTTGAAGTCGCCGATCTAGAATTCGAGGTGAACAGAAGCTAATTGATGTGTGTGCTTTTTAGAATTGGTTTGAAAGCTTTTAGCCGGAGGTGCGGAATACCAGAATGCTTGGGGTCAAACGATTGTTGAATCTGCATGGATTGGGCTGTACGAAGCCTGGAGCGTCTCGGCCCCATACCGCGCGGGACATCAAATTGGCCCTGGGATGATGGGCTGGCTAGCTATATTGGAAGAATTGAAGAAAGGGAATTGTACAGAGCACTTTGTAATATTGTTTGATCTCAACCGCAAGGATCCCTTGTGCCCTTGTTAAGCGCGGGGTGGTTGCCAAACGCAACGTCATCCCATAGTTACCCTGAGTGATAACATTTAACTAACACAAGCTTTCTAGTTAACCCTCCAGAGTAACGATGGGAGACCTTTCCCTTCCTCTTCTTCCAACCACACCTTGATAGACAAGCAGGTATTACCTCAAAATCAATCTGTTAACTCCTTGAGCTTTGAGACATCTAGTCCACAGATTTGACCACTCTTTCTGGCACAAAAATCACCCACTTCACGGGCCACATTCATCACAGTGCCACTCTCAGAAAACCAGGGTTTGTCCGCAAACCACTTATGGCGGCCTTTGCTAACAATCGCTTCAAGAATGAGTCTTCTATAATCAACATTAGGTGCTGAATGCAGTTCAACTAGCCAGGGTACAACAATCGGGGAGTCTGGGCGATTCGGATTTTAACGCCTCGAGAAAGCTGGTACGGTCAAGTTGCATCATTAGATATGATGCGAGTTCAATTGAATCCTCTACCGCTAGAAATCGAGGAAGACTAGTAGCAAGCTGGAAGGGTTGATAGCTGCTAAATCCCCAATCAATAACCCTATGAAAATAAGGTCAGCGATGCCGTGGATGGCAAATATAAGGTAAATCTCACCCCGTGATGTTGTACTCTGAATCCACAATGATATTCTGGGGTGACAGATCACCGTGCTCAATGAAGAATGGAGAGTCCTCCAGCATTAGGTGGAGAGCATTCTGCAGTGAATTTCGCAAATAGAAACAATGCATGACACTGATTTCGTCAAGCTGGCCTTGACATATTCGGATAATTTTCTCATCAATTTTGTTTGCAAAGTACTCGAAAGTTGAGCCACCTGGCAAGGTCAGCGTCTGCCGATATTTATGGATTCTAAAGTCCACAAACTTTTACGTCGTTGTGTGCAGGAAATGAGAGATATCATCATCTTCGGCATCTGGCTGAGGACCCTGTCGCGATCCGCTTTTTTTGAAGGAGAGGTTGCTGTCCAAACCAAGGGTTGCCTCTCAAGTCTGTAATACTGTCAAGGTTGACAACTGGATGAATGGCAGCTATAATCTCCGTGTATATGTCACCGTCAAAGATTCAAAATCTGTGAGTATTTTCCACTCCCCTATCACGTTGGTAAAGGCCCTTGTCTAGGAACAGTGGTGAGAAAGTCAGATGGGAAGCAGGAGCATAGGCGTGGCTGCATCGGAAGTGCCCTTTGGTGACAACCCCAAAGCGTTATGGATTTGCTTTGTCAGTATGCCCATTGAATATCTGACTCTGCGCAGTTCACACAACCCATGAACAATTCCCGTTCTTCCTTCGTCTTTTCCACCGCCTCCGTTGTTGGGTAACGGGTTTGAGTATTTCCAGCCTCTCGTTTTTTTTCCACCAAGTTTGTTTTAGCATAAGCTCATCCTTCCCAATGAGCGTCATCCATATCCGATTGTTGAATACATGGAAGAGGAGGAGATGCTTTAAGTCAGTGATCCGGGCCTCGTTCGCATAGACCCGTTCACACGCATCCCCTCAAGTCAAACCCATGCAATGGACCCTATATTTCGAATTTCATACAATCCACCCTCATCGCAAACCATCTATGACAAGAGAACCTCTGTGAAGTCTCGGAGTCCAGCCGCGGTTCGATTCCGGCTATTACTTAATCCCGGGACAATGAGTCAGCGATTCGGCACTTCTGCTGCTGCTGATTGGGCAAAACTCAACACTCGGAAATTCGGCACGGTGTGGCTTGGGTCTATCCCGAGAGGGAATTTGATGCCGCCCGTCAAAATGATATCACAGCGGGAGAATGGGCGGCAGAGCGTGTATACATACTCTATCAGCAATATCAGAACTCCGACGCGTGTCATCAGAACGGTGAGCTTCTCGAGTCAAGTCAGGCGATTTTGACTACAAATCGATAGCTTTCTCCCGGTATCATGCACGGCTGTCAGGGAGGCGTCGAAAGGCGATCATTGGCTCCAAACTCCCCCTCTGCATTTTGTTCGTATGAGCCCCCAAGTTGCCTTGATCCGAGAGGCCGTCTGGTGCCGGAAACTAGACCAGAAAGGAACCCCCGCTTCAACCTTGATTTGCGAATTCTTTTTATCTGATGAAGTTGTCAAGGCTGCTATTAAACAAGGCACGGTTTTGTTGAAAACACGCTGCAATCTCTACGCAAGGCGAGCCAGAACATATATCTTCTCCGGCATACTCCTCAAACTTGCCGCTGGATTTATATTTCTAATGACTATCGGCATATCAACAAATTCCCACAGCCAGATCCAGCGTCCAACCGCGGCCATGTGGAGCGGGCCATCTCTAGTGCCTCAGCCAGACAATCCTAATAAATCTTGGCTATTTTCCGTTCTCCAGTTCTCCAGAGTTTTTTATTTTCCCATTCTTCCACTTGACTTCATTCGTCTTTCTTTCTAATTGCCTTTGGGCCTTTCTCGCCCGCCGTATTCAAATATCTCCAGACCGCTCGTGTCTGTTTGAATGCGCATCTTGCAGGCTCAAAGTGTGATTCCCGAATTGAAAGACCAGGTTGCACCTATGGTGGAAAAAGGAGGGTAGGATTCGAAATGATAATTGCATTTTGGATTGGCGTTGTGTTTGATTGCCAAATAATACCCTTTTATAAGAATATAACCAGGAACAGATCTCAGGGACGGACGTCTTTCCATTGAGCCAGATTGCAGTATGGTTAACATGGTGCATGGGGTGAATCGATACCGCTGTATATAAATATTCACCCCCATCATGACTGACTCGGAGAAAACCACGGCTAGGGCCGTTAGCCTTGAAATGGACGAAAGAACCACTGCAATCGAAACTCCCTCAGACGCATCGAAGAAAGAGGAAGAGTCAGGAACAATCACATCTGAAAATAGGAGTAGCAGGGCAACATCCGTCCACACAACACTATCGGTCGAAGAGCCCGACGACAACCTGGAATTAGGCCCCGTCACGACCGGGGCCAGCATCACTCCTCCTCCCGTTTCGGTTCCGATGAGCAGACGGCGTGGCCTCTTAGCCCAGCTAGCAATGATACCAGAAGTCGAAGAACCGAAACATTACCCCCGAAGGACGAAATGGTTCATCACCTTCATCATCGGTGTTGCCGCTATGGCTGCACCCATGGGAAGCGCTATATTCTTCCGTTCGTGAGCCCCCAGACTCTCGTTGAATGTGCAAACACGCGGCTAACTCTTCAACCCATCAAACAATAGCTGCCCTTGGCCAAGTTGCCGAAACCCTGAATGCCACCCCCACAACTACCAACTTGTCTGTGGCCTTGTATATGCTTAGTATGGGAATCTTCCCGCTATGGTGGTCCTCGTTTAGCGAAAAGCTCGGGCGCCGAACGATCTATCTCGTTTCCTTTGCGCTATTTGTCCTATGGAGCGTCTTGTCCGCGATTGCCAACTCGATTGGGATGCTCATCGTGATGCGAATGTTGGGAGGCGGTGCTTCGGCATCAGTCCAAGCAGTTGGCGCCGGCACTATCGCAGACATTTGGGAAGTAAAAGAAAGAGGGCGGGCGATGGGTATCTTTTACCTTGGTCCGTTGTGCGGGCCGCTTCTAGCACCGATTATCGGTGGTGCTCTGTCCCAAGCATGGGATTGGCGAAGTACACAATGGTTTCTTGCCATATATGGCGGAATAGGATTTCTGCTCCTGCTATTTGGCCTCCCCGAGACGTTAGCTCGACCGAAGAGAGCACCTCCCGTGACAGAGCCACAGAATCCTGTAGAACGCTCATTGAGCCGAGTCTCCTCTCGCCAGGTAGTGCAGGCAACCGCCAAATGGCTGAAGGTCGCGCGAATAGTGCTCATCGACCCGCTCAAGATTTTACTTTACCTCCGCTTCCCCGCTGTACTTCTGACGGTGTATTATGGCAGCATTGCGTTTGGATCTTTATATATTCTGAACATCAGTGTGCAGGATACCTTTAGCAAGGAACCATATGGCTTCTCCATGCTGATTGTTGGCCTGCTTTACATACCCAATTCCATGGGGTATATCATTGCTAGCCTCCTTGGTGGTCGATGGATGGACAAGATCATGCAACGAGAAGCTAGACGCGCCAACCGATTGGACGAGAATGGGAAACTAATTTATCGACCCGAAGACCGCATGCGTGAAAATGCATGGCTGGGTGCAATGATGTATCCGCTAGCGCTCATTGTATATGGGTGGACTGCCGAGAAGGGAGTCTACTGGCTCGTCCCGGTAAGCATGGCCCTGTTTCGACCGAGTTGAGCGGCATCTAACCAAGTTGAATTGCAACCTTAGATTATTTGCAACTTTTTCTTCGGCCTCGGCTCGATGATCATCTTCAGCATGTCCACCACCATGCTCACTGAATTCATGCCCAAGAGGTCCTCCTCTGGCGTTGCGGTGAACAACTTTATGCGGAACACCGTGTCCTGCGTTGGTGGTATCGTCACAGCGCCCATCATCAGCGGCATTGGGAACGGCTGGCTCTTCACGATCATTGGGGTGGTGGCGTTGGCAAGCTGCTCAGTGATCTGGGCGATGAAGAAGTTCGGCCCTCAATGGCGCGTATCGATGGATGCAAAGTTGGGGTAACCAACTTGCTCACCCCTAATTATCTGCCCAAGTTTTTTCCGTCTTTATTCCATCTTGTGAGGCTTTTCTTTCACCACCCGTGTAGCGGATTATGGTTCCCGGCCTTCTTTTTCTTGGATATATATCAAAAATTGCCATGGCGCCGCAACGAAATATGTTCCACGCTTCGCATTCCTGGAGTTTGAGCCTTGATTTTTATTTTTTTCCGGGTGTCCGAAACCTTTGCTGCCTTCTTTTCAGCCGAGCTCCACGCAGACCCAACTTTTGTCCCCGCAATACCCAGTATCTGTTGCTTATTTCATGTGCATAGAGACGGATAACGAATCGATAGAATTTTAAGCCATAAACCTCGCCACTAGTGTAGTTTGTGATGGAGAAGTGAGAACGATCGCCACTTGATAAACGGGCTGCATCGAATTTCCATCACGGACGATCAACGTCAACCACATGGCTCGGACCAGATTAGCGTAAATCTTACCAGGGGAGCGGAAAAAAGATAGCAAACACTTATCAGAAAGGCATGTCGACTTTGGTTCCCAGGGCGCCAAAGTGAAATCGAACCGCACTCGGCTGAATGGCTGCATGGGGGACCGTGCGACGGGTAGTTAGTTACCTGGGAAGAAAAAAGAACTCAGCGATTCGGGCAGCTCGTAGTCCAATTGGTCTTTGGTGAACATTAACATAGACCCAAAAATCGGGAGATCGCATGCAGTTGACGGAGGAGTTCGTTAACTAATAGTGAAGTCAAGAGTCGCATTCCATGTGCCCGTTATCAAAGCGGCGTTCGGCCAGCCCCAACCGAGCCGTCAAGGTCCGCCCCAAAGCAAAAAACCTCGCCCTGGATCCCCTTCCCTCGCCGCCGCGTCCAGACTCTGCTCTCAACCCGTCCAGTTCAGGGTTGTGGTTCGCCAGAATCGCTGCGGCCAAGCCATTCTAGAGTTCGCGGCATCTGCAGAGGAATCCTCGATGGCGGCCAGCGTTTAAAGAACCCAGTTGTTGCTGAAGCGAAAAAAATAAAGGCGCCGAACCCCATCTCCCCTCCGTCTTCCACCACTGGCCGCATCCCCTTTTCTCCAAGTTAAACTCGTATTTTATTTTAGTCTTTCTTTATAGTCATTTTTTTTCTTCCCGCTGCGCTCGTTTAGCTACGGGTTGTTGCAAACAACGCGTGGGCTGCAGAATAGGGGATGAGCTCACCGGGCAATAGCGCGTTTGTCCTCAAAGCACCTCTCGGATGCGTGTCCCAATTGCAGTGCAGCTGGCCGTCCTGGTGCTCTTCCCGTCTCTGCTGGGCCTAGCTGTCATCTCCGTTGCCATTGTAAGACCCTCCTCACTGCCAGAAGTGCGCAATCGAGTTAACCGGATTGTTTTAACCAGTGGATCAATAATTACAATTTCGTTGTTGATGTCAAGTAAGCTATTACTCGCTACCCAGCTCCTGTTTGCGCCAATGCACTGACTAGCATCCGCAGATCGCAAAGCATATCGTCAACAGCCGCCCTCAAGGCAAGCCAAATCTCTGGCGACCTTGAACTCGCCCAGTCAGCCTCCAAAACCGTCGCCTCTCGCATCCTTATCCAGGCCGCCTTGAAACGCCTCTATCTCGGCAATGATACAAAGGAGAACTGGGCCGCGGCCAACACGGACATCCAGGCTGCCCTGGGGAGTGGTGGATACACCGCGCTCTATCAGGCCACCATCTACCCGAAAGACGGCACGGGCAATCCCTATGGAGTGTTCAACGTCACAGGCTCCGACATCTCGCCGATCGAGCTTCCGTATTCTTACCCAAACGGCTCCACGGTGATTCTCGGAGATCCTGGGCTGGGCTATCCGCCCAGACTGTATCCAAATCTTACCTATTCGTCGCGTATCGAAAGTGACGAGAATGGCATTAGGAGGAATGTCACTACCGTGCATGCCTTCCCGGACGTGCAATTGCGCGCCACATCCACCCTGCTCCTCGGTCCGTTCCATGTCAATGCAACCTTCTCACTCCTATCGGTGACCTTACCAATAATCAACAATACGTCAGCGACGGATATTCTGGGTTTCATGACGTGAGTTTCTTATGGCCTTGTTCAAAACGCCCTCATCCTTGACTGACATTGGTGGCAGAGTGGTTGCTAGCGCAGCCCGGTTACAAAACATCCTTCGGTCCAGAGACGCACTCGATAGTACCGGGATCTCGTTACTGTTGGGGCCAGCAAACCCTCAAAACCGTTTTCCAAGCGACGCCCATCCCGCCACCCGCACGAGTGAAGGGAACATTGATGCCCTGAACTCCGTGCAGATGCAATATGTCTTTGAACCATCCATTGTCTCGGGTGTCGCCGACAGGCATAATCGCTATCACCAGGGCGATTCGTTCGCACTCAGCGCCTACCCAGCAGTAGCCACTGCCTTCGCCCGTCGACCTAAGAGCTTCAATAATGCCAGCACTTCGTTGAAGACGACCAACGAGGAGGGATCAAAAGTGGCAGTTGGTATCGCCCGTCCGCAGAGTACAATGGTGGACTGGATTGTAGTAGTGGAGCAGACCCATGCGGAAGCCTGGGCCCCAGTGATCCGTCTGCGGAACATCATTCTAGCCTGCGTGTTCGGTGTAGCAGGATTCATAGCACTGATCGTTCCACCACTGGCCCATCTATGTGTTGCTCCGATCCGTCGGCTGAGAGATGCGACGAAGAAAACGATGGATCCTCCAATGGACCCCTCCTCTGGCCTTCTCACTGTCAGCAACAACAACGAAGCCAGCTGTGAGACTTGCCGATTAAGCGAAAAAGAAAAAGGATTTCGTGTAGGATTGCGATTTCTCGGCTGGGGAAGCTTTGGCGCTTCTGATTGTCCACATGTTGAAGAGGGACGGAAAAAACCGTTTTGTGTACCTGGCAAGGTCGAGGAGAAAAGACGCTGGGTCACGGATGAGTTGACTGAGCTGTCGAAAACATACAACGAGATGTCTGATGAATTGATGATTCAGTACACCAAGCTTGAAGAAAGAGTAGCAGAGCGAACGCGCGAATTGGAGATTAGCAAGAAGGCAGCCGAAGTGGCTAACGAGAGTAAGACCTTGTTCATCGCTAATATCTCCCATGAGCTTAAAACACCCCTAAATGGGATCCTGGGCATGTGTGCTGTTTGCATGGGCGACGACAACTTGCCGAGAATCAAAAAATCACTGCGAATTGTTTACAAATCCGGAGAACTCCTCTTGCACCTGCTCAATGACTTGTTGACCTTCAGCAAAAACGAGATTGACAAGGTGATCCAACTTGACCAGAAAGAATTCTATTTGGCGGATATCAAATCACAAATTCTCGCGGTTTTCCAAAATCAGATCCAAGAAAAGCACATCGATTTCGGGATTCACTTTGTTGGCGCTCCCAAAACACAGGTAGAACCAGCTGAGATTTCGGAGAAGCCGCCGCAAGTTGAGACGGAGCTGGGACCTCCTGGAACAGCGTCTTTGAAGGATATGGTGCTTTGGGGAGACCAGCATCGACTCCTTCAGATTCTCATCAATCTCGTCAGTAACAGCTTGAAATTCACCCCAGAAGGCGGCAGAGTGGAAGTGCGTATCAAGTGTTTGGGGGAAGTGGACAAACAGGCGGACCGCACGGGGAGAACATCTACTGATTCGAAATTGTTCCGACGCCGGTCAAAAACGCCCTCTGCTACCCAGTCTAAAGCAGCGGAGAAGGAAAGGAGAACTTCAATGTCTTTGCAAGGCCAGGATCAGCTCTCCATATCACCACCTATCGATGCGAAACCGCTAATGTTTGCATTTGAAGTGGAAGATACCGGGCCCGGTATTCCTCAGCATTTGCAACAACGCGTGTTCGAACCATTCATGCAAGGTGATCCAGGACTCAGCAAGAAGTACGGAGGTACTGGTCTGGGTTTAAGTATATGTTCCCAGCTTTCCCAGCTGATGAATGGGACGATCAGATTGCAGAGCATCGAAGGCATTGGTACAACCTTCGTGCTCAGAATCCCTTTGCAGTATATCAGGGAGGTAACACCGAGTACCAGAACCTCCAGCATCACGGCATCCATCGCTCCCAGTATACGTTCCTTGGGATCACGGGTAGAATCCCATAGCAGTACGTCAGTCCATTTCGAGAAGGATCTTGAGCCGAGGCTGGTGGGATTGAGTCAGCCATTCTTCGCTGCGGCACCACCATCGCCTCCTGCGACAACCGATGTTCAGATGCAGGCTTTTGGTCAAATTGACGGGCAAACAGACGGAAAGATCCGGGTGTTGGTGGCAGAGGACAACGTTGTCAATCAAGAGGTCGTACTTCGGTAAGTCATACCATACTCAATATACGCTACCACGTTGCTGATCCGTATCTAGAATGTTAAAACTCGAGGACGTGTATGATGTGACGATTGCGAAAGATGGGCAGGAAGCTTATGACGTTGTCAAAGCCAACATGGAGGAGGGCAAGGCTTTCAATCTCATCTTGATGGACATACAGGTAGGAGCTCACAACCGCCCTCATTTTGCGGTAGAGACTAAAACTCTGCCTAGATGCCAAATTTGGATGGTCTACAATCGACGCGCCTCATCCGAGAGATGGGATACTCCGCACCGATCGTCGCTCTAAGCGCATTTGCAGAAGAGAGTAATATCAAGGATTGCATGGACTCGGGGATGAACATGTTCCTCAGGTAAGGAATTGAGCAATCGGCGTTGCTGGTGTGGACGAAGCTTACATGTGACGCTAGCAAACCACTCCGACGGCCTGCGCTAAAGCAAGTTCTGAACAATTTCTCGACGATCCAAGAGGAACCCGAAACTTCTTCAGCATAATACCAAGGAAAGGATTGTACGAACCCCCCAACGGGATAGATATTCCATTTTAGCGTGATCTCGGCAATGAACGAGGGCAGTCAAGGGCAAATATCCTTTTGTCAATTGTCAGACATGATAGTAGGCCGAGGAAAGCTCACCTCTTTGTGGACGTTGGACCTAGTATACCCAGTTGATATCATGTACCATAATTTGAGCACGGGCGTGGGCTTTGGCTTTTCATGGTAGTACGTCTGAGCTTTTGATCTGTCTTTTTTTTACATACATTATTTCGAATTTGGGTCATCTAGTCGAGGCGAAGGTAGCACCCGCGAAAAGCGAACATTTATCGTTTAATATGGCCCTTGTGCCTCGGAAGATATCCCGCCGTTGACATCCTCGAGGTTTGAGGTCTAACGCAAGTCCAGACGAACGGACACCAGAGGTGGGATCCACCTGGTTCATGAGCCAAATAGAAACGGGTGCATGACCAAGAATCCCGTTCAATGGGATGATCGGAAGTGGCTGCCCTTTGGAGATAAACGTGCAGGTCTGTACGAGCTAGGTACCGAAGGGTCGTCGTGACCTGGGAGTTTGTATCTTGACATTCCACATGGATCAAGCAAGTGCCCGGGTTCGTGCCAGGCCATCCAAATGCATGCCTGACGGGGCATCGCGGAAGATGAGGCCGGTATGGGGTGGTGGTGCTGTGGTGGTGCAGCGAAGATTGCTGCAGATGCCCGATGGTACCCGACCTCTCATACCATGGATCGAATGGCGTTTGGTTGCATCACGTTCCCTCCCGAATCATGAGAGAAATAAATTGCTTTTCGCGTTGATGCTGGTTTAAACGCTGAGGTGGTTGCGACAGCGAACCTCGAAGAATCGGCTCGAAAAGCTTCACGTAGCCCAACCCTGGTCGAACTGGCCTGTTCCCATTGATTTCCTCGCCACTCCGGAGTCGACTGACTGATAGCAAGTGAAGAGGAAGAGGAATGCTTCACGGAGAGAGCACCACGTCCCGAGGGAAGGAGGTGTTGTTGCTGTGTGCCTGACTCATCAGCCTGGTTACCTAATGCGTTCAGGCATGCAAGTGTCCACGTGCGAGGCATCCAATGGCAGTCCCGAATTGGGCATTCTGACCAATCAGCGAGCAGAGGCAGGGTCCACAAGACGCTAATCTCAATTCGGCCCGGCCCGCACCAACGACCTTCCTGCCGCTTCACTCTTTCTCTTCTCTTCTCTCTCGTCCTCGCCCACTCTCTCTCTCTCTCTCTCTCGCCATGGTCAACAACCCTGCGGCCGCCAGGGCCTCGTCTGGGTCTCAGATTACGTTGTCGGCGATGCACCGAGATCGATTCGTCAACGTCAACGACCTTGGGGCTTTGGGATGCTTGAGCATCCAGGGAGCCTTGGCCTGCAATCCCCACTTCAGGATTCACGCATTCGGGATTATCGATGTCAAGTGATTGATATCTGCATTCTGGGATTAACAAAGCCAATGGCGATATGGGCTTGCTTCACAAGCTTCTGCGGTTGCCGCCCCATTTTCAGATTGGAACCAATTGCCGCTGCTGCTTTCTCTAAACGTTGGGCAGGAAGACAGGCCCCGCTAAACCTTTTCCCTGGGATGCGACGATAGAAGATATTTCCACTCACGAAAGAAAAAAAAAGGAATAAACACGCGAGATTTTACTGGTTACCGTTGCCTCACATTTGATTGACATTGTTGTTCTGTTTGATTCGAGGATTTCAGCCCTCTCTCACCTCATTGCTTGCTCCGGCCGCGCGGTCCTTTATCTTCCGTTACTGACAGTCGCAGTACTGCTGCATTTGCAGCACTCCGTCGGCCGGAATGCGGATCTTGGGTGGAGATACCACACAGTATCGTTTCCATTTTAGGACTTTTATTGCGTTTCTTCGCCTGCAAACTTTCGGATCCTGCATCTTCTATCTGCTTGGCGTGGAACCGCATCACCTTGTGTGCTCGGGTCTTCCACCGGTTGCTATGGACCACCCGTGAATTTGCGAAGACGTGGCCCAATGGCTGAATATCACCCGTTAACTGCCTCAACAGCACCATAGGGCCCCCTCTCATAATCTTGAATGTCTTTGTCAATGCCAACTTCCTTGTTGACTCCTGGATTGCACAACTGTTCTGTTTCTATTTGAGTAGTCCAATTCAAACATTTGCGTTGTTGAGTTGCTGGTTCCTTACCAATATCACGCCCAACAGGTCGTTTTCTCAATCCGTTTCCTTCCTGTCAAACCTTCCATCGTCATTTCGCCCGGTTGCCCTGTGTCACTGCCCGGGCCATATACAGGCTTCATGGTGCCGAGACTTGCCACTGCCATCGACAAATAACTTCCCTTACCTCGCCATCCCTCCCCTCCCTATTCCCTCTCCCTTGCTCCCTCATTCGCCTCCTCCAACATGGGAAATAAAAAAGGGAAAAAGAAGAACAAGCGGACACCATTCAACATCAATGACCCTCCGCCTGACAACACCAACAACAACAAGACCAACGAGGAGCCTCAGGTAGAAAGTGCTGCAGCGCAGGCTGCCCCAGCTGAAAATGGCTCAAGGGATGAACTTCGAGTATGCTAAACTTTCTGGATTTAAGTATCAAACATTCGATCGTGAAACCCTTCAATTCACAGATGTCCCCGTGATTTCTCTTTACCCGAAGAATGCGACTACCGACGCTGAGAATGGCAACGCTGACACTGAGTCGAAGGAGATGGTGTCTGAAGACCCTCCAGCAGAAACCCCCGGGGGAGAAGATTCGACGCCTGCAGAGCCCGCAGATAAGCCACTCGGTATGTATTTGGACATTCTTATCTTACACTCTTTGAATTGCTACTGCTTTAATACCAATTGGACAGTACGAACGCACATGCTAACGCTTAGAGCCATAAAACCAGACCTTGCCGATGTAACTCCGAGTGATGACGCCGCAGGCGGACCTGTACCGGATGAATCTCCTCCCCAGAGTGAAGAAGAGGCCCCGAAAGACGAACCAGCCGAAAATATAAATGGAGGTGACGATGAAGCGCAGGGAGGCCAGGAAGAGCCACTAGCACCTGAGAGTGGTGATTCTGTAGGCTCAGAGCCTGCAGAACCTTTGGAGTCAGCTGATCCTTCCGAAACCAAACCCGACGGCGAAGAAGAAGAGAAAATTCCACAAGAACCAGAAGCGCCGCTTGAGAGCCAAGATGCTCCAAATGAAAGCACCGAAAGAGAAAATGATGGTGGGGTTACTCTCCCCGCATTGCATTGAGCGTTGACTGATAAGGATTAGAAGAGCCAAGCTTCCCTGACGTTGATCCCGCGGCGGAAATTGATCAAGTGGAAGCGGAGAAAGAGGCAGAAAAGGCCGTAGCAGAGTTCGATGATTTCGATTTTAATGAACAGGGTGTAGACGAGAATGAAAGCAAAGAAAAGCCCAACGGGGATGGGGCCGGAGAGGCTTTGGTGCCAGAATCACAAGAAATGAAACCCGACGCAACGGACGATACGCCCAGCGTGGATACAAGCGAGGAAACGGGTGTTGATGGAAAACCAATGGAAGCACCCGATGAGAGTAAGGATACGCCCGAGGTGGATATTCCATCGACGGAAGCGGAACACGAGTGCAACGATAAGCCCGTTGAAGAAACGTCTGAGGAAGTGGCGGTGGATTCTGAGCCAAATGACCCTGCTACAGATGAGGGTTCGGCTCCCAGTCCAGAGTGCGCTGCGGAAGCCCCCGACGAGGATGCGGACAAAAGCCCAGAGCGAGATGGGTCGCCGCTGGTAGAAGCAGAATCACCAGCAGTTGATCCAGCTGAGGGTGAAGTGCAACCTTCTGAAGATTTGGCAAAAATCGAAGAACCTTCTGCACCAGCTGAACCCGCCGAACCAGCCCTGGCGGGAGAATTAGAGCCATCAGGTCATCCGCCGCCAGCCGAACCAGAACAACCAGCAGCGCCAGAAGAGTCCGCCGTAGCAGAACAACCAGCAGAGCCAGAAGAACCAGCCGTAGCAGAACAGCCAGTTGAACCAGAGATTCAAAACACTCCCCCGGCGGAGGAAGAGAGGGAAGAAAGCGGCCCAGAAGAACTCCCTGTTGAGGAAAACGCCGCTGAACCAGTAATTGAGGAAGAGAACGACGCTCCTGTTGAGCCGGAGTTGGTGAAGGAAGACGAGAATTCAATCAAGGAAGAACTGGCCATTAAAGATGACTCCGAGCCAGCGGAAAGCGCCCCAGGACAGGATCAACCAGACGACCCTCCGGCTGAACCCGCAGTAGGAACTGACGAGGCACCTGGGGTTGAAACACCAACTGAGGAACCCAGCCTAGCAGAGGCCGACCCTGCCGAGGAACCTGAAGCGGCCGAGCCTACCCTAGTGAGTGCGCCCAGGGAAGAACCCGCAGAGACAGAAAACCCACTAGCTGAGAGCTCCGCGGCGGAAGAACCGAGTTCAGAGACCAGCCCCCAAGAGAAGGACGTTCCTCCTCCCGAAGAACCATTGTCGTCAGACTCTCTCGATCCAACACCGGATGAAGTGCCAGTAGAGCAAGCACCTATCGAGGAGACAACAGTCGAAAAGGTAGCTGTTGAGGAGACGCCGGGTACCGAGGAATCAACACCACCGCCCGTGGTAGAGAAAGAACTTCCCATGGAGGAGCCGCTAGCTACAGAACCCCCTACTCACGACGAACCTAGTCCTGAACCCCCCGCCCTAGATATCCCATCGGAAGACCCTGCCCCGCGGTCACTAGAGGAAACAGTTGCAGTTGTGGACCCAGATCCTGCAGTCAAGGACTCATTTGGACAGGAAGCCGCAGATGAGCACAGACGTAGGCGACGGAGACGGCGATCAGTATGGGAGCATGAGCAGCGTGACTCAAGAGGGTCCATCGATAACCAGCCTGGCCTTCGACGGCGGAAGAGCGAAAGGTCGGCTTTTGCAACACCTCGAGCGGATGGTGTAGTGGAAGTCAAACCCCGGAGAGCGACGACCGCATATGCCGAACAGGACCAGCCTGAAAGACGGAGAAGAAAGAAACGTTCCCCCGAAGAAACCGACTCTCCAGCGCCAAGACACCGTGATGTCCGGGGTGATTCCACTTCGCGAAGCAGGGGTAGCTCAAGTCAGAATAGTTTTTCTTCTCTAGCAGCCAAACCGGTTGCGCTTTTGAAACTTATGACGACCGGGGAATCTAACACCTCGGGGCCCATGCTCAGGGTAAACGGGCAAAGTTCGAGCTCATCGAGATCCCCTGGTCGACATTCGGACTCCTCCAGCCGCTCCCATTCACATGGACATACTCACCGAAAGCACCGGCACCATGATGAGGAAGAGCGTAGACATCGCCGCAGCCGTGAACACCGGGAGCATCGGGAGCACCGAGAGCACCACCATAAATCGAGACGAGATGGCGAAGTTCAGCCAAAGCCTTCGAGGAAGGATAGTTACACTTACAATGATCACGGGGAGCGGCATCGCGAGCGACGCCATTCTAAACGGTATGTGGAAGAAGCTCCCGTAGGCCTCAGGCTTCGGGATAAGATCAGGGAGAACCTAAAAGCTGTCATTGCGGCGGCTTGAGAAGCTAATGATTGACATCTTTCAATTCGTGGGCAACTTTTCAACCAAAAAAATGAGATTTAATGGCATCTAGGTCTTTTTTATGTTTTTTTTTCCCTTGTTCTTGAGTCCAGATTAGCGCCGAGTCCTTTGTCTGAGCATTTCTGTGGTTCGAAACACTTGTACGATCGCGAACGGGGGTGTTCCTCGAGGATGCGTGTCAGTCCAGTTTTGTATTTTCACCTGTGTTTTTTTTTGCATTTGGGTGTTCTTCCATAAAAAAGTGCGTTTCCTGTTCTCTATTCAACCCTGTTTGCCAATGTGTGCTCTTCTTTTTGCGATGGTGGGTAAGAGTTTGAAATCTGCGCGCTTATATGGCATCCCATGGTTGGCGTTTGTCATGATATCCCCCCCTTCAATCTGATTTGATTTCTGCAGGCTTTGTTTTGTTGTCCGCATGTTTGACCAACAGTTAGCAGATGGATGTTGTATGTACTTATGAGATTTCTATGATAATGAACTGATGCTTCCTCATGCAACGGTTGAGGTAAATGGATAGAGGTTGTCAGGCTGATGTTTACATGATTGCTGCAAGAAAAAGGGGAACAAGCCAGCCAAGATTGCCAAGCAGGCAGCTCAACATCACTTCCTCACATCAAAGTACTCCGTCCATCATCTCACAACATCCTGAATCCTCAATCGATGGTCAAGCAACGTGAGGGAAAAGTGGGCTTATTCTGATATCAAGGGTTGTGCTTACGCAAGAATACAATTTCTGCTTATTTGTCATGGACGACACCATGATCGGCCGTTGGCTCTCAGAGCTTCCCATGGATGACCCGACTCGCAAGTCAACCTCCAGACCCATGCTTCGCCGGTTCATTCACCATACCGAGCCAATCAAATTTATCAAATACATTGGCCATGGAGCCGAAGGTAGAGTCTACTTGATTGAAGTTCTGGGGAGCCAATACGCCTTGAAAATTGTAGGTTGATGTGCTTGTTCTAGCCAGATTGTGAACCAAAGGGCTAGGTGTGGATTTGCTGGTTGTGAATTAACATGTTTCTGTTACTGTTTAGTTCTCAAACTGGACTTACACATCGAACATATACCTCCGTGAGCGCCAGAAACCATACACTTTCCCTTTCTCTCATGAGTGCCGAGCCTTTGCCCGTCTAGACAGCCTTGACGAGAATGGGACTTGGGCAGTCAAATGCCATGGCTGGATAAAACTCTCTGATGAACAATTCAAACCCCTCCAAAGGTTCAGCGGGCTGTCGCGCTGGGCAATTGTCAAAGACTATATCCCGAATGAGGTTTCCATTTCCGATGTCCCTGAAATCAGACGCAAAATGACCATTGCCCGCAAGGCCCTTCTTTACCCAAAAGACCTTCAACCAAGAAATTTTCGCGGTTCTTTTCTTGTCGATTTAGGCGCTGTGCGGACTTATCCATACCCCCCCCAGCGATTTTGGTCCAATACCCGACGACGAGAATATTTTGCCTGGTTTGACAAGGATGCAAGTCAATGGGAAGTGAGTGTCAGGGATGGAAAGGTGATTGAGGGCTGGTTGAATCGAATGATAAAAGGCAAGCCTAGTCCATGTGAGACAGCGGAAGCTGGCGATGCAAAGCTGGACTGACGGTTCCCTCCTCGTTTTCCCCTCCCGAGAAAATTCAAAAAACTTTTAGGTTGATTTGTGAATTTCACTGACTGGAGGGTTTGGAGGGTGATACCAAGCTGCTCATTACACGGGGTGATATGGACTAATTACTACGAATTAGTCTGTATGTACAGTACATGCTTTGCAAGTAAAGATTACGGAAGCGTGGTCGCCTGCAGCATTTTTGCCGTCTACCTGTGAACAGAAAAAAGAGATCAAGGGCAGGAAACGAAAAGGGAACCCGGTGAAAACTAGAATCTGGATAAATAAAGGGGAGCAAAAGAGAGACGAAGTGAAAGCGAAGCCAATGAGGTATGTACCTGAGATTTTCGAAGAGCCCTTGGCATGCGGCGTATCTCACTCCCTCACTGTTGCCTGATCCGCAGCGGCGGGTAGATATGACCAAGCCAAATCATCTCTCTTAGCGCCGGCCCCGAAATATTGTTGGGCCTATTAAATCCAATCGTTTAAGCCACTCTGTGACAGTCAATCGCTCGCATGAGGCCAAGGGGCACACTACTCTTGGGCGTTGCCAGTTTGCTGCTAATTCAAGTGCAAACGCTCCCCCCATCCGGTTGAGCTATCTTAAGGACCACTGCTCTGTTTCATCGGACGTGGATTGTTGTTGAATTGATTCGTGCTCCAGGGGATTACATTTTTCGCCCCCAGCACCCCGACATGTTAGCCGCGCTTGAACCCGGTTTAGTCGAACAGGAACGGAGTGCCCTTCGAAAGCATGAATTGGGCATTTCCTCCGGCTAGCCTCTGTGGGCGCTACAGTTGTGCATAAATAGGAGACGAACTCCCTTCTACTTTCTCTTTCTCCATCACCACAATCAGCCTCCACAACTTCTCTTTACCTGCCTTTACAAATTGCCTTGTGGCCTACTAGTTATTACTATCTTTCTACCATTGAACCAATTTTCAAACCTTGCTTTTGCCGGCCAAACATGCCACCCAAAACCATCCTTGATCGTCTTTCGGAGCCGAATCCGAATCTCGACAACGAGAATATTTTAGAAGGGAAACCCACAAAACATGTACCTGAAGAAGACATTGTGATTCAACCATGGGAAGATTTTACGTTCGAAACCCTTATGGCCACTTACGGCGACGTCTTAAGGTGCGAACTGGACATCCCAAAAAGTTCTCCTATATCCAAACTAGAGTGCATGATATTTGACGAAGACTCGCTCGACCATTTATTGACTCGAGCGATAACCCCTATCGTTAACGATGCCCTAGAAGGGGCATGGCGGATATGTTACAAAGACAATGCGGACCTTCGGGTTGATATGTCACGCGGTGGACGGGCACGCAAACCTCAAAGTGTCAACGAGAAGGAAGAGGAAGAGGAGGGGAAAAAGGAAGCAGCCCGTCAAGGATCCGATAAAAAGGACAAATCAACAGTCTCGGCAAAAACATCATTTCCCGATTGGGCCGGGGTTCGAAAGCGCCGATATTCGCCTGGGTTTGACAACCGTTGCCCTGGAGAAACAAAGCTTGCATCAAAATGGCACTCAAAAGAACACACCGGGGAAGATCACTATATGTGGCCTTTCGCGCAGGCCATCATCTACGTAAAAAAGTGGAACACTCGATATGCCTATATAATTTCTAACAAGGAACTTTGTGTCTTGCGGTTCTCTACGGCGCGAATCGGTTCTGGACTGGCACAATCACGGCTCCGGCGGGAACTGCCCGCACCCAATGCACCACAGCACCACCGTACTATTTCAGTTGCTTCGGTCACGTCAGCTGCTAGTCGCATGTCGATTGACTCACCGTCCCAGCATTCCCGACAAGAATCTGTTTCGAGCGACGTACAAATGTCGTCTTCGTACCAACAGAGTGCCCATGCAGGTGATATGAGACCTGTGGAAATGAAAACCATTCCCTGGTCCAATCACGGACATGGGAAGCTTACGGTCAAGCTTGCTCTCTGGTGGATCCACATGTTGGCTGGTGCACCCGGCTGTGACATATTCATCGGCCATGATTATCATGATCTTAATACTTGGATTCACGAGAACGGCAGGTATCAACATGTTTCAACTGGGATTGTTACCACAGTTAAACCCACGAGCGGTAGAATTGAGACGAGCCGATCCCCTCAAAATCCGGTGACCCCTCCTCGAGATCGACGAGCTCTGTCTTCCAGCCCTCTCTCCTCTCCGCCAAACCAGGTGTCAAGCCCACCCGGGATGACCCCCGTCTTGCCAAATGTTGAGGATATTACGAGGCTAAGCTTTGACAAAAAGCGTAACCAGTTCCAATATGAGGCAAACCCTCGCAGGTACGGATACTTTTCGCCGGGGACGCCAATCTGGAGTATCCGGCACCGTGCGCAACTTTATGCGATTCTTAATGACGGCCAGCCTATTTGGGTTCGTCAAAGGGAAAGATCAAGCAGTGGGAATGACACGGAAAGCGGTGAGAGCGACCGGAGCGGCGAGCTGCCTCCTCAACCCAGAAGGAGGCGTTGAATTTTTCTCTGTGATAGCCCCCACTTACGAAAGAAATTGCCAAGGTTGGACATGATATGTTTTATTGATGTTTTTTTGGGTATTTTCCTTTTTCTCTCGTTTTTCTCCTTGTCTCTTAATACGTTTTACAAGTGCTGTACCAGAATCAGACAATGTCTGTAGATAAAACAGATCATGAAATTAAGTGCAAGTGTTTTCTGATGCTCCGCGACCCGGTGCGCTACAGTAGTTAGAAACAGGCTGACCCCCAAAAAAATGGGAAAATTATCCCATTCTACTATTTTGGCATTTTCCTTGGACACTGAGCTCGCTTAATGGTGTTGATGCTGTCCTTTGCATCACCAAGCTGTCAAATAGCTTGCATCCTTCTCTCAATCAACAGCACGGCCAAGATTCTTGTTCAAATAATCAACGGCTCGAGCGCCTGAAATGAATCGGGCAGAGCCCCAAACGGCAGCGCCCACGCTCAAAGTGTTGATGATCATGGAGAAAGTATTATTATTATTCATTATAGTCTTGTGTAGTCTGGGGGTATGAAGACCACCACTTTATCAGCAGTCTTTGATTTCTTGATGGGATGGAAGGCAGGTAGTAATGAGCCCTCTTCTCTTATAGCATATACTATATACTCAACTCGTAATATGTGATATGACTATTTTTTAGACAGGCAGGGTAAGGGGGTTGGTAGAATAGTAATATAAATAAGAATGCAGAATATCTTTACTATAGAATAATAGTAGTAAGACTACACAACTGGATTAGGGCCTACTTTATGAAGACAGGAATAAGACACAACAATGAGTAGAGACGGTCACAGAGGCGAATAGCAAATGGCGAATGTAGATGAGATGCCGCGAGTACTAGGGAGGGCTACAAAATACATAGAAAGAAGTGGGAACATATAGTGGACTAGAACAGAAACTAATCTATTAGAACACATGGAGAGGAGCCCACGGGCCATGCAACACAAACCCACGGCTTCCCATTTCTCACCTCATAGCCGATGAAGCCCTTGTATTACCGAAAACCCTTGGCGTGCAATGACGTTCAGTAGGGGACATTGGCGTAATGACCTTGGGCCGCTTTCGGCTCGGGCTTTAAGGGGCCGTTCAGGTCGAACATCTCAATGGGTTCAATCTCGCTACCCTCCTGTGGGAATAGGTGGTCGTGCTTACACTTGGATCAACCAAAGGGACCGTGCTGTGGTTGCCTGGTTCAGACTTTTCAAAAAGAACCCATTAGGAAGTGCAGTTCCGGTATGGAGGTCCAATAGGCCAAGGAAAAATATTTCAAAGACTCTATCATCTTGACAGACAAGGATGAGAGAATCGGTCACAAATTGCAGTTTATTTTCGTAAGGGAAAATAAAGTAGTAAACCATTGGCCGAATACCGTGGGCCATCAAGGAAGCCGTAGATATCTGAAAAACCGAAAAACGAAGTTGATGCAGCCCGCAAATGAAAATTTAGAAAGTGTCCCGGATCTCAGATAACCTCTGGAAGGGGGAAAAAAACACGTTAGTGAACATCCTTGGAGGCAAAGAAACATAGAGAGACTGACTGATATCTTTTAATAGCTGCGTAGCACTCAAGTATTCTCCACGCCAGCATTTCTCGATTACAGCACCTATCGGCCAATTTGACACATCTGTAAAGGTTCCTGCAACATAAAGATTAACGACTTCATGATCTGGTAAATCCTTATAGGGTGCTTCTCTGGTAAGCAGAAAATAAACCAGACTTCCAAATGCAAAGCAGTCATCCTGAAAGCCAACCTTATAGCCTGAATCCTCATAGCTGGGCGGACGATATCTAGTGTTGTTGGTCACCGTAGACACCTTCACCCCATTTATACGGCATGATGCAAAGTCGGCGAGGACGACGTCAAAAGTATCTGTGACGAGGACAGTAGGGGATCGTATGTCGCAGTGTATAATGCCTTTGCTATGCACGAACACCAGTGCCTCAGCAATCTGTTCCGACCATTTGAGATATAGAATTTCTGGTATTTTCAGCATAGCCTGGTCGATGCAGCCATTCTGGTAGTACTCAATTTCGCATGCGAGGTTATTGTTGGCGCGGCCGTGGTATTTGGCAATCCGCGGATGGGAGCCCAACAGTTCATAAGCTTGTTGCTCACACCGGAGGTCATCTTGGTGATCAGGAAAAGGATGTTTAATAATAGTTGATTTTAAGTGCTCCATTTTGTAGATAACACTACTCACACCATATGCAATAGTTTCCATGATGGTGGTTTGTTTGGGCTGGAGTTGGGGCTGTGGTTCCAGCAATATTACAAGTAATAGGTTAGTTAAGTTAATTAGTTATGTTAGTTAGCTTAACTACATAACTAACATGCAGCTCACTCCTTTCACATTCCCACCCTCGTATGTAGTTGGACTAGCTATGGAGTAGTCTCCCCCCTACTACCCCTCCTTCCACTCCCATCTACCTGGACGGTGTACATACCTGCACATGGTTCCTATCCAGTCAGCAAGTTAACAGGTGGCAAATTAAGGGAAGACACCTGGAAGACGCTTGTACAGTCTAGTACCTACCTTTTGTGAGTGCTGAGGTCAGTAGATATCTCCTTCCATCCTCCGAGTAGAAGCCCTCTTATATGATAAAAATCCCTCTCCCGATAACCTCTCCCAAAACAGGCGGCAGCAGTAATCCCTGAAGGTGGCATTAGGCACCAGCCCAATAGATAGATAACACGCTGCTGCTCTCCCCAGCCTGCACGGCGACGAGCACTCCCGAGCTAACCGAGCCAGCCGACCAATGACCAACATTTCAAGGGCCCTGAGAGCCTCTTGATGCGGAATAGTTCTCTGCAATCAACCATTTTCAGTTCTGTTCTCTCTGGTCTCAAGGTCTAAACGCACCAAACTAGAGGCTTTCTCCCGCAAAATTTATCTCTTGGTCTAGATTGCGCGGGGTAGAGAGTTCCTCTGGCTCTCGGAGACTCAGCAGCCTGAGCTTAGAACTGAAAGCCCTGTGAAGGCTTCACAAATATTGGCCTCTTATCTGTCTTACATGAAGAGGCCCAGCTGAGAAATATCGCGAAGGGCAAAACCGCCAGTATGAATTAGGTTAAGGTTAGTTAACTAACTAGTGAGTGGGGATCCCGTTATGCTTATTCGAACCGCATTCGGGCCGTTCCCACGACGTCCCACAGAGTCACCAGTGAGTACGACACTTATTTTGATGTTGCAACTGGCAGGACATAGCGTTCTGGCAAAAAACATCTGGGTCTAATGTAGCTGACTTGACATTATCGCCTCTGAAATATCGTCTGCTTTTCAATGTCGCAAGCTGATAACTAACAAAACGACCAGTCCCAGAAAACTGTTCATCCGCACCACTTCCTAGCCCTGTTCCCTTCCTTTCTCTATAGCAACGACTAGACTAGGAAAGCTTGGCTTTTGTATTTCCTCATTTCCCTCTTTTCCCCTCGTAACTTTCAACAGCCATTCATCAATATCCGCCATCGCATCCTCAGGGGAATTTTTACACTTTAGTAGGAAGGATAATATTTCTGCTGGGCTGAATCTGTTCTCGGGAACTTTCAGAGTGAACTCCTTCCCAAGCTGCTCAACTTCTGGATCATTAGACAGCTTGCTCTGGATGCGGTAATCTTCTTCTGCTTGTTTAAAGAAAGTCGCAAGTTCATGTCATGATTCTTCAGTGGAAAGGAAACTCTTCAATTGACACAACTGGGCTGTATGAGAGCCTTGTCCAGCTTTTGACATGGTTTGTTATCATGATGAGCACCCGGACTTTCTGTGATGATACACTGTCAAAGGCATTAAGCAGACCTAAAAGTGTTGGGCCTCGACTAGGTGGATTGCTCAGGCCGACTGAAGGGCAGCCGGTGTCTTTGCTGGTTGGCATGTTTCCAACTCTAGACGTACCAGCAGCATCAATGTGTTCCAAAAGATCACACATTGTGGGGGGAGCTGTGAAAACCAGCTGGCTAGGTGCCGGTTGTTGACACTTGAAGGGTTGAGAACATATACATCCAGCTCAAAGCAGCCCGCGATAAACAAGCTAAAGCTTAACTTTCCAGTCCAGGAGGGCCATAGAGAAAGAACCCCCTTCAATACAGAATGCCTCATCAGGTGTACCAGCCCTGGGCCTTCTCATCAATGAATTCCACTACATCTCGCACTCGCAGGACCGCTGTTTTCTCCTTTTCATCCATGATGACAGGGATCGGCCTGATGTCCCTTGCTTTTGATTCCCTCCACTCGCCGTCTTGGCTCTCAAAAAAGACGGTTTCCTTTGAATCAGCTTCAAATATCCGGAGCGGCAGTCGTTGGAATTACGGAGACCTTGTTATGCTTTGCTTCATCAAAATATCAGAGCCGGGTCACAAGCAGAGGGCCTTGGATTTTTAATCTGCCGCCCTTCGCCAAAAATCATATCAATATCAATACCATAATCATCTTCAGCATAATCGTTATCCAGCCCAAAGACCCACTGTATTCCCGTTCTTTCCCTTGTTCCACGATCCTAGCTTGAGCAAGCTCATATTATCCTCAAACAGCGCGAACGAGATGGAAAGTTCGCCGCCAGGGTGCTGGCGTTGGTAGATGCCCGTCTCAAGGCGATATCAAGCGTACGAGAAGTAAGTTAACCATTGAATTTTAGAGGATCGCCCAAGTTACGATAGCAAGAAGGTGATGGCGAAATGCGAAGTGCTTTCGGATGTTTAAAGTATCCGAGAGCCACAGTCTTCGAGGCTAACACTATTTTCAAGAGATACGGCAGGAAAGTGGGTATAAAATACATTGGAGGTGGTTTGCGTTGTTACGGCCAATCATGTTAAGAAATCGGACGATCGGTTCGAAATCGTACACAGCGACGTAAAAGCAATTTTGGCCGTAGAGTAGTGAGCTTGCCTCGTCTTGGATCCGCTTGTTCGTGCGAAGGAGGTTGGGCGTTAACTAAGTATTAAACACCAAACCAGGGGTCAATTGGCTCGTCGCGCGCCAAGAGATAATTATAGACCTTATGAGGATGAGACTTGGTAATTACTACTATACCATCGGCTCCCTTCGTATATGGTATGCGAAGCAATAGGGTGGCTGCAATCCCCTGGTACATCATCTGTGGACATTGCGTTGCGAAACGGTCATATTATTTCATTTCTTAACACTAATTAATTAATCCTCCCGAAAATATTGAGTGTTGTTGAAACACTCCAAGTCCTTCAAATAAAACTCCTTCAGCATGGCAATCACATTGCTGGGCAACGTAAACAATCTCCCAGATGCCGGCCACCTTGGGACACTCCAATCAACAAAAGTCAAACAGAGACTGAATCAAATTGATAGAATAAGAGCAGAAGGGGAAACATCACCAACGGCAACTATTTTGTCTCGTGAGAATAGCACTCCTTACGTGCTAAGCTCCCATACACATTCTCTGAGGCACTTTTCCAGCATCTTCAGTTCATTTCGCCGCTCTTGCTTGCTCTGCGTCTCGGATGCGATTTCCTTGACCTGATCATCCGAGAGTTGAAGAGCACCCGTGGGCGTGAGAATACTTCGAGCACTGAGCGCAATGTGACGCTCCACGACCTGACGACAAACATTATCGACAAAGGTTTTCATGGCAACCTGTGAGTTTGTTTAGAGCAATTCAAATGCATTGTCTTCTGATATGTCGCTCACCTTGTAGTATGATTTAAGCCCAGATTTTGCTTCCTCGCATGCTTGTTGATCCATATCCACAACGACATGCCTTTGGAGCGAAGATAATAGCCTGAGCTTGTCGCTTTCGGTATTACTTATGTGGAGCACACCGTGGACATCATGAGAAGCCCCATGTAACGCTTTCTGGATGACCGCCTTGGTGGCATTTTGGCGAGATTTCTGGATATTGTCTGTATAATAGTGATTATATGTAATTGGCTGCAGTTTCTCATCGCTACAGAGCTTTTGCAGTTCTGCCAAAGCATCATCGAGTGTTTGCTGGAGGCGACGATTGACAATTTTGAGCATTCCATGGCGCACATGATCATCTTTGATCACGTGATTCAATGCGAGCTGGACACAAGAGGATGTTTCCTTGTGGACAGTAATAACATGTCGCTTTGCAATTTGGGGCCAGCGACTTGACTGCTCGTGAAAGAGCTCAGTCAGGAGAATGTTGCTGTAATTCCCTGGCAGCTCTTGTCCTCGCGTTCTTTTATAAACCTTTGCAGCATTAGCGACTTCTGAAGCGGGGCCGGATGGCAACGAGCACGAACCTGTTTAACCCATCCGTCAAAGGCACCTCGCGAGACTGATTGACAAGGTGGGAGGCCGTTGTCAAGGCCAGGGTGCCCGATGGATAAGCTGTCATCTTCTTCGACCACTTGCTCGACTTCCTCTCCCTGATCTCCGCTCTCTTCGTCCTCGGTTGGGTCCCGAGGCGAACCGATATTGCGCTTTTGCGACTTATCTCTCATATAGTCAGCGAAGAGACCATTGAGTTCATGAAATCGGGCACGTAACCGGCGTGGAGTTGCGCTTTCTGCCCCGTAACTGAAGAAGCCTGACAAGTGAGTGTGGTATGATCCCTCTAACGCCGCTTGCATGATCCCTTGGAAATCCATACTCAGCTTGGAGAGGAAGAGTCGCTGATCTCCGATTGTTAACCTCTCCTCTCCAAGGTCGTGAAGTTCGGCCTGGGTTCTTTCAAGAAGAACGTCGATTTCATTGCACACTTTGGGCAGCTCACGTTCAATATGATCCTCAAGAAGGACTTGAAGGAAAGACCTCAATGCTTCAATCCCCACTCTGGAGAAATTAAGTCCATGCTCTCTCCATCGCTCCGAACGGAAAAATTCCATTTCCAACCTCTTCCTTTCTAATGCAGTTGTGCCAGCTGCAAGCTCCTCTGGCGACGGATTCTTGAGCAAAAAATATCCTAGCTTCAGCTTGGTTTGGTCCAAGTTTTTGGTAAACAGGGCAATCCGCCCCTCTGTTCCCTTGTTGATGAGATCGGATTTTGTAATGATACCGACGGTTCTTTGGCCGGACTTGTCGAAATGGCGAGCACGCTGGATAATCGGTTCAATAACGATATCATTGGTGGCCTGAACCACTGCTAGGATTATTGTTCTTGAGCTTTGTAGGTACCAATCTACAAGGCTTTCGACGAGCTTCACATCTTCTCCTCCGGTTTCGTCAACGGAAATCAGACCCGGCAGGTCAACAACCGTGAGGTGAAGGCCAATATCCCCAGTGACCTCGATCCGGAGCACGTCTGCAGCGAAGGCCGGACCGTCGCACCCGGGAGCTCCAAACCCACGGATGCCCATGCACGCAGCTGCATCTTTTATCGTATCTGGCAACTCCTCATATCCATCCAGGCGGCGCTGGAAGCTCCTGAGTTCTTTCGCTTCCTGCTCGTCGCGGGTGATATGAGGGATAATTGATGCATTGATGGAGGCCGTCTCTAGTGAGTGTCGCAGGATAATCTCGGTTCCAAACTTGGTGCAAACACCATCTTGGCGGGGGAACGGGATCCCAGTAATGCCTTCAAGAACAGAACTCTTTCCAGCGGACTGGGCACCGCACACAACAAGTTGCGGCAGGGAGATATGGTCCCCTATTCCTTTCGCTCTGATTCTATCAATTTGATTCAGTCTCTGTTTGACTTTCGTTGATTGGAGTGTATTGAGGTGGCCACCACCGGGGCGGCTGTTTTCGTTGTCCGGCAATGTGATTGCCATTTCGTCGTCCGCATGTATAACCCCTTGAATTGCTCGCACTTTGCGAAGCCATGCTTAAATATAGCTTTGCTAACTATCTAGAGCAGATATGTTTCAAATCAGGTTCGGGGGCAGAAAAGCTTGCAATTTCCAGCGGACACCCTTCAACACCTATTTCACGCATAATTAAGCGGTGGATGACGCGTATATGTTATCAGCTGGTTTGTTTATCGGGCTCTATTTGCTGCCGTTCCTCGCTTTTTTGGATGGTCATACGTCACTATACGAAGCTGTCAAACCCATGCCTTGAATCAATATAAGTTCTAACTCAACCATCCATCTCCTTCCATCATCCTTTCTACCTAAATCTTAAGATTGCTGTTGACGAAAAGGTAACAGTTAATACCTATCAATTACAAGCTGTAGCCTATTTCACATCATTGGATCAGCCTCCGTGATACCTAGCCATCTTATATTAGCAAATTGTTTTCTCGTTTCAGTATGGAGTAGAGAATGAAAGCCAAAGAGCAATTCTCACATCTCTAGTTTTCTTCAAACTGTCAACAAGCCTCTCTTGGTGTTATTTGTGCTGTGCTTTTTTTTAGTTCAGCCAGTGGACTCATGCTTCTTGACTCTCTGGATGAAGTCTGTATCTATTGGTGCCAGCCTGAGGTGTTGGCTTGTGTTTTGATGGTTGCCATCCATGTAGTGTCTTGGTCAGGGAGTATGCAGCTGAGCTGGGGTGCCAGCTGAAGTGAGTGGTGGCTGTAGAGAGAAGGTGAAAAGAGAAAGAGATCTCTTGGTGGATGAGATCTAAGAGAAGAGGAAAGAGGCAGATGAGAGAGTATCTTTGAGCAAAGGGTCACCATTTTAGAGGGAAGCAGAAAGAGGGAAAAATAGACCAGTGGCTTCATGCCAAGTTGTGAAGCATAGGATGGAACTGAGAGAGCTCTGAATCTGATAGTGCTGAGATCTGATTCATTTTTGTGACTCAGAACCCTGGTAGATAACCCATTGAGCCCATGTGGCTCACTCACTCAATAACATATGGCTGAGCTGGGTGAGCCTGGGTGATTGATGACACCTCAGGAAGTGTAGAAGGAGCATGAAGAGGCAAGGGTGACCTCCTACCAAGCCATGTAACTAAATTAAAGCAGCTCAAAACACTAGCCAGATGAGAACAAGCAGTCCGTGCCTGATACTGTGATGAGACGGCTGAGGGTGCCAAAGCGGCACCACAGCCATGACCAGAAACAGCCGCCAAAATGGTACAAGATGGATTCTTTATGTGATGAGCTTGATGCTTTTGATATTTTTAATCTTTAATGTCTCTGACAGAATTCTGATCCTCTTTTCTAGTTAGAGTCTTGAACCCTCATCTCTTGTAGCAACTAGCAACTGCATTGAACATGAACTAATATCTGGGCAGCGGCTCTTTGTTGCCCGGCGGCGAGACATTTTTCCAGGATCACGTGTCGAATGCAGCTCAATCCCGGGAGTATATTATTCCGATGCCACAGCCACTTTCACGTGGCTGGCGATCGAGCCAATCAATGCCAAGCTTATTCCAGCTGCGAGAGTTGATACTGCCACCACGCACCGCCCGTTCATCGCCCAGCCGATTGTGTCTGTCAGTCGATTCATTCTGTACATGGCTTTGGGTCGACGTTAGTTACGGGCATTCTCTATCTGGCCCTCTTATATACCAAGGAACGATGGTGACTCCGTATGTTTTGCAGTTTAAGTCAAGTTGTTAATTCGAAACTCCCACCTGCTGCTCCCGCGCTCGACGTAATCTGTCATCTCCGGGATGGCCGGATAGCTCGAGGAGCGAATAGTCTACAGTCTTCAAGATTAGCGTCATTGTTCCTTTGTTCATGTTTTGATTCGGAACCATGGCCGGAATGGAAGAGATTGAAATCCATAGCAAAGTACGCCTCAGAACGCGTTTCTGACCCCTTCTCCGTTATCTAGCTGCCTAGGACTGACGGGTCTTCCACGGTCTACTTCCACAGTCGTATCTCGTTCGCTGGATCAACGTCCCCGGGGAGCATACCATTTCTTGGAGCATTCAGCCGCATAAAAAGTCACTCAATTTCGGAATTTTCAAGCACCCAGGCACGACGGGCACATTAACAGCGACATCTACCTCCATCCATTCGAACAGCGATTTCGGTGACCCCAGGGACAATGGGAAAGGTGGAAACCCTTCCGCATCGGTGGTTACCGACAAGTTAAAGGGCATCGGCCTTAAGCCGATCAAGTGGATTGGGAAATGTGAAGCGGACAAGATTTCCCAAGGGACATATGACGTTGCGCCCAGCGAGTCTGGGAACTACGCGTTGGTTTTTGATAATACGTTCTCGAAACAGATATCAAAAACCGCGACGTTTGTGCTTCTGACGTATCCTACTCATTGCCCACCGCGGTCAGGGCATCAAGTGCACCACTCGCAAGTTGTGACAGGTCCGGCTGCCGGGAAAAGCGCGCTTACAGGATCTCATGCGGTGGTTGGAAGTGGGGATTCCGGCTCTACTGAATCGTTACGGAACCCTCGCGGATATGGCTTGGCTGGCAGCCAGACAAAAAGCGGCCTACAGGCTTTGGATACGTCGCTCAATGTCCATGCAAACCTGCATACCGGTATTCTCCAGAAACGACGACGAAAACGCCACCAGGGCCACGCTCGACGATTTTTCTCTCTCGATTTTAGCACCTCAACATTGTCTTACTATCATGATCGCAATTCGTCCGCTCTACGCGGCGCTATCCCGCTCACCCTCGCTGCTATAGCTACCAATGCGGAGACTAGAGAAATCTCCATAGATTCCGGCGCTGAGATCTGGCATCTTCGCGCTCTCAATGATCATGATTTTAATTTATGGAGCTATGCGTTGGAGAAGGCTTCAAAAGCCCCAGAGGATCAAATACAATCGGAATCAAAATTGAAGGGGAGAACACAGTCAACACCCGGGCGAAGGCCGAGCATGGTTCCGCAGGATATAAAGAGCTGGACAGAGGTGGAATGGCTGGTGGAGAAGGTTGCGCTAGCCAGGGACACTGTTCGACAGCTTGCTAAGGATACGGATCCAAAGTATCTGCCGCATACCTCTGATCGGGATGCTCGAGTTCCGCCCGCTAATGCTCGAAATGGGTCCCAGCACGTCGATAACGGCGCCGAAACAGGTGATCGGGAGAAACGATCCTTCTGGAAACTTAAACCCCGGAATGAAAATTTTGTTCCGGCTCAGCGTTCTATTTCTCATGGCGACTCGTCCGGAAGTGAGAAAGCAATAACAGAGTCGACAAACGGCAAAGGTAGTGCCGTGCATGATCGTTTAATGGCGCTTCTCCAGGAGCTCAATGCTGTCGTTTCGGATTTTACTGGTCTCCTGGAGAAGAAACGCCTTCGAGCCTCTCATGCCCCGTCGATTCGAACACATCGGAGTGTCGAATCCGACCTATCTCAGGAGTTCTTTGACGCTCCTGACGGAAATTCCTCCCCGCTTCTAACTATCCGTCGTGATAGCGACGATGAGGAAGAAAAAAGCCTGGCAGAAGAGACCGTCCTCGACGACGAATCGTCTCTTTCCGGAAGTGATATCGAGGAAAGGGATGATTTTCTCAAATTTCGACATGACAATTCTGCCTCCCTATTTCCCACAAAGCCGAAATCCTTAAGTCCACTGCCCGTCGAGAATGTGGCTCGACGCAAAACTGTTACGGCCCCAACGGTTCTTCCTCCAAGCTTAATTGGATATCTACGCAAGAACGTTGGGAAAGACTTATCAACTATTTCCGTGCCCGTTTCGGCGAACGAACCAATTTCATTGTTGCAGCGCGCCGCTGAACAGTTCGAGTATTCACCTCTTTTGGACAAAGCCGCCAATGCTACGGATGCATTGGAGCGGCTAATATATGTTACCGCATTTGCCATTTCTCCCTTTTCAAACATGCGGGTAAAAGAGAGAAGCATTCGAAAGCCGTTCAATCCAATGCTCGGGGAAACGTACGAGCTCGTCCGTGGCGACCTGGGATTCCGGTTTGTGGCAGAAAAGGTCTCACATCGACCAGTTCAACTCGCATACCAAGCAGACTCCAAGGACTGGAGTTTCACACAGTCGCCAAAACCAACGCAAAAGTTCTGGGGGAAATCCGCGGAAATCATAACTGATGGGGATGTGCGATTGACCTTACACTCGAGCGGAGAACATTTTAGCTGGTCCCCTGGAACTTCGTTCCTTAGAAATATCATAGCCGGCGAGAAGTATGTTGAGCCAGTGGGTGAGATGTGTATCGTCAATGAGACGACAGGCCAAAAGACCGTTGTCACGTTTAAGGCTGGTGGCATGTTCTCTGGCCGCAGCGAAGAAGTCACTGTCAAAACATTTGACACTCACGGCGAACCGCTCCCGCTTGGCTTACAGGGCACCTGGACTACGTCTCTCCAACTTACTGAACACGGTCGCGAGACCAACCACACCATCTGGGCCGCCGGCTCGCTTGTCGATAAACCTCAGAAACATTATGGGTTTACCACCTTTGCAGCTAGTTTAAACGAAATTACGGCTATTGAGAAGGGGAAGTTGCCACCGACTGATAGCCGGTTGAGACCCGATCAGAGGGCGTTGGAGAACGGCGATGTCGACGGAGCAGAAGACTTGAAAGCAACGTTGGAGGAGAATCAGAGGCAAAGGCGGAAGGAGATGGAAGCTAGAGGGGAGACATGGACACCGAAATGGTTTACCAAAGTCGGGAGGCCGAATGGGGCGAACGGAGGTGGAATAGGGGATAATGACGATGATGGGGTAATATGGAGGCTGAATACTGGCAAGGATGGATATTGGGAGGAAAGGATGAAGGGGAAATGGCCGGGGGTTGTGTCAGTGTTCCAATTATAGTTTCGACAGCGATGACGCTCGTGCTGTACTTCCAATGCTGTGTATCATTTTGCGATGTAGTAACTTATGACTTGATGTGTTGACCGAGCGGGTGGCAGTGGTTCTGAATGAATACAGAGAATACATATCACCGTTCAAGAACTGCTTCTAAGACTCTCTTCGCCCTTTCACCGCCTAAATAATCTCTCCCTTCTCTCTTTAACCTGTGATCTTCATCCTCATCGTCTTCAATTCCGGCCTCTAGTTCCAGATCAAGACTGACCTCATACGCCCTCATAACCGTATCTTCGTCCACTTTAATCCCTCCCTGCACCAACACCCGTATACAGCCCTCCAACCGAGCAATCTCCCTCCTCGTCGCAAGACTGATCTCGTCATTCTGGCTAGAATACATGGTACCAGAAACCATATCTTCCAATCGCGTAATCGACATACCCATGCCACCGTCTTCCACCGCACTAGCCGCATCCGCACGTTTCGAGATCCAAATATATCCGTTCACGCCCAAGATAACTTCTATATCGGACCCGCCATTGGCACCGGGCACGGTCCAGACTTGCCGTCGACTGCGAACCACACCGGTCCCGCGCACGACGCCCGCACCGCCCATCCCCGCAACGGCAAGGAAGATGCCATTTCGGAGCTTCCCGTACTTCAATGAGCGCGTGTGTAGCGACGCGGAACCATCCTGATGCACGCTCTGCACCTCGGCAACGAGGAGATCACCCTCGTTGAAGAAAGAGCGGATTTGTAACTCGTCTGCGGTTGTGCGCTTGCGCAGGATGCCGCCGGGTAAGTTGATGGCGGAGAGGGGGAGGTTAGCGAGCAGAGGGGCGGCGACGTCGACTTTCCAGCGGCGGGATTGGACTTCGACGATGCGGCCGATTACGAGGTCGCCGATTTCGGGATTGTAGCGGGCGCGGAGGGGGTAAACGGAAAGGAGTTTGTTGGTTTTGAGAACGGTGCCGGCGACGGTGGCTATTATTGTGCTTGGGACGGAGGAAGTTGCTGGTGTGAATGTGCCATGGCCTCTGCGGAGTGGGTTTGTGAGCTATGGTCCTGGAAGAGTATGCTGGGGAGAATCGAACCTCATCCATTGCGGGTCATCTGTGACTACTTCTCCCGGTGTGACTATGGTCCCTTTGGATAGGCGCGGTCGTTTGGAGGGACGGGAGGTCGTAGCATCTTCCATCTCAATATCAGAATCGGAATCGTTGAAGTCATCGTTTTCTTCAGAGGAGCCATATGGCTCGTCATCCACGGCGGGAGGGAGTATCGTGATGGCCATGGTCTGTGTAGAACCAGGTCAGATAGGTTGAATGGGCGGGATCGCAGTTTAAGAAGCCAAAAGAGGGACCAGAGCCTAAAGAGATATACTGTTGCTGTTATTGCTGAGGTTGTGGTAGTTGTCAGTAGAATTTTGGATGAGGGAGGATATTCCCAGACTAGCACTCCAGGCCCACCGGGTGTCACTCTAGAACTCGGCTTCTGATTTTATCAACATCTATCAACTTGGAGATCAACTCGGACTCAAATGCGAGCCTTTACTTCACAGATGGACGTGCTTAAATTCTGTTTCTACCCTCCACCTCTAAATTCCACCTCGTCCTCCAAATCTAGCTTTGCCAGAAACTCTCGGTCAAGTTCAACATCGATATCCGTCTTCTCATCCCTTAAAGGATACCGGGGGTACAGCCAACCAAGGGCCTTTTGCAGCGGCTCCGTGATTACTCCAGCCCACTCTAAAACCTTGGTGATGGCTAGAAAGATTGGCTTTGCTACATAACGAATGGCTGCGGCACCAACCTTGACCCCGGTGAGGATGGGTTTTGGGGAGCAAACGATGGCAGCAATGAGGTCAATGGCAAAGTTATGGCAGTCCGACACTCCGAGTATATAACGCTTTCGCCGGTTGATGATTCTTTGACCTGCTCGGATCATCGCTTAGTCTCACTGAGGCGAAGAGACTGAGCTTTAGCATACCAATTGATTCGATCTGTCCGAAGCTCATCTCAGTGCTTCCCTTGAAAATCTTCTTGACTGCCAAAGGCACCTTTTTATATCGCAGTCTCTCCATACTCTCCTCGTCTGCCACCCGGGTCACCCGGAGTTCTGACCCGCGTTTGAAATACTGCAGTTCATACCGATACCAGCCATACTCATCGGATCCGATCTTCAGCGGGATTGTCAAATTATTTCTTCAAAAGCGCTGCATGGACCAAAGGAGAAGTTGTTCTGCTTACCTCAACTGCCCAGTGTTGAAAAATCAGAATAGCTGGGCTCACACCGGCTTTCCACCGCGCAAGGGTTCTAGTTTTTATCCCTTCTTCAGGTTCTAGCTCTCTATAGAGCATTCGGACCTGAAGTTTTGAAGGCTGGCGTGAGGGAAGCGTATTTGGCTTTGGCGGTACTACAGCGGCCCAAGGTGCAATGAAACCGCCACAATTCCGCGAATACTCTTCAACATAACTCGACATGGAGCTATCTATACTGAAGTCGATATCGTACCCGCCGTGAGGGGCGTATGGGTTTGGGAGTTTCGCTTGGGCCTCATGGGGACGCGGCCCAGAAGAGTCCACAGGGTCATTAAGATTATCTTGACCATATTGCGCTCTAACGTAGGATAGGCGAAGGACAGGTTTACCGGAACCGAAGGCAGGCCCCTCGTGCTTCAGGGCTGAAGAGGAGCGGTCCGAAAGTGAAGTTAAAGGGGGTTTGCATGGATCCTGGCAAATATGACAGTTACATGGTTGGGGATACGCTCGAGCTGCTGGTGGACAGCATGGACAGCGTCCCTTGAAAGAAAAGAAATTATCAGTTGTCGGTCTGCTACACACTAGATTCAAGGTTGTGGATATGCATACAGATCGCTCATACTGATTTCCCATTGATGTGACAAAGGGTTCGTGACAAGAGAGTTGACCTGGCTCTTCAACCTATACCTATGGCGTCTACCTCCGTATTCATGGAAACGGACTCTTGACATTGTAAGGCGGCCGTTCTATATATGCTACGGGCCAGCTAACCCGTTTTTTACTGCTGGCCTTGCGATCTCATTTTGCTTACCAGAGTTTCCGTCGTACTTCCACAAGAACTGCACCCAGGGCGCCAATCCGAACTTCCCACATCGACTGACATCCTGGGACTCGCGCACATGTTGGCTGCCCGATAATGTGCAGCAGGGCTGAGAACAGTTCTTGAGGGTATTTCGTGGCTTCAGCGAACTTTTTTATTCCGAAACGTGCTGGAGTTTGCGGCCGTATTGTCCACGCCATTGCTTCGTTTTGGGCCGTGTCGTCGGGAACTGTGGCCGCTTTCGTTAACTAGCTATGCAAGCTGCAGCCTGCGGGCTGCAGCCTCGTCTCGTCTTTCTCTGCTCTGCCTCGCATTCATTCGACTTCTGATACTCGGCTCGAGTATGAATAAGTGCCAAAGGTCTCCCGTGAGATTGCATTCTATATTTGTCTGTTCTCACATTTTAAAAGCTATTCGAAGCATTCTCAAATATCACACCTTCACGGCCTCCCTAGCTACATCCGGATTCAATGCGGTCTAACCCACTAATTTTGCTGGGATGCCTGGTTTATGTCTTCTTCTTAGTTGGAACAGCATTATCTGTCTGGAAAACCGTTTTTGGAGTCACCAAGTCAACATACAGAATCAAACTAGGAGAACCTGATATATATGGTCTAGGGGTACATCTGGGAATTACATGCAAGTTTTGACTACAACGATTATCGATGTTTTCGCTACATGTGCAGACGCTGCAAATCTCGCCCCCGTCAATATAGCTACGATTCCTACTTGCGATATTTCCCGCTGCCCAATTCCTGGGCTTTTCTACTGAATGCATATCTGATCACCTCAGGAAATGGGGTTGCATTGACAACCCTTACAACCGCATTCCGCCCCAATACTCATGGGATCAAAGAAAGCTGCTTGGCTGCAGCGTGTTGCTTCACCATCTTGACAGTGTCGCTTTATCGTTGGGATTGGAAGTTCTTGAATGCCACTTTGCAAATATGTTGCCCGAAACACCACAAAGATCAATTATTGTGAAATTGACAGATTCATTGGTACAGGCATAGGACTGTTACTGACTGAACGATTTTATATGAAAAGCATACCATTTCGTCAGGCATGACAAGTCTAACTCCGCTTGAGGAACACCATTGGGAAGATTCTTAATGGCTATCGGCTATTCACTAGCAACCGTGAGGCGATAGAATACTTGCGTCTCTAGATACGATGATTGCGCTCCCAACTCTGCGAGATATCCCTTGTGGACAGGCGCACCGTCACGGTCCTAATCAAAGGAGGCGAGCAATGATTGGAAGGAAGAATAAAATGAATTGTGAATTTACGGAGCCACCAAAAAAATCGGCCATCAACATGAAAAGGCTTACAGCAAAATTCACAATGGATCGCCCATCAAGATATCAGTATTCCCGGCTTATCAAAGGTGACCGCTTCGCCTCAAACTTCACGGCTCCAAGATGATGTCCGTACCCACGCACCTATTGCAAACAAACAGGTTTGTAGGGTCTACTCGCCTCTTAGTCGCCAACAGTCGGTCATATTTGTCTCCCCAGAATACGTTTTTCCAATCTGGCTCGTATCTATGTTGCCAATCCGGTTAAATTGGAAGAGGGACCCGAGGTATGGGAGGAGGAATCTTACGGATTGGCCTCATTTACATACGATCCGCCCTCTGGGCCTACTATTTCGCCGAGTCTCCTGCTGATCTCGACCAGGTCGAGTTTCGCCTTTCTCTTTTCGTCGACCGGCGCATCGTCCGTCCAGTTCGCCGACCAGCCAAGCAGGGCCCTGCTTTCTTTCCAAATTGAATGTGCAGCTGTGTTGTCTCGTTCAGTAGCATCGACTTTGCCAACTAAAGGAAAATGAGGTTAATATCAACGAAAAATCACTAGGTCCTTGCAAATTTTTCTTCGAAGCGGGATCGAAAGTGATGCTCACTAAAGCTAAACCCAGGCCCCGGTGACGGGTATTCAAAAGCCAGGTCCACCAAGTCACCCGTGCGGTGTAATAAAACTTCCTGAGTTAGGAGCCTTGATGCCTCAATAATGTTCGTAGCGATGTTTGGGTCTCGGAGGAAGTACTTGGAGTACTCAATCCAGCTCGGGAATTCAGCGTTTGCGACAAGACCAGAAACTCCTTGCATCGTTGAAATGTCATAATACGGTTTAAAGGCCGTGTTAAAAGTGGCATTAGTTCCATTGGGCTGAATGAAGATTGCATTGAACCCAAGGGGCTCATCACTGGTGTTTATGATACCGTACCCAGTATATCCCGCGTCGGTGACACTTACAAGCCCTCGAAGGGACTTTTCGAGAACGGCGCGCAAGGTCGAGTTGTTAGTGACGTTGAATTGAAGGAAACCAACCTGGATATGTGATGGGTTTGGGTGGGTTTTATATGTGACGGATGTGATAATCTATTTCAATGGTAAGCAGCCATATTACTTCTGCCAAAAAAGAGCCTTTTCATGATACTTACACCCCAGGCGCAGCCACCTCCTCCTCGAAGCGCATAGAAATATTCCGGGTCAGTATATTGGTTGAGAGTTCTACGTTCACCTTTTGCATCGACAAGATTAACCTCCAGCAAGTCTATTGATGTCAGACAAACGGGACTAGATAGCCTCGGGGAGCCGTGAGAATCGGATAAATACTTACTATCCACAGCAAGGCCATAAAAATGAGAAAAAGCACTATGGCCTCCGCCGGTAAGGTATCCTCCGGCGGCTCCGACGGTTTGAGCCGAACCGCCAACAACAATAACACCTTCTTCGGCAGCGGCTCTATAGACGTCTACAAAGAGAGTATTGTCAGAAAGCAGAATTTGGATACGTAGACTTGAGCTCACCCAACCATTGTTCCCCTGCCTGCAGCGTCACTGCCGGAATCCCTTCGGTTTCCTGGGGTGCGTCTTTTGGAACAAACGCAGCATGCCACTCCTTTCCTTTCATGTTATGTGTCCATATCGAAAACGCCCCTTGACCGCTTGATCGACCGAGACTATGAGGTGTGAATGATCATGGCCATCAAACCAGACCTAGGACTGCAACTCACTGGTCATGTCCCGTATTTTTCACGACTAAAAAGAGGTCTTTCTTCGCTGCGAATTTGACAGCAGCTTGAATGTCACCTATCTCATGGACATTGACCGAATAATGTGGAACTATGCCACATGTGTGAGCCCTAGTCATATACCCATCTGGGGTTGTATGGCGTACCGATGCCTTGATCACAGGGAGCTTCCTTTGGAGTGTCGATGAAGCATTGCCCTGTCTCACCTAGCTCCCATAGAATAGCCGAATATGCACCAGTTTGGTTGGTTCGCCAGAAACTGTTTGTCCAATTCTCCTTTGCAATGGCGCACTTGGGAGCGTCATATTGTTTTGTATGGCAAACCGCTGCGGAGGGAAAGGTCCGAATGAGATGGCCCGAAATGGAAGAATTGAATCTTTGCCACTCATTATCTGATGGCCAGCATGGATCACCATAGGCGCATCGTCGCCGATGCTGGACACCGGCGGACGCCGCGAGCAGTGGAGAAGCAACGAGTAGCAACTGAGGCAACAGAGCCTTCATGATAATGATAACAGTCGATCGGTTAAAATCAGCAATATAAAGAAAGACAAAAGTTACTGTAACTATGGTAACTAGGCACTAGTTATTCGATAGGTCAATGAGATGTGCAACGCAGTGAAAGAGGTTGAGCTCCCCTGGCGAAGCCATCGCTTTAAATGGTGCTTGCAAACTTCTTCAGCAGGACACAGTGGTCGTCTGCTGCTGCCTTTGGGCAACACGATCAGTTTCCCTTTTCAGGCCAGGATGAACCCAGCTGCACTGGATATCTTGGAGCAGCTTCGATGGAGAGACCACCGGATTGGCCGAGCCCGCGAATACGAGTGATTGTCCGTTCGAGGCAGTTCGCCCGCAATGGCAAAAACCAAGCCTGTCTTGAAATCAAGCTCGGATCGTCATGGTGATCCTCGCAAGAGTGCCCTTCCGCCACGATCCAGATCAATCAGATTCCATTCCATTACGGAGTACATCTGCTGAGCTTCGCGGCCGTCCCACGTTGACTTCGCCGCGTTGCTGACTCAGGCGCACCACAGGAAGATCGAGAGCAGACGACGCCATAGATCCAACGGATGGAGGACAATGATGATGTCTGCAAACTGTATTCACCTTCGATTTCAATCTTGGGGTTACATGACTGCCAACGGAAACAAAATATAAACATCAGAAATCCATCAGACTCCTTGAAAACGCCAGAACAAGCCACCACAAATTCCCCCTTAAGCGTGCCTGGATTCTTTCTGCATTCCCCTTGCTACAGTTTCCCTCTACAAAGCCTCCCCAAGGCACCCTTGAGATATGCAGGCTAGCCTCGAGTCAAGCCCTCTATGTCTCGACACGCTGCGTGCGACGCACGTTCTTCAGATGTAGCTGAACGGTTCACATACAATTCTCCTCCTTCGGAACCTGTCAACAGCAATTGCCGAGCTGGATGGGAAACGGATCAGCATCTTGTCCGGACCAGGATAGGGGAAATGGGAGTCAAAGTTATCTACTTACCTATGGTCGTATGATACCCTCAATAATTGTTCACAGTTCCACAGTCCATGCACTGGCATGGAGGGCGTCGCAGAAGCGGCTTGTTGCAATTCCAGCACTTGTGCTCCGCTGGTGGCCTATTGAGCTTGGCTGATTCTGGGTTGGTCTTTGTGTTTGGGCGAGCGTGGTTAGACGGACTCTCTGATGCTCTAGGCATGACTGTACCGGGCAGGGGCGGAAACTGGGCTTAAGTTGAATCGATTATGTCAACAACGGCACCGAATCGCTAGAGATGCCGGTTAGGATATCCTTTCTCATGTCGAGCCTGGGTGGGAGAGTCATTCCCATTTATGTTGCTGGATAAAAGTCGTGACTGTCTCTCAACTCCTCCAAGGCCCCGAGCGTTTGACTGAACGCCAGACTGAAAATGCCTTCGTGCCAAATACGCCTCTCTCGGATCCCAATTGCCGCTGGGGCTTTCTGCTCTATATCGAACGGTCGCATGAACATTTTGTGCCCGCCACAACGCCTTGTCGAGAGCACAGACTCTGGATGGTGCTTGAACCCGGATACATGCCCCGGCTGCCTGTCACGAACGCACGGGTGAACATACGCATCCGGCGGTCCGCCGTTTCCTCTCTTTGACGCCTGAAAAAACGTTCTCGTTTGCGGTCATATGGAGAGTGCCGTTCTGAAACCACCAGCTGCGGCAATGTGGTTGCTACCCTAGCTAACTACTTGAACGTTTCGATCCAGAATCTCAGCCACTCACTGTGGGCAATGCGCAACATCGCTCGTTTTCTAAAACCGTGGACTAATACGGTGGTAGTAATTTAGTAACTCTTTGTGAATATTTTGAGGAACTATGAGGATGATATCCCAGTCAATTGATAACCGGATCGAGAAACGCATGAAATTTGCTGATGGTGCGAAATGCGGAGACTGCCTAGCCAGGGGTTGCGGCGTTTCTAAACACAGCCTCGCATCAGTCCCAACAGACGTCGCTTATCACGAACCCATCTACAGGCATGACACGCCTACAATTGCCTATTTTTAGGCCGTTTCCGACGAACCTCCCCGGCACCCAAGTTCTTGACCAGTTTCAACATCCGACTTCCAACAACAACCTCGTATCCGGGCATTAAAACTACTCAGAACCTGGTTCTTTCGCTTTCTACCATGCCTTCAAGCTATCCATCAGCCAATGTACCTCCCGTACTTGTTGAATTCTTCATCGGCTTTTAATCTATCCAGATCCTCATCCCTCAAACCTATCGCGACAGCAATCTCGCCGTCTCGAGACTTGGGCATCAAGTATATCAAGCCGTCAAACGGGTCAAGTCGTGGCCTGCGTACAGCTTCAGGTTTGTCCAATCCAAGATTAAAGTCAAGCTCATAACAGTCTAGCTTCGCCCAAGAACTCAACATGAGATCTGTTGATGGGTCAATGTTCGCGGTAATGGAAACTGTATTCTTATCCGGCGTACGGCTGATAAGTGTCGCTAAAGCACGTGTGCGATACTCTATATCTGATGTTTTGGGATCCACTGCTGAACGAAACTGGGATGCGACCGCGCCCAACGGCTGCTCAATCAGCTTTTGAAGCGTGGAGGTGTGGTAATTTAAGTTCTGTGCAACTCCCGGATACATCTGTGGGATATTAAAATAACGCCTGATATCGACGGCGCGGGTGATAGTAGATTTAGTTGTTGGCTCAAGACGAGGGAGTCGAGCACGACTGATGGACTGCCAAATGAAGGCGCTGAGGGCGTCATCAGTGGATATGAAACCCGACGGCGGGCTCGAGGCGCTTGTAGCTAGCGCTTTCAGAGCGACAAGTGACCTGGAAGAGAAAATGAAGTAAGCCCAGGTGCATTTCGGAGGAGTAGTCGCCGGGAATGGAGCTGGTTGGTCGCCATGGGAAGGTGGTTTCACAGGCTGTTGCTGTGCGGCGTCGGAATCCGAAATGTAGGGATTATCCAGCCAGGGAATGACATGGCGACGGTCAAGATTGCCAGATGACAGTTCTTCTGGTGTAAAAGGCTCATTCCGACAAGCCTTGGAGAACAGATCGATAACCTGACCTTGGCCAGTCATGTCCATGGCGCCGTGCTGGCCGACAAACATGAGTAGAAGACCGCCAGAGATAAAAGTAGCTTGTAGGAGGAAAACCGGCATCGTATCAAACGCAGGTTCGTCAGGGCTTCCCGGAATTGTTTTGCGCGGAGCAATTACTTTTTCGTCCAGCATGGCGAAAGGGAACTCGGCATGCCGAAGAGCGTCCATCGTCGGCATGGACGGGTCATTTCGGAGATCTTTCACAACGAGAGGAGGAGGCTTCGCCAACGGTTTGATTTTGAATATACCCGAACTGTTCTCGCTTGAGCCTTCGTTGACGACATGACCCGCCAACCATGGAAAGCTCGCCGATAGCCGTTCAAGGCCATTGGTGAGGGTGGTGATGATCCGCGGGTGCGACGAAGCGTCGGCCACTGCATAGCACAGGCATATTTGGGTATATATTTGGAGCAGTGGTAGTTGCCCCAGGATATCGAGATGGTAATACCCGCTCCGGTCTTTGGAAACCAACAGCGGCTCATCCATTTCGGCTGGCTCAAGAGTCGTCTAGGTCTCTTGTTTTGTCCTATTTTGACGTTGGCTGGCGCCCGCTCCAACGCGAGTCGATGCTGCAGGTTAGAGCATTGGCGAGGCTCGGCAACCTGCACCTCTCCTCTCTCTGGCTTTTGCTGGATTGGGACATTGGACACTGTAGGGTGGTGTTTATGATCGTTAAACGATATAAGAGCGGGTTGGATCCGGGTTCAAGGCGTAGTTAATATATGGTAATTAAACCTCAAAGGATGAAGTTAAATATCCAAAAAGGTCATCCCATATAAATCCTAATATATTAACAGAAAACATTCGGACATTGACTAATTGTGCTTACTTTTATACCCACGATATCATACTTGATCTTTGGAAGTGCCAGTTAGTTATTCTAACCCCCAGAAGTGTATTCAAGCCATCGCTTTCTTCTCCTAGATTGAGTCTCAGAGATTGTCAAATGATTTCACAAATGAAAGATCTGCACTTTGGGGAATATTGAAATCTGTCCATTCCATTGAAAGAAAAGACTTTAAAACATTGAGTAAAATTGGAATTTCAAAATGTTCGACCGTAGAGCTCCATCTGACGCCATCTTGCCCATTTTTTCATCTCCGCCACGGCTTGCTGATTGCGATGCTTCCATGATGTCGCAGCAAAGTACTCGTTTCTCAGAGCTTGGTCGGCGAAAACTTGGTTCCGCAGGTTCTTATCGAACAGAACCATGCCTTCATAGAATCTCTCCCCTGCTACTTCGGCATCTCGTCGATTGTTCAGAACAACACGCTTCCATTCTCTAGCCATATGACTCGTGACCTCCCACAATTTATAGACGTCGGGCCTGTCTTCGGGATCCGAGCTGTGACACCGCTCGCAGAGCTCGTGAAGAGTAACAGAGTATGGCAGGTAGTGGTCTGCGTCAGAGCGCTCGATGATCAGCTGATGTTCGAGGCCAGTGTAAACTTGGTAGACCTTTTTGGATGCGTTTTGGATGGTGTGTGATAAGGCATAGACGTCAATTTTAGAGCTTATTTCCCACGGTGCATAGATATCTCGTGCCTCCTGCATCGTTCCCTGTGAGCATAAATATAATCTAGCCACTAACAGGGGTTTCAGATGGATGTGTCTTACCGGAGGAGTATACTCCCCGGTTCCCTCCATGCAGAAACTTTTCTTATACTCTCGCACATCGTCGTTGGGCAAAGTATAAGCCAGACCTAGATAATTCACTGATGGGGTTAGAGCTGTCGGTTTGAACGCAGGGGCTTTTCCCACCAAAATCTGCCAGATAGAGATTCGGGTACAGCTCATCAGCGTTATGCGAAGGTGGCGATCCAATGAAGACTACAAATCGTTAGACTGATAAACTTGCTTTGGATGCAAAAGCCAGACTCACTATTGCTTGGCTTAACATCTTTGTGCACAATCTCCTCCCATCCGGGCTTGATATACGGCTTTGCATGCCCATTCGTACAGTACAACACCGCAGTCATCATACAATGAAAAAGGTGCCACAAAAAAGCTTCTGGTAGCAAAATTCTATCAAGACGAATAGTACCATCAATTAGCTTAACGGCATCTGAGCAACGTTCGACGGTATCAAGGTTCCCCTTCCACGTACTCATTCTGGAAATAGTCATCGAAAAGAGCATCGATGCTGCCTCCCGGATAGTAATCGTACAGGATGCGGAAATAATATTCTAAGCGTTGTTCCTCGCTGTCGCTGTCGCTGTCGCTCTCACGAGAGAGAGCTGGTCGCGTGCCCAAGTTTAACCAGTCATGAACTTTGACGACATTGGGGCATCCAGCAGCGTTCAATCTTCGAGTTAGATGACCTTCACTGCAATAGTCTGCCCAAAAGGAATCATTTTGGGTATCTTTGATGGCGAAGAAAATCGGGTCCTGAGACTGACGTTAACTATCATTTGAAAGCCATCAACCAGCTGCAGTAGGGGGGAGTTCGCACCATTGTACCAAATGGATGCCACGCACAAAGATATACGGTGCCGTACGAGCCATGGCCTATGACCTTGATGCTTTCCCAGTGACTCTCAGCGGTAATCCTCATTGAAGGCTGAATCACCGGCAGGCGTTGCAAGCGCATCAACTGCTCCAAAAATTCCTCCGGATGCTCGTAGCACCCAATATCAATTTCACAATCGGCTGCTGACAGCATCCCCATGTAGTAACCGATCGCCCCTGGGCCAGGAGTCACATCGCCTTTCCCCGGGTTGAGAAAGTTGTGACAAAACCTCTCGAGGAATACTTTCGGAATACCTCCAATAGACATAACTGAGATGCGTGTTTGAAGGAAGGCTGAAGGCAAAATCCCCTTGGTGAACCTTTAGAAAGAGAGACTTGAATTCTCTGAGGGCTATCCTGCACTCAACTTTTCACAAACCCATCGTAGGAAGAATCAAAAGGGAAGTTCAGGCTCTTTGGGAATCTGGTATCTTCTGACGTGTCTGTAAGAACACATTCGAGGATGTCAACAGAAGGTATGAAACGCGGTGCTTGACGCTCATGGAAAAAAGAAGAAGCTACGCGAAGAACAATCTGGAAGTTCTACATCCAAGACAGAAGAGAATCGAAAGGAATAAAATACTACCGACGAGCACAATAATGATCGAAGACAATGGACCATTATAATATAAGTACAGGGAAATGGCCCTATAGGAAAAATTAGAAGGAACACAAAGCACCAAATGGATCCATAGAAATACAATCGACAATCATCTTCAAGGACGGTACTTTAGCTTGCCGTTGCAGCAGCGGCAGTAGATGTTCGCTTTCTCTTTGGGGCATCTTCTTTCTTCTTCCTCGATCGACCGCTACTTCCGCCCTTTGGACGGTATCCACCATCTTCGTCTCGTTTCCTCTTAGCTCGACTGCCACCCTTTGTAACCTCTGGCTCCAAGTCAAGCATAAAAGCGTCCTCCTCGGGCCCCTTGTCCTCTTTCGAGGCTTGTGCCGCCGCCCGCTTGGAGGTACGAGTAGCTGCTGCCTTTGTCGATACTGACGGCTTCTCCGGGACGCCAACCGATTCTGTCTCCAGGAAGGCACTAGGATCATTTTTTCGCAGCCAGTGATACATCGACGTGGGGTTGCGCAGGATGATTTCCCTTTCTCTCTCAGCGGTCGACGGCCGTTCCCCTGTCCGAGTGAAGCCTGCGCCTGAGTCGAGGTTGTTTGTATATTCCATGTCGTGCTCCGGAGACAGAAATCCAAGCGTAGAATCTAGATCTTCGACTGGGCCTGGGTGGTCACCGTTCGCTGGAACCGCATGTGGTGTTTTCAAGAGTTCGGTATAGTGAAGCGCTGGAGCAAAATTGTCGCCCCGGGTTATGGATTCTTCAAGTCGTTGGCACGAGGCTGGGGATATTTTGCCTTCTATTAACTTCACCCTCGCTTCGCGGAGTTTTTGGCGAGCAGTCGCGACGTCGTAGTTGAGTTTTGGTACAGTATCCGGTTCTTGGTAATATGCCCTGGGGAATGGCTCCGTAGGAACGTCTAGCTCGTATCGAAAGTGTCGAGGGATTCTGATGCTCGAGTTGAGCTCTAGAAGGAGTTCTAGAAGTTGGCTATGCAATTACAAGCGTCAGCAGCTGCCAGATTTATACGGACCATGCGCTCCGACATACTCATTCTGTTCCTTGAGACGTTTCGAGAGGTCGATAATCTTTAATTCCTCCCTGACAAGTGAGTTTCCCTCCTTCATCGCCAACTCAAACTTGAGTTTTAATTTTGCGAATTTTCGCCTAGACGGGCATAATTAGCATGGACAATTGTGAAATAGAAGCGCGGGGGTCTAACTTGAAAGACTTGTAGGTGCGATGCACGCTCGGGTCATGCCCATCAGGCAAGCTCCCGTTCGTCGAGAGCGATTCAGTAGTGTCTCCGTGGGAAGCCATGGAGCCAGTAGATCCGACTGGTAATGGTATATCTGATAAACAGCGGTGGAATCGTGCTGGTCTTGATGAATGATTCCCTGAGATCCTGGACTTGGAGTCAGGTAAAAAGAAAGGGTGGTTTGAGCTGTCGTCGTCGAGGTTGTTGGGTTCAAAGCGCCCCCCAGCCAATTCTTCTGACAAACAGACCATCTGAAGCTAAAATCCACACCTCGGAATTTTTCAGCGACAAGAAGGCCAGTGCAGCCGGCCTCACCCTCCCTTTTGTTATTTCGAAACGGATCATTGCTCAACAATGGACCCTGTCTCAGATTCCTCCCCGAAAACGAGCCGTAAGCGAAAGCTTGACCCGGAAATCGAGGTCGACCTCACGGCTCCCGAGCCTCCTTCGAAAAAAGCTCTCCGAAAAGCCAAGAAGAAGCCAGGTGCAGTGAGCACGGAGGACTCGAAGCGAACAACTCCAGAGCCAAAGGCCAAAGAATCTGGCAGCGAGCAATCGAAGAAGCGGACCACGTTTGAAATCTGGATCGGAAATTTGCCCTTCACCGCGACGCAGGACGATCTACGCAAGTTTTTTACTACGCAGGGAACGTTTACGCCGGACGAAATCACGCGTTTACACCTTCCAAGTAGTGGCGAGAAAAATAATGGGAGACAAGTATTAAATAAAGGGTTTGCCTATGTTGGCTTCTCGACCAGCGAGGCGGTACAACGGGCAGTCGCACTGAGCGAGAAACTCCTCTCAGGACGAGCAGTCCTCATTAAAGATGCAAACGATTATTCGGGACGCCCCGAGAAGTCTGACGCTGTTGAAAAACCTTCGAATAAAACCCCCTCGAGGAAGATATTCGTTGGGAATCTCGCGTTCGATATTACAAAGGAAATGCTAGAGGAGCATTATCAGCCCTGTGGGAGCATTAGCCACGTCCATATAGCCACTTTCCAAGACTCTGGCAAATGCAAAGGGTATGGCTGGGTGGAATTCGAGGAGTTGGACTCTGCAGTGGCCGCAATCCGGGGATTTGTCAAGGTGCCAGAAGACGAGGAGGCTGACGCATCGGCATCGGATGGGCAGCCAAAGAAGCGAAAGGAGAAGAAGGTATGGGTCAATCGCTTGCTGGGGCGCACTTTGCGCATGGAATTTGCGGAGGACAGCACCACTCGCTACAACAAGCGCTTTGGGAAAGAAGGGTCGAAGCGGGAGGATGGATCTAAAGACAAGCGCCAGAACGACGAAGCTGCTCCTATCGAGGAGGTTTCTACCGAACGAAGTTCGTCTCGAAAGACGGAGGCGCGTACCAGGCCAAAGACAAAGGCCAAGGGCAGCTCCACCGGTCGCTATTCTGAAGAGACGGTTCAGCGGCTGAGCGGGACAATAGTCGAATCGCAAGGGAAGAAAACCACATTTGATTAGGCGATAGTCAATGGCAGGGAATTCTCAGAGTTGTGTTCTCACGAAGCTCATCCCGTTGATTTCATCTGCTATTAGCTAGTGTCCTTGTAGGATTGTAGGTAATCACCATGGCCTAGCAGCCTGCAGAGGGAAGCGGGAGCCTGGCCAGTGCGTCACTCGCTTCCCTTTGGCTCCAGGAAGCAGCTTACCTAACAACCGTCTTCTTTTGGTGACGGAGCTGGCAGTACGCTAGGCCCAACAAGGACTAGCGCCAGTGACTTTTGCTGCGTCGCTTCTGATAACGGGCCTGGAAGAGAGGTCGACGAGGGTGTTTTTCAGTATTGCGTGCCCAAGCGTCTTCCTTGTGAGCATCGCTTGATCAGAACAAGGTATCTTGCTCTCTCTTGTCCTCAGTTTGGTTTCCCTTCCTTTGTTGGGCTAAGCGTCAAGTGTTCCTCTCCTTGGCCCTCTAAACCAAGCTGTTGCCTCCTCGTGCCTCTGCCCTGTTCTCTATTTACCGTCACCAAACAGAACGGCATCTGGTCCTTTATGCCATCCATGCTCGCTATCCAAAGCTCCTGGATCTTGTTGCTGCCTGTTGCTGATTGTTGACTTCTCATTGACTCTTTCGCAGATGGCTCCGCACCATCGTCGCCGGCTTGCAGTCAGTCGTCGTCGCCCCGAAGATGAGGGCGAGGAGGATGGTTCGGTGGCGGGAGACTACGAAGATGATTCTTTGAGCGATGCCAGCAGCCATCAGGATGAGGATCATGATGGTGAAGAAAGCGATTTCAGTGACCACGATCTCGCGAATCCAGACTCCGCCAGCAAGCATGGTCGCGTGGAGCCTTTAGCCGAAAAGGATGCCAACCTCCCATCGCCGAAAAAGCCCTCATTCGACACCAAGACCTCGGAAATGGAAGCGATGTTGAACGGATTGAAGCTAGCGGATAACGGTGCAGAAGCTACAGAAATACATTTCGACGATATGGGGGATGACTCGGGGCCTGCTGCGAACGACAAAGGCAGGCCGGTGTCTCGCGGCCAACGGGCAAAAGGGGACCGGAATGAATCTGCGAAAGAACGGGGAGTAAATCCTACATCTGTGCCAACTCGCGGTGGTTTTTTCCTTCATGATAAGAGGGGCAATAAGTCTCCAAATGGCTATCGTGCCGCCAATAGTTCCAAACCGAAAAGCAAACCTCACGGCCTCATAGTGGACAGCAGTCAAAGGTGAGTACTTTTATACCCGTTGCTGGCCCGTTCCTGACGTTCTGACGTGTCCTTGTCGCTATACAGGCGCCCTGCGCAAAAGCCCGACGTTACGGATGCACCCTGGACTCACGATCTACATGAGTCTATCAACCAGCCACCTCCAGCCCAAAGTCGCCCGTCATCCACTCAACCTTCTGCCGTTCCGCCGATGCAAAGTTACAAGCCAGTTCCCACAGCTCCTCGATCGACGCCGCCTAATCGCTCCTTCTCAAGTACTGTTTTAATTGGAAACGTGCCTGTTGTAGTCTTTTTACCTGGGATGGCCAATCCGATACCCTACTCCGCGGTTCCAAAAAAGCAACATACACGCCTTCCCCAACACCGCCCTCCGCTGCGCAGAGATAAACCCGTGCGAGTGGCGCTTCCTGGCTCACCGCCCCGTTACATTTTCCCTTCCACCGAACGCTCGTTCATCTTCATCCCTCGAGCTCTGCGACCAAATCAGCAACTGTACCGTGGTCGTGGACGCGGTGGGTTCTACGGCAGCCGAAGGAATAGTCTATATGGGGGAAGCGTGTATAGTCCAAGTCTGCCAATGAGTCGGAGATCATCCATTGGTAGAGTTGCTTCTCGCAACGGCGTGATTTCACCGGGAGGTTCTGTCATCTCCAGAGCACCCATTATTCCTGGAGACGTTGGGAAGCCAGTGGTCCGTCTTCCACCTGTAACGCATGGCCAGGCACCAATCGGTCCAATGGCACCCCCGCCGGTACCTCCTAACGTGGCCCCGGCTCCTGGTGCTGGACCGCAGCCTCTTGCTCAGCTGCCATCCTACACTCCTCAACACCCACCTTTCCGAGAAAATCGGCCGACTCCAACGATCCCTATGCACCAACCTAGGCCGCAGAAGACAGTTTCTGTAGCCGATATTGAGTCACCCATGGCCTTCTATAACCCTCCACCTCAGCAACAAGAACAGCCATTCCATCATCAGGTGCCTATGGCGCTGAATGGTGCTTCTTATGGCCCCGAATCCGCCGGATACCCTTCGCATACTCGCCATGTCTCGCACCCTCCACAAGCCTCAGCAACACCACTTTCTCAGATTCCGGAACGCGCGATCCATGCCCCTCCCTTTCAACCCTATCCTTACCCCCAGCCGCAAAGCTACTATTCCCCTGGATCTTATCTATCTGGGCCGGTTATGTACCCAGGGCCCAATGCAGATTACCCTCAATACAGTGCCCCTGCTCCGCCAGGTGCCGCACCCGTTTTCGTCCCTGCTGGACAACAGGCACCGTATGTCATTGCGCCTCAACCCCCTGCTGAACCGTCTACGCAGCCGGGAACAGTCGCGCATGAATCAAACGGCACTGTCTACTATTACGATGCCACCCAATTCCCGAATTATCCCAACACCGCCTATCCTGTGCCCCCGCAAGGCGGAGTTGTCGGGATGGGCGGTATGATGACTCCTCCGGGAACTTACTACTACCCCCAACAACCGAATGGGGCGATGTACTACTCTTAAAACAAAGGCGCTGGATATAACCTCTCTCAACGCCCCTTTATTGCTTTATGGGCCCAATTATATTTTCCCACATCAGTCCCATTTCTAGGGTTACATGATAGCCGGCGTTTTGTTTTTGGCCTTCATGGTAACGGCTCGGTTTTTAGCTAGATTTTTTTATGTTTTACGCATACCGGCGACCTTCAATATTTTAACCAATTCCCCCTTCTGAACTTCGAATGCTCGATATCGTCTGTTCTTTGACATCTTTATAATGATAGCATCAATTATGTCATTATCTTTTACCGAATGTTCTTCTTTTGACCAGCGACTGCTAATGGTTTTGTTCAAAAGCATGCAATGAATTCTCCCCCATTTTACCCATCGCTCCCAACAAAGCTGCTGACCCTTGCCCGCAGCCCATTCGATGATATGCCTTACCCTATCCCCCAGCATTCAATACCATAGCGTTTATCGATACCGCTTTCACTTCTCCTTCGATTCTATGCCCCGATCTGCTTCTGTGCGCCCCCCTTTCCTCCTTTTTCACTTTTTTGATATTCAAAATCACCCAATGTGTTCACTAATCAGCTGCTATGTATCAAGTCCCAAAAACCTAATGTCGACTGTAGATGGAATGTGCCATATCCCCTACCACGCGACTTCAACGGGAATATTCCTCTTCAAGAGATAGCTCGTGAAACTTCAAAACTAGCCATTCATTTTACGTTCTTTTCGGTCAATATCACTCTTCTGAGATCTTTCACTAGACCTTGCACTCAGAGCATCCTGCCCAATAAGCATTCAAAATGGGAGATTGACTTTCAGCTATTCAGATGACTGTCGAGTCAATTCTTCATGGAGCAACCGGTAACCTTTGGGCTATCAATGACGAAGGATGAAACAGTAATTCGTGGAACCATCTGAATTTCCTCGCATTCTACGGAGTACGGAGCAACTTCCACGGATCGCGAGGCTACATACAAGGCGGAAGTTCTGGGAAGATGGTAGTCAACTAACAAGTTAATAGTTATGGGGCAACACCCGACAGCCTCGTCGGAAGCTGATCTAACTACAGAGTCGAGCAGAAGGCTCTCCGTGTCAGAGCAAACACAGTCCTCCGTCAACTCGAGCACCGTCCAGTTGATCCGACATTCAGATATCAAATCGCAGCCACTGCCAACCCTTGCGAGGAGCGGTGTACGGTAACTCTGACAAGTACCAGGCTGCGCGGTAACAAGCGTACAATACGCCGCATGGATGTCGGAGGGTCTGATATCATCGAAGCTTCTCCGCATCCGAGTGGCCCCAAGCCCGCAACTAGGCCTGATCCGGACTAGCCGCCTGACGACCAGGCTCCGGGTCTCCCCAATGGGCGGCGTAAGTTACGGTATCAGCCTCGAATTCGCAGGCTCCAAGTGCACGACGTAACACTCGTTTCCATACAAAACCGCCGGAACCCTCGCCTGCGGTTGGTCCAATCCGCTGCAGCTCCCAGTGACTTCCTGCATCACTCGGACCCCCTCAAGTCCCATCGTTCCCCCCAGAGCTTCACCTCTTCTTCTCTTCTTCCTCCTCATCCTCCTCCTCTTCCCTCATCCTCCCTTCCATCAACCTCATCTTCCACCCTCTTCATACCTAGTCAAGTCAGGTCCAAATTCATTACTTGATCCAAATCTACCTCTCAGAACGCTACTCGGCTGTGGTATCTACTCAACCCAGCACATGGTCTAGAGGTCCTTGATCTTCTAGGCAGCCACTTCATGCCAGCCTGAAAGCTGGTGATCCTCTTCCAGTACCCCTCAGCCCTTCAAAAGTTCAACATCTGTTTCTTCTGTGAACTAGTCATAGAATCATGGCTGCATTGGTGGGACCCGAGACCCTCATTGCTATCAAGCTCAACTACGAAGGCGCCAATAGGCGTTTCAAGCTTCCCCTGAAAGACCTTGGAGCTTACACCTTCCCTCAGAAAGTGAGCAACTCTCTGTTCGCCCGGTTTGCCTTGTTGTTTTCGTTGCAATTTGATATATTGAAAGCCGTGTTGCTTCACAGCCCATTCATTTTTACATTGGTTCACTAATGAGTATGGCCATCCTGCTTAGATTCGTCAAATTCTCTGCCTACCAACCGATTCCAACTTCACCCTCGAACGTTATTCCGACAGTGCCGCAAAATGGATAGTTTTAGACAGCGAGAATCCTGCCATCTACAAACAGCTTTATCGAGCTGCCAAGGCCAAAACTAAGCTTCGAATTAAGTTGACCGAAGATAAGCATGAGCCTGAGCCAGAACAAAAGCCAGCACTAGAGTCATTCAGCGAGAGCACGGTTTCTCCAGCGTCCCGCGGAAGCTATCTGAACACTGTGCTGAATGATCCCGTGCCAGCCAGAGATGGCACTCGACCTCGTATTGCCAAGAGACAAGCTCCGCAGATGAACGATATCGGGGAGCTGCCGCAGCTTCAGTTAGCTGAACCCAATGCATGGATCATCGATACCTCGGTTCCGTCGAAGACAAGGGATAACCCGACGTTCTACATTGACTGTAACAACTGTGGGGACTCTATTCCTAACGCTCATTGGCATTGCAGCATCTGTGATAATGGCGACTATGACTTATGCCAAAAATGTATCGATGATGGCGTTCTCTGCCCAGGTGAGGATCACTGGCTCATCAAGCGCAGTGTGGTCGACGGTGCCGTCGTAAATAGCACTACCGAGACTATTGCCCCCAAAGCTCAGGAACAACCTACAGAAGACAGTACGGAGGAAGGTTCGCTTGAAACAGTCGAGGAAGAACCTGAAGTTGAACAAGATGAGCAGGAACCTGAGATGGCAATGCGTACATGCAATACTTGTTTCCAAGGTATGGACAAAGCACCTAATTTCGAGAAGGATAGTTTAAACTGATATCTATTTAGACTATGATGAGGCAGAGCTTGTCACTTGCTTCGACTGCAATGACTATGATCTTTGTTTCAGTTGCATGGTCGAAAATACTCACGGTCACCATCCAGGCCATAACTTTAATTTCATTCAGGATGTTGGAACCTCAAACCTCAAGGACAAGGTACGACGGCTTTGCGGCCCAGGCCGAGGAGTATCCCATAGGGCATTGTGTGACGAATGTGACCAGGTTAGCTCATCTCTCATTCTCTCTCTTTTTTTTTGATTTCTGTGCGGGTGTATTAATATTGTTTCTAGCGAATTTGTGGCGTGCGCCACAAATGTCTTGATTGCCCGGATTACGATTTGTGCTCCAATTGCGTCGACTCTGCTCCATCCAAGCACATCGGCCATCGGTTTGTTCCTCTGTATAAGCCTATTGCGATCGCTCCTGGCGTTCAAGAAACCCATTACGGTATTTACTGTGACGGCCCGCTTTGTAATGACCGCTGTTCATTTATCACGGGCATTCGCTATAAATGCGCCATTTGCCACGACACCGACTTTTGCTCTAATTGCGAGGCTCACCCTGAGAACAATCATAACCACACACACCCTCTTTTGAAATTTAAAACTGCAGTTCGGCATGTTTCCATCAGCACCGTGGGTGAAAATGAGCAAGGCCAGCCGTTGCAGAGAATGGGTGATCGGTCCCTTGCCCCAACCAAGGCTGTGGGCGTTTCTCACGCTGCTACACAAGTGCAAAAATCGAGCGACCTTCCAGCACCACCTTCTCCAGCATCTTCCGCAACTATCAATGAAGAGAAGGAAAACCACGAGGCGGAGAAGAATGAAACCCAGCCTTGGACAGCTTCATTTTCTTCGCCAGAATACTTGCAAGCACGGTTTGTGAAAGACATCGTTGCAGATGGGACTGAATTCCTCCCCAATACCGTGTTCAAGCAGACTTGGTATCTTCAGAACTTTGGCCCGCGTCCATGGCCTAGAGGTTGTAGTATTCGATTTGCTGGTGGTGATGCAATGTTCAACGTTGACACGGATCATCCCACTAGTACCAGCCAGCTTATCTCCGCAATGGAAAGCAATGAACTTCCTCGGGACGTTATGCCAAACGAAATTGTCCCGTTTACCTTGACTTTGAAAACTCCATGCCGCCTCGGTCGGGCTATTTCGTACTGGCGCCTGAAGACCGCCGATGGAATTCCCTTTGGAGACCGATTATGGTGTGATGTCGTTGTCCGATCGGCAGTATCCCAAAGCCGTGGTGACTCGGCGGAACAAGAATTTGGCTCAGTGCAAGGTTATTTTGATGGTCAAGACGAAACCCAGGAGAAGAATGGTGCGGAACCTCTTGCAGAGAGCGGGATGGTGTTCCCAAAATTAGATAAGGAGTCCCCTGAGTCCAGCATCGTAGAGACCCCGGAGCCGGCATCAACCACTGCCAAGGATGTGGAACACGACATCGCTGATGATGTTGAAAGCCTGACAATGGACGACGCTGACTCCGACGGCTTTCTTACTGATGAAGAGTATGACATCTTGGATGCCAGCGACGAGGAGTTTGCGACTGGGGCTCAAAAGCGTGAACAGAAATAGATATTCAACTCCATGATGGTGCGTGACCCGTAACCACTAGGCCCTCCATCCATATATCTCTCAGAATGCCAACCTTGTGTTATTTGCTTGCTTTTTTTATTCAAGGGATGTGCCCATGCTTGCACTCGTTTCTTGAATCTCATGCTGCTCCTAGGAGTTCAACGGTAAAACATGACGGATGTACCATGATTCAGTTTTGTCGGTCTACTCTCCGCTTTGCACCAACCGGATCGTGGTTGGCGAGATATTGGAACTGGAGGAATGACCCCGAGGGGAGTTGGTAGTTCGCCCGTTCCTTTGAAACAGGGAAAACAGGCGCGGATTTTGGTTTCTGATTTAATATCCAGCTACGATACTTGAGTTGAGACTGAACTTGCCTTCCACTCTCTTTGTATGTATGAACTTGAAACTGCTTGAAAGTCCTGCGAGCCTGTTCGGGGGGGTAGGTGTGAGTAATTACTATGCCTTAAAGAGTCTTCGCTAGGACTTCTCGGTCTTGTAATCAGAGTAATGCTATGGTGGTTTTCGCTAACAACCGCGTTCTGATTTCCGAATCCGTGCTGTGTGGCGGAAGTCGCGGATATGTTGGTGTAGCCTAACAAGGGCTGGTAAGGCCAAAGCCGCCGCCACCAGGCAACAACGCCCCCGTGGTCTAGTTGGTCATGACGCCGGTCTCATAATCCACTTATGACGAGCAGAATTCACTGCTGGGCAATCCGGAGGCCACCAGTTCGAACCTGGTCGGAGGCATTTGCTTTTTGTCGTCTTTTTTTTTTATATTCTTTCTACTTGATTGATTCGTTCCAAGCACAATGTCCGTTCTTAGTCATCAGCTTGAAGTGGCTTCCGGCGCGCCCTAAATCTGTCAAAATACGAGCCCGTTGATATCCGGACTTCTAGTCAATCACCATCTGATCTCCGTGGACCTGGACCGCTAGACACTGGCATAAAAGACCGCTCAGTACCTAATAAGAGCGAGCTTTGGACATGATGAACCTATTCTTCGTCCATCCAAACCGAAGCCATCTGAGAAAGCAAACGCTGCTACTAGAGAAAAACTAGTAGACATCTTTTCTGATTCCGTTGGCTTCTTTCTTCCCCTGCCGGACCCGCCTACTTCTCAGAGCAAAATTGTCCCAACCTGAACACTGCAGCATGAACGTGCAAAACCAATTCCACATCCATCCCGCCCGCTCCCTTCAAGACATTGACACCGCAACCGCCTTGATAACATCCTACGCCACATCCCTAGGCATCGACCTCAGCTACCAAGATTTCAACACCGAAATCAGCCAGATGCCGGGGAATTACTCCCCCCAGAACGGCGGCGAGTTACTCCTCGCCCTCAAGGGAATCCCCACCAACGCTCCCCACCCGGATAACCGCAGTTGCGGCTGCGACTGCACCTACACCGACCCCGACGTCCTCGGGTGCATCGCCCTTCGCGCCTTGTCCCCGCGCGTCTGCGAGGTTAAACGCCTGTATACACGCCCGCAGGCCCGACGGTTGGGGATCGGCAGGGCGCTTATAGATGCGGTGATTGGCGTGGCGAGGGCGGAAGGGTATGTGGAGATGCGGTTGGATACGTTGCCGAGTATGCGTGGTGCGATTGCGCTGTATAAGAGTCGGGGGTTTGAGGAGATTGAGGCGTATTATGACTGTGAGTGTCCGGTGGAGGGGACGGTGTTTTTGGGTTTGAAGTTGGAGTAGGGGCTGGGAGGTGAGTGACTTGGTGTTAATATGGGATTAGGATGGGGATCTAGGGCTTGCATAGGAGTTGATTGATGGCTGGCTGTCTATTTTTGTTGGTTTGCGCGCTTGCGATGGTTCCCTGTACACGTTTTATTGGAATAGCCAAAGTCCCAGAAATGTAACTAATTGCTGTACAATCTCTAAGAAGAGAGTAAAGTGACTATTAGATGTTTTGCCAACAATGGGCAAGACAAGTGATGGGAAGGGGCATACTATGAAGTATGAGAAAAGATAGAAACATAAATCCTGGGTTCTCGGGAAACATTGCTCCCATCAAACACTGATAGAATGAGCCACCAAACCAGAAAACGTCAAGAATAAATCACAAAACCTCTCTGTTCCTCCATTCGCCATTGCTTTTTTGACAAATAATATTGCAAAAATGCTTCAAAGCCGATGTGTCTGTATGTAGTATATATGTGTGCGAGTCTACCGCGCAGAAACAGAACTCCTGACAAAAACTTGCCTCCACAAATCAAAGTTTAATAAAATGATAATATAGAGTGCTTGACAAAGGAGGACGCTCCTTAAAGAAAGAGCTATAACCCCCTTCACCCGAATTTCATGATGATGCTAAGTTCTTTTTTGTATTTAAAAGAAACCACGGACGGTCGCCGTGAGATCAGTCAGTGCAACTATTCAAAAGGCTGACAGTAGCAATGACGTCCGACGGCTCAAGCAAGTGCCAACTAGCTTCGGTCTGTTTCGAACTAGCACCCACAGTGACTGAGAAGACTAAATCTGCCGGAAGGTTGGAACGTCGTAGAGCGCGGAACATATCTTGAAAACAAAATTAGTTAGCTGGCGGTTCGCAACCGATGGCCTCCCGAACGAATAGACTCACCTTCATCAGTGAAATCATCCCCAAGACACAGAACGAAATCCGGTTGCCCCTGACACTCGTTTACGAGTCTCGATGCAATCTCCCCCTTGTTGACAAACGTCGGTCTAACTTCCAGATTGGCCTTACCGGCCATGATTTCAACTTCCCACTTCTTTGCCACAGTGTTTTCTAGGTGTCTCCTACACTCCCTCGCCTGATACGCTCCATATTCAGGGTCAACACGTCGATAATGCCATGTCAATGCTACTCGCTTCCGTTCGACGAAAGAACCCTGTGTTCGCTCGGTATAATGCTGAAAGATGTCAAGCACTTCCTTCTGCCATCCCATGTTGGACTTCTCAGTCAGGTTTTCCCAAGTATCATGGTGGGGTTTGCGGATGAAGCAACCATGTTCGGCACTCAGCCCTAGCTCTGAAATGTGGCCCATCCATTCTTCCAAGAAGTTTTGATCGCGCCCACTTATAATCCAGACGGAGTTTTTAGGATCAGCCGCAAGAGACTTTAGCGTTCTAATCACGCGATCTGACGGGATTGCTGCTTGTGGATCTTTCACAATTGGGGTCAATGTGCCGTCGTAATCAAACATGAATAGGCGTCTTCGGCCTTTCAAATATTGATATAGCAATTTTGTTTTGTCGAGAAGTGGTGTCGCGATAGACTGGTTGAACGAGGAGAGATTGGTTAATAATCGTCGTACATATAGATCTGACCATCTCGACACGGTGTGCCTTGTGACATATTTATATAGTTCCTCGTGTTGCTCTTGACGCTGAGCGGGGCTCATGGTAAGCGCTTTATTTATCGCGGCCGCAACTCCGCCAGAATCCCAAGGATTGATATGGATGGCTTTGTGTAGACTTCCAGCGGTGCCAGAGAACTCTGACAGGATGAGAGGTCCGTGATTCTCATGCTGGCAAACGACGTATTCCAAACTGGTCGTGTTCATGCCATCTCGAACACTGGTGATGAGGCCTACATCAGCGGCACGCAAAAGTGCAAAGTATTCGTGGCGTGGGAGGTACTGTGGATAATGTTGAACCGGGGAAAAGCTCAGCGAGCCGTATTTGCCGTTTATTGTCGACACTAAGTGCGACATCTGGCTTGACAACTTGGCTTCTGACTCCTCTTTCTCTTCTTCCACGCTGGTTGGACTGGTGACTTGAATAAGTACAACTTTGTCACGCCACTGAGGATATCGCTCCAGAAACATTTCAAACGCCATAAGTTTCTGGGTCACACCGCGGACGGAATCAAGACGGTCTCGGCCAATGATGATCTTTTTCCCGGCATACAGCTTCTTGATCTCTGCAATGGTCTTCTCTGTGTGATCATCGCCGTATGCCATTTTTCGGACAGCGTCCACGTCGATCCCAATCGGGAAAACATCAACAGCAACATGGGCGCCATAAGCGTCGATTCCCGCAGAATTTGAATCAAATCTTAGTATCCGCGTGCAACAGGAAGAAAAATGGCGAGAATATGTGTATGACTGGAAGCCGACCATGTTAGCTCCCAGAACGCCGGTGAGAACTTCCTTTCTTCGAGTTAGACAGCGGAAGAATTCACTGCTAGGAAACGGAACGTGGAGAAAGAAGCCGATATAGATACCGGGAATCCGTTGCCTCAGGATACTGGGTAATAGGAGGAGGTGGTAATCGTGAATCCAGACAATGTCTCCGGGACGATAGACTTCCAGAATTCGATCCGCAAACAGCTGATTCAACCTTTGGTAGTCCTCCCACCAGCGGCGTTCAGACCGCCCGTCAGTTGGGCCATGCTGCTTGTAGTGGAACAAAGGGTAAACCTCGCGTTCAGCGTATCGACGCCAGCGTGCTTGGTCCTTTAGCTGAATGGTCTGGTCTGGCGACTCGGTATCATCGGCAAGCCAGACTGGTAGTATGCTTCCATATTTGCTTGTGCGTAACTGGCCTTCGAGGCGAGCCCGATCGCCTTCCGTGACGTGGATCCCATCAGCTGGAGGCGGCGCGGGTTTGTGGTTAGCATTGACCGGTATCGGAGCAGATGCCTTATTAATTGGCATCAAGGCAGTTTCTAGCGACAACGACTCAATACCAGGGGTTTCGGGCGGCTTTGATTGAAAATAGCAATCTTGTAGTGCGGACTTTTCCACCTCGCCGGTCCATCCAACCAGAGTATGAGACCATGGGTTATCTGCGGAAGCTAGGTATTCAAAGGAATCGAATATGGCAGATGTTCCGGGACGAGGGTGTAGTTCCTGCGACTGTGATTAGGATTGATTCAGGAGAGACAGTTGGTGTTTAGTCTTACCCAAGCCATGCCAGACCGGAAGCGAAGTTTATAAGGGATGCAAAACGCTGCACTGATGATTCGCCCGGTGAGATGAAGATCAGCGTGCTCTTCCGGCCGTGTCATGATGGAAGGCATCGGTTTGCCGTCCATGAGACTGAGGCGACGCAACAGTTCCCTGCTGGAGTGTGCTCCCTTTGCAGCAGCAGAAGGGGTGTCGGGAGACGTACTCGACGACTCAGTCCCTGAGCGCGTAGCCGCCGTTGGGGTTGAACTCGAGCATTCTTGTGCTTTCGGGTCTGTGTTCTGCGAGGAAAGGACGCCCTGGTTCCCAAAGTATCCGTCATTGCTCATCTGGTTGTTATCCGGTTGAACGGCCTCGTGAAGCGGTATTGGCGGCATTTTGGCTGTGGGCGACGCCATGAGGAGCGGATTCAGAGAGGGCAGAATGCGAGTTTGGCGAAAAGAATGCGCTGGAATGCCCTATATCCGGAGAGATCAGTGGTTAGCCCACTTCGAGAGCGCTATTTCGTCATCCCAGAAGCCTTGAAAATATGGTGGGGTTCACGAACCAGTGAATTCGGTAGCACTGCCGCAGAAATGCGCCGATAGGAACAGGAACACAGGGGCCGGCGACGAAGAGGCCGGATAAAGGAGAGATGACAAGGGCCCTCGAAGCGCAATGATGCCGTCGTGGTCGTCGTGGTCGTCGTCGGGAGGTAGGCTGCGGGGCACGAAGCAGAGAGGCGATGGGCGAACTCGAGAGGAATGTGCAAAGTTAGTTAATTCGATGATTAGCCTTGCGGAACTTCCGCGGTCAACTCAAAATCAATTCGGCAGGTCTGGAAGTTTATGACGGCGAGTTTGCTCAGGAGACAGAGTGGACGAGAGGCTTGGGCAGTTTGTTGGTCGAGGGCTTGAGATATGACGACAAATGCAATACTCTCGATCGGACTCTGGACGAGCCATGATCAAGTTAACCGGAAAAATGGCCTGGAATCGAGAGTTGAAGCTCATGCCATTCCGTCATCGGCCAGTCTTGGGCTTCAACTTGGTCTGCCCTTGTAGTCCGGGATGCCATTTGACGTTGTCTTCTGAATTACTCCCATAGTAACTAGTTAAGTGCTTGCTTGCGCCCTTTGATTGCTTCTTGATCCGGCTGGGTGTGTATTCGCAGCTCAGTGCAAACGGCATCTCAACGACACGATGACTAAGCCGGGTGGGATTTCATCTGGATTCAAAGATCCATCACGATCAAAGACGTTTTAAACCAGCGTTCAGAGGCTTTATCCCGCAGCACAGAAGGTGTCGCCGTGACTGGTGGATGCTACACTAACATATCATACCAGTCTTTCCAACCGAATGACCCCCCGCCGGCTTCGAGTCCCCCATCACCTCCAGGCGGAATGCTTCTACCACACCCTCCCAGCCCAAATTTCGGCTCCTGTTCTTCGCGGCAGCAGGAATCACCATGCAGTTGATCTACCCATCATCCCAGACAGCCTCAAGGCGACCCTTGAGGCACATCGCTATGCCAATCGACAGAGGCTGATTCGCCGCGTTCCCTTTGGCCCTTCCACCCACCCCGACGGAATGGGGCCGTTCAAGAGTGAGCAAGGGAAACAACGGCAGAAGAGTTGGCCAGTGCAGAATCTTGTAACGACAGAGTCTCCAGCCCCGACCTCGTCCGAACTGGGATTGGAGTTGTTGACTTCTTCGACAAAGAAACGAAGGCTGGATATTCGTCCAAATGGAGCCGTTTCATTGTTTCGCAGACTCGCAAAGAAGGGCTCTGCAGGATTGACTACGCAAAAGCAGGCCATCCAATGCCCGTGGTTAGATTATCTTGAAACATCAGGACATGACGGAATCTCGCGTATGGATGACGAGATAAAAGCCTTTGAGGCCTACATATCACCAGTACCACAGGAAGAAACCGCCGTGGAAAATCTGGTTTCGGAGCTTGCGGACCTTCTCCAGCGAGCAGACCATCCACAGCCACTACTGATCGGATCCAGACAGACAGGTCTGGCTCTGCGCCATTCCAATATCGACCTACTCATTCCTCTCCCTGATCCCGATGGCTCGTTTGAGAGCCGTGGGCCAAGCCCGACGCGCCCCAAGGTTGCAGAACTGCAACTTGAACGGCAAGCACAGATATCCCGCCTCCTTCGCGGTACTGCCATCTTCAACTCAGTCACCCTTATCCGCTCACGCATCCCCATAGTCACCGCTGTCCACGCGGCCACAAGCCTTCGGTTAACTCTTCATTGCGGCACTCAATTCCCTACCTCCCTTGAATTTATCCAATCCTACCAGTCCGAATTTCCAACTCTCCGCCCGCTCCTAGCGATCCTCCGCATGGTTCTGGAACAACGAAGCCTTTTCGGTCCTCAAAACCAGGGTATCAACAATTATACCCTGACCATGATGATCGTCGCCGCCCTCAAACTCTCCGAAGGCAAATATCCCCGCACAAACACCGCCGCACAGCTTCTTCACATTCTCCGCTTCTTCTCCACGATCAACTTCCGTCGCTATGGCATCGCCGTTGAGCCTCCGGCCATCTTCCACAAACGAGGCCATCGCAAATCATTTGATCGGATGCAGGCCGATGCGCCGTCTGTCCGTGGACAAATCAGCATCGGTAAAGTATCAGCGAAGTTAGCCAAGCACATGCTGTGTTTACAAGATCCAGCGAACTACATGAACGACCTCGGTATGGAGTGTTTTCGCACGTTAGAGATCCAGCGCGTGTTTGGGTATGTGTACGCTGATCTGCGGGCGGCGATCAAGGCGTGGGATGGGGAGTGGGAGGGTACTGCTGAAGAAACGACGGGCGGGAAACGGAAGGAGGATCTAAATCTGATGACTGCAAGGTTAATTCGAGATAGTGAGGATAAAAAGGGTGTAAGTATGCTGCAATTAGCCCTTGGCGGGGACTATGAGCGGCTTGAGACGATGAGGGATAGGATTATCCTCGGTGGCGGGAGTTAAAATGCAAAAGAAGATGTGTGGGAACTGGTCACCTCTCTTCTCGGCGAATTCAGTGCTTCGATCTCATCTCAATCGTGATGAATTAGAAATCTAAGTGAGCCCTAAATGATGGAGACGAGTCTATATCCCAGCCCGGCGAGAAGAGCTTCCAATATTTATACAAACCATCCACTCCAACGCGCTCATAAATCGTAGTACTAATACAAAATCATATGATAGAAAAGTAGCTGCTGGACTATCTCAGGCCCTCTTTAGTTGGGCCGAAATAGAGGCAAACGGGCAACACCTGGGTCTTACCCGGCGGAAAGCAAAAAGGGGGTATCTCAAGCTTCTTCACCACTCTCTACCCATCTTGTCAGCCATCTTCTCATCTCCTTGTCTCTCTGTTCCTCAGTCACTTTATCCATCCCAGCATCCACGCCTCCTCTTTCCTCCACTGCAACCCTGACTTCATCCGCACTCAGCCCTTTCACACCGCCACCGTCCTTCAACAAAGCGTCATCGACAGCCAGATACTCCAACCACCTCTTCAGCTTGGGCCTATACACCCAGTTAACAAACAATCCCTCCATGAACCCCGGTACATAAGCCGGCAAGCAATGCGATTTCGACAAGCCCAAGACGGCGCAAGAGCGCAAAACATCCGGTGCGGACGCATATCGGACAATAGACGCTATCGACTTCGGCAACGTGGTCGGATTAAGCCACTTGTCTTCCAGCGATGTACCAGGAGCTCGAAGAGCCGCAGTCTTTCGATCCAGCTTTAACCGCCTCTCTTTCTCTAGCTGCTTTGGCACCCGGCAGGTCAACGGTGTTACCCTGTTTCCCAGCGCCAGGACAACGAATGGCGTGAATTCTCCGCAAACGATCAAGATCATCACAAATGGGATCATCCTTCTGATGTCATAGGCGCTCCGTCTCAGCAGTTGGAATTCCGCTCTAGTAACACCCTCCCGCTTGACGAGCTGTTCAAATGCCGACGCCCCAGATAGTGCGCGTGGAGGCAGCGAGGTAGGCAGATACCCCGAGAAACCCAATTTCTTCCGAATAGGTGCTGCGGCGCGATAGTTGTGATAGACGTTCTTCAAGCCCGTTTTATAAAACGTGTAATATGCCTTCCCTAGGGACATATAATATGTAAGACCCGCGCTGGAATTCGCCGGTTTCTCGGGAAGCTCGAGCTTTGCAGGTCGGGTACTAGACGGTGGGTTTACTGCGGAGACCCCAGGGTTTATTGTGGGTGGTACCGAGGAAGATACGGAGGAGGAAGAAATAGGCTGCGATTGGGTCTTGTCGGACGAAAGAGGTTTTCCGCTTGCGGAGGAGGAGGAAAAGCACGCGACATCATAGCGAAGGCCGCGCTGACGGAGCAGTATGGGAGGAATAAATATGGCCGGACGGGCCTGGCAAAGGGAGGGAGCGGACGAGACAAGGGCGGCAGCGGCGAAAGAGCTGCGAGCTGCCTGGTGAGCAGCCATAGGCACGGGGGGAAGATAAAAGGATATAAGACGGCGACTGTTGCCAAAGGGAGCGAGCGAGATGAATCCTGTTGCCCGATTTGGTCGAAACTGCCCGGGGCGGAACAACTCATTGTCCGTGTTTGCTCCGATTGCCCTGTTTCGCATGTTTGCACCCCAACCTCCGCCTGCAAAAGTTGCGTGCCGACTCACCCGGCGACCAGCTCCAATCCGCCATCCACGCTCTCCACCGGCTTCATCGCGCGATGCGAGAGCTCAGACACGGTGCGAGCCAGCGACAGGGATCAAAATGCCTTGGAGCCGAACCGGGTTCCAATCAGAATGGGGCCCAACTCGCCCGCCTGACTGCGACAAGAAAAGCAGAAGAGAAGCAGAGTCCCGTCGCTGTACATCAAACCTCGAGACGCCGCCGCTAATAAACCCACTCTTATCATAGGGCGTGATTAGCGGAGAGTTCCAAGGCGGGAGCGTGGGCCGAGACACTCCTACTGGGGAATTCGAGGCTGACCCGCACGATGACTTGAATTCGAGCCGAAAAGAGTCACCCGCTCTTTCGCCGAATTTTTCTTTTAAGAAAAACGAATCTATGTCTTTTCTTGATGGCTGACCTTGGACGCACGCTGCACGCACTATTTCTATGCTTTCATGTAATCGTAATTGCTTGCTCTTTCACTCTATTCTTTCCGGGAGAGAGGTAGTTTATATCCCAGTTATCAGAATCCAAAGGTAGGGCTTGAAAAACGCAACAGATACGGTCTTTATTTACCATACGGTTCATGGGTCAATGCTCCCTTTCTTTCTGGAGTACATCTTTTGAACCCCGCCATCCCGTCCAGATCATACCCGGAGCGGTCATAGTGCTCCGCAGGTATGAACCTTTCCTGCGATTTCACTTTCATCACTAATTGAAAGCCTCTAGGTCGCAATTATTGGGATCGAAATAAGTCTCACCGGAAATCCTTCAGTGAAACAATGGAAAAGACAAGCATACGGCCTAAGGGGGAGGCCGCTGCGCTAGACCCGGAAAAGCTCACCTTTAGCTCTGAACGAGCAAGCAATGTGCCATCATCGCTTTCGAGCGATGTAGAACAAGGCTCTTTCCAGGACGACAAGATCGAAGAGGAGCGCCGATATTCTCTCACCCGTGAACCTACACGTGCAATTGGAACAGACGGGATCATAGCAAAAACGCTATCCATAATTCGGACAAAGGACTCTGGACAAGATCCTGGCCCTCCTCCCGATGGCGGTTTCGAAGCCTGGTTGCAAGCCGCCCTCGCCCACCTAGTAATCTTCAACACGTGGGGATTCGCCAACAGCTTTGGGATGTTCCAGGACTACTATAGTGAATCGCTCCAGCGTCCACCGTCGGACATTGCATGGGTGGGAAGCGTCCAAATATTCCTACTCTTCGCCATCGGGACCTTCTCCGGCCGGGCTACAGACGCTGGATTCTTCAAGCCTGTATGGGGTACAGGGGCTGTAATTATCATGTTCGCAATCTTCATGACCTCCCTATGTAAGACATATCTGCAGGTATTCTTAGCACAAGGCCTTTGTCTGGGGATTGGGGGCGGGCTAGTCTTCTGTCCAACCATGACGCTGGTATCAACCTACTTCTCCTCAAGGCGCTCTATCGCCCTGGCCATCGGCGCTTGTGGTTCTGCTACTGGAGCAATCATATACCCCGTCATTGTCCAACGATTACTCCCCCGCATCGGATTCCCCTGGACTCTGCGCGTCATGGGTCTCATCACAGTAGTAACCCTGGCCCCAGGCTTCATCTTTTTCCGTCAGCGCATCCCACCTCGCCGCAGCGGACCGTTCTTCGAGTGGCCCGCATTCAAAGAAGCCCCGTACTCCCTATACGCAGCCGGCATGTACCTCAACTTCTGGGCCCTCTTCATCGGCTTCTTCTACGTCAGCAGCTTCGCCCGCAGCCAAGTCGGCGTCCCCAAAGCCGAAAGCATCACTCTCCTCATGATCATGAACGCCCTCGGGACCATCGGTAGAATGGTACCCAGCTGTCTCGCCGACTATCTCATCGGCCCGTTAAACACCATCATCCCGTTCGCTTTCCTCACAATGATAATGCTATTCGCCTGGATGGGCGTAGACAACTCCTCCGGTCTGTACGCCTTCTCTATCCTCTACGGCTTCTTCGGCGCCGGCATGCAGGCTCTATTCCCCGCCGTCGTGACCAGCCTCTCAACAGACCTGAAGAAAACGGGAATTCGATTTGGGATGATCCTGAGCATTGTGAGCGTTGCGTCGCTAACGGGTCCCCCGATTGCGGGCGCCCTTATCGAGAAGGGCGGCGGTGACTATCGGTTCGCGCAGATATTTGCAGCCGTCTCGATGCTTGTAGGAACAGCCATCCTGGTGATGGCCCGGCTCGCTTTGACTGGGCCGAAGTTGGTGGCCCGAGTATAAGGATCTCAGGAGCAACATATGTATAGACCCGACATACCACTTTGTTCGGGACACATATTATAATTATCAGCTGGAAGTTCCCCTATTTTTTTTTTTTTTAATTTGTTTGCGGCATAAAAAGTTTTGTTGCCCAATATGTGTCCTTTGTCAAGAATTAATGATAGGCGTTGCATAGATCAAAGAAGGCAGAGCTAATGAAAATATTTGAAAATTTCGTTCCATTCGCATAAGCTAAAACTAGACCATCAAGCAGGTAAAAAATTTTTTTTTTTTTTTTATTTTTTCAAGTTTGAGAAGGGTCGTTCGAAGTGGAGATTTGCTGTTATTTTAAAGCACATAAAAAGCGAAGAACTCAGGGCAAGATTAAGACGTGGTAAGGATTCAACGTAAGGGCAAAGTAAGAAAAGTTCAAGGAGGGAAAAGGAAAGCGGACAGCCAGCAACAACTCAGCTCGAAAGAAGGGGCTTTTGAAGGAAACACAGGGCCGAAATCATTCCCCCTTCCACACTCAGAGCAGCTTGTAGGTAACGGGCCATTTTGCAAGGAGCTGACCCACCCACTGGCAGTGCTTGTGATGCTCGACGAGGTCCTTCACCAACCAGGCCCTCGAGGCCCTTTCCATCGTTTCCTCCTCAAGCTCAAGGGCCACAGACTCTGGAAGAGTGGCCTTGAGTTTCGTCTTAAAAATGTGCCTCTGATAGATGCACCCGGTGCAGTACTTATGGGTCTCTATGGTCCGTTTGGCAACGTTTGCAAAAGGCAAGACAGTGGTTAGATGATAGTTGTATTGGGTGGTTTGCTCAGCAAGCCGGCTCCGCCAAGTTAAGGGGACGCGAGGCCGAGGACTGGTCTGAGGAGAAAGGGATTGGAGGTACAAGTCATTCCTTGCTTGCCCTCCCCTTTGCTCTTCTTCAAATAGCCCCCAAACAAGAGCCCTTCTTCTGTCACACTGAACTTGGTCGAAATTATCGGCTCGAAGTCTTGCATATTCGGCGTCAGGCCTAGAGATTAAGTGCTGAACCACATCGTATGTTCGTAAGGGGATTCCGTATTTTCCTGGAATGGTTCGATATATCGGGATATCACGGAAGTGTCGGTCATCGAGGCCAAAACATGTTCTGACGGTTGAAGCTTTAAAAATATGAAATCTTTTAATGCAAAACCAGCATGTTCGCTTAAGTAGCGGGATAAATAAAAAAGGGCCGACATCTTCGCAAAGAGCGCATTCCGTTGTTTGCATAACTTGAAACAGTTGAAGTGCATTGACATACTTTAGACTTCCGACGGATTGGATTGCCCGGAGGGTCTCTGAAGCATGCATCATGGGAAGTTCGAAAGGCAGATAGGCCGATACGAGGTCAAAGGTTGCGTGATTAGCTCGTCTGAAATTGTTAAGGGACGAGATGTCTAAGTGAGAGAAGATCTGGAACATGGTTTCGGCCGGAAACCTATCCAAAGTTCCTGCAGATGAATCTCTATGTGTAACAGGCGCCCTAGGGACGTTAGGGTCGCATTGGAGGATTCGGTCCTCCATGCGCGAGACCGGACTGGAGATAATGTCCATGTTAGGACCAGCTGATTCTTGCGGCGCGCTAAAATCCCTCGCTGTTGCCATATTGGATAATGATATGAAGCTTTCAATGTCGAGACTACTGAAAATTATTAGCTGCAATGCCTAAAACTTGAGCCTACGTAGCCTTTCTTACTGAATGTGAGAAAACTAAAATTAAGAAGCCACACTGGTCAAGCTTGATGACTTTCACTGGTCTTGGGCTTCGTTGCCGGCCTGTAAACCGGTTTAACAAATCTGACTGAGAATAATTAGCTGCGATAACCTAAAACTTGAGGACGCGTAGTCTTCCTTACTGAAAGTGAGCAAAAGGTCAAACCAAGCAGCCACACCAGTCAAGCTTGATGGCGTTTGCTAGTTTTGAGACTTTGGTGCCAAACTCGTAGAAGGAGTTGCCTCGAATGCAATTGCGGCTTCAATAAAGAAACACAGATCAAAAATATCTGCAAGGCAAGTGTTCAAATAGAGAGGAACTTGTATGCTCAGGATATGAGAGATGGGACGGAAGGTGTGAAAAGGTTTTGTGAAGCTCTGAAGGAAATGTTCTCGAATGTGAGAAGAAGAAAAGAGGAAGGAAAGAAAGGTTCTCGAAGCTCAGAAGAAGAATTTATGTTTGTGGACGTGTTCCTCTCTCAGAACATGTGACGGAAACAGAAATACAGGCACACATCTGAGGGCAGGTATCAAAAGAGGCCCGTATTTTAACGCAGTCATGGAATCCTCCGGACACGTTTCAGAGGGGCATTGCCTGTGGGAGCCAGCCTGCTAGCTCCCACTTGAGATCTTTTACTCAATCTCAGAATTGACTACAAGTGACACAAAGGCATCATCCACCGCTGAAATATGCCAGTCACACAGTGCATAGAAAGAACGAGCTTGCACCGCCAGAGGGCTTTCCCATCCTCTGGCCATGCTTGGTGGATTCTACCAAGAGGTAGAACAGATGATAGCAAGTAGAAAGACACACTCCAATCCACAGGCTCTATTCGAGACCACACTGTCCGTAGAGGTCTGCCTGCCGCCATTCCATATATATTATGCGAGTGCAGTTCAAGATGGACGTCGTCTGAAGTGGAAAAAGGGGGCGCTGTCTGACATAAGCAGCCGTGCGCCAAACAGAGCAAACATGTGGACGGCGTTGCCAAGGCCGATTAGCCCAAACTGGTGGTGCAGCTCATCAAGAGGTGCAGATGCTCGTCTTGTTGTTCCCCTCTTCTCCCCGCCGTACGCTTCTTTTGTCGTTATCACCTATCGTGTGTTGGAGCCGAGTCTACTCTTTCATATCTTACTGAATATCCATAAAAAGACCCGGCCCTCGTACCTCATTTAGAGCTTCATATCTCTACACGTGCCCCGCCAGTCTCGCGACCTGCCCCTCCTTGCTCTGCTACTTTGCCTACAACTCAACACAGAATACCATAATCAACCCTTTGGATAACTAGTCTTTTGGTCTGCCCGTCATGGCCCCTCGCGGACGTGGAGGAAAATTCAGCAAACCCACCCGTGGCGGTATGCTAGCCTGAGAAGCTCTTTCGCTACTAGGTTCTAATGATTATTCCTTGACTATCTTAGGTGGCAAGCATTATAGCCGTGATATCCAGCCGTTAGACAAGGACGGAAACCCTATTGGGATGTGGAGGGTTTGTTTTCACTGTTCTTCAAATCACGCCCACTCTCCCTAACTGCGATTTGCTGACAGGACCCGAACGATGACCCTCTTTCCTCCGAAGAGGAAGACGACGATGAATCTGAGGAAGAGTCTGAAGATGAAGCAGGCCCTTCTAATGAACTAGCAGGGGAAATGACCCGCGAACAGCGCAAAGCGGCTGCCAAAGCTCGAAAAGAGGCCGCCATCGCCAAGAAAAGCCAGGTGGCGGCGGCTCCTGGAGACCTACCGCCGTCTGAGAGTGAGGAGGAATCCGATGAGGATATGCCAGCGAATCCTAATCATACTGCAAAGTCGCGCTCGCAGGCAGCTGACGCGATTAATGGAGCACCTGCACCTAGGGCCCCAGGAGAACTCTCCCGCCGTGAGCGTGAAGCGATCGAAGCCCAGCAGGCTCGAGAGCGATACATGAAACTCCATGCCGAGGGGAAGACAGATCAAGCTCGGGCTGATCTGGCGCGACTAGCCCTTGTCAAAGAACGACGCGAGGCAGAAAAGGCCCGAAAACAGGCCGAAAAGGAAGAACGTGAGGAGAGAGAGCGTGAGAAGGCAGAACAAAAAGCAAAGGAGGCCAAACTCCGCGATGCCGCGATGGGAACAAGTGGCAAAGGAGGTAAGAAGGTTGGAAAGAGCAAATGAGCAACCCCGGTCCTTGCGTTCATTGTCCCTATTCATGGTATGGCGGCATCTTCAGTTGATAATGTCGTCTGGACGAATTTTATTCGATGTGGCTTGTTTCAATTCAGCGAAGACTGCATCTGGCTTATCCCGTGTTGGCGAGAAAGGGCGATATTAAATCTAGAAGTGTGGGGTCTTGTTCATATCATGATCATCTGCTCAAATAACGACGCTATGATGTTGCATTACCAGACAGACAAACAGGGCAGCCTAACGGCCAGCTTTTCCGTCCTTTTCACTTCCGTAGGAATATGTCAATCACAGTACAAGGTGTTGGATCAGGGCAGATAGCTTTCGGGTAGCACCCCCCTTATCCAACTGGTGAAACCAATTTAAATATCTTCCCCTCATAATACTTTCCCAGTTCTTAGACTAGCCCATACTATAACGGATGGGACGGCCATCTTCACTCGGAGATACAGAAATGTTTATAGAGCCGCCAACTCGGAGTCAAGTAACTGCTCCCAAACATCGTTCGACTATGCTAAATTGGATATTTCGTACATTAATGCTGTAATACAATTTGAGCCCGCTAAAGCAACATTGTGTAACGACATGCAAGAGAAATCCGAGTCTATAAGTTGGGAACCGGCCATATCCCTGAAAAAATCACTCCGTAATGCATACAGTATCGAGGGAGATCACACGAAACACGAGGAAGCCAGGGGTCGCTCCCACCCAACTGTCCCAAGTGTATTCCCAAGAATTTAGTGTCCGCGGCGAGTAGCAATAGACGCATCTCAATCTATATTCCCCAGAAAAGACCGGCAACTGCCCCCCCTTGTCCCACGAGACCCCAACCCACAATCAAACTGACAAGCCACAGTATCGCTAGGATGGAAATTGGTAAAAGAAGGAGCTCCGTATGGTGGAGGAACGGAAGAGCGTTATAGCCAAGGAACGAGATATATATGTAATACGTAAACGCTGACAGGTAAAGTGTATTTCCAAGGAAGGTGGCAAGGAAGCTTGGAGAAGAGTCGGATTTGCGGGTAAGTAACGGGAGGAGGAGGAACTGGACTACATATAGATGAAGGTAAAGCGGGAAAAAAGCGCGGTTCGAGACCTATTCTCGTTAGCAGGCAAAGTCCCTCGGATGGAAAGATATCGGGGCTGTTCACATCAAAGCAATATCCAAATTCGACTTGCTCCTTCTCCCCCGGTTGCGCAAAAAGGCCTTGAGCAGCTCCGCGGCGCCGTACTCGTCCCAAACTCGACCTCATCCCTCGCCATTCGACAAGAGTGGATGCTGGGCCATTGGGCCCGAATATTCGTCCAATCACAAAGTATGCGATTGTAGAAATAAGTAATGAGGAGCCGATGAAGTGGATGAATATGAAGGAAGCGGAGAGTCGAACAATGGAGCCGAAACTGGGTCGATATGCCAAGCCCCATGCGAGAGCTGTGAGAAGGAGGAAGAAGGAAAGGAGGTATGTGAACGATGGGTCGGGTCGGTGCCATGTATTTTTCGTTTCTATTTAAATCCAATGCGTCAGATTGACAGTTCAAGATGGGTATATCGGAGATACGAACGTTTCTAGACAACTCTACGGTCAGTAATGTCATCGGCTAGGGATGCAATCTTAGAGGACGAACATGATAATACATTGACTTAAAAACTTTCTTTGGCGCAATTAAAAGAGACGTCATCTCCCAAATGGCCATCTCAAAGTCCATTTGCGGGAACTTGAACAACCTATTGTAGACGATCCCATCAGCTGAGGCCGCCGCAAGAAAATCAAACACAACAGATTCGGGCGATACGATACGCCGCTGGATGAATCCGATGGGCCTCACCTCCGGAAGAACCTTGGTAACCGTATAGAAGAGTTTCGACTCGGCGGAGACATCCCCCCGAAGTTGGCCGGACCGCCATGCTGACGGGGAACAGATATATGAGGGTTCATGGCCCCTCACCCGATGGGGGTTCCAGTTGCTACAACGTAAAGGCCTTGCAAATCCTATGCCCGAGACGTGTTCAGCAAGCCACCACAAATTGGCTTACATGTTTCAATCAAGCTTGACTTTGCTGATGATCATGGATGCTTGCTGATGATGATGATGAGGTTGGTAGACTGCCAAGGCCCAGTAGCTAGTCACGTGCATCCGGCTACGCAAGATCTTTTAAGCGTGCCAAGCATTTGACTCGTACGGAGTACGCTTCCGCTTGTTTTGGCGGAGACGATTCTATTATTTGTAGAGGTTCCAAAGAGTTTGGTGAGTTCATAGAAGCCTTTATCCAGTGGGTTGTAGACAAGACATGTATGCGCTCCATGGGGCCCTATGGTTTCAAACGAGTCGACAAGCGTGCGTACCTATGCATTTACGGGGCGATTGGGGTCAACTGCATCAAGAAGATGTCTGCCCATACGGAGTACTATGTACGGAGTAACTAGATCCCCAGGTTTAAGGATAATTCGTCAGGGCAAAAGGAGAAACGCACTTGGACGAAAGCTCACGACAAAGCCAGATAGTGGAGTGAACCACCCTGTACTCCGTACGGCGTATCTCGCATGGAATACTTCTCCTCTCAAAGCATCCACAATCAGTCTGTCCGCTGTGCTGACCTCATCAGGTGCCGTTTCGACCGTTAGCGCTTCCCCGTACGAACAACCTGACCGGAGTCGAAGCTAGACTAAAACTAGGCTAGCCTTACCCGATGACTTGCATTAAAACGGCTGTCCCGGGGCATTGATTGGCTGAGAGAGCCCCCAAGCCCCACCCTGTGTAACTTCGATACGCTGTTTCCCGTATTTAATTTACCCCTGATTCAGCTGCTGTTCCATCGCTCGTTCGCGGTCTTTGGATGCAACCTCCACCAGCTCGATCCTCGAGAGACGGGAGTTTGAGGCCCAAGCATCGAGTCACGCAAACCAAGACGAGCTTCGGCCAGTCGTTGTATCACCAGCCGTTTCATCTCATCAATCTCTCCCGGAGTTGGCGCCAGCGCTTGTTTTCGAGAGTGGTTAGTGGTTTGAACCATACCCGCGCCATGATCTGACGCCTGCGGTATCGACTGTCGTTTGGAACTGCTCAATCATAGCCCTCTCACTAGCGGCAGGGATTCGTCTCTTCTTCGACCGAAACCAATCGTCGAACGCAAGGTATCAATTTCCGTCTTGTCCCTCGTGAATCAGGCTCTCTCACATATGCGTTCTTCACACCTACGCGGCACTCGTTAATTGAAGGTTCTTGAGATCGCTGCCAGCCCATCGTTCCCTACGTACCTTCTTTGCACTTTGCGTGTAAGTCAACACTGTTTGCTCGACTGGAACCCTGCAGTTGTTGAATCTCCCTGCTCACACGCCGCTTTTCCCCATACATAATCCCCGTTATTAATCCATCCAGCCAGAGCTTGCCTAAATTTTCCTGCGTTTCCTAGGGACGGGCTTTCTGAGCCGTCAGTACGGTCGCTACCTCCCATCATCTCCCGTTCTCTCGTTTCCTAAAGTCCTCCCTGGACTCGTCTTTCCGGCTCCCTCGTTCTCGACCCCTTGTTGCAATTCCTCGACCTTGATTGCACGAGCCCGTTTTCATCCTGGCAATTCTCCCTGGTCCATGCGTTGACTCCTATGCTACTCTCCAATGGCAGTATTACCAACAATATCGCCGTAACTGCCCCTGAAAACCTTTCGTCGGGTTCGAATCAACGACTACGAATCTTCCGACAACCCCTTTGGGAAGTTGGGAATGTCTGCATACCAAATGTTTTCCCAAAACCCTTGGCAGCATGATCCATATTATGACAATTCACCACCACGGACACCTGGGCGCAATACCAAGCACCTGGGTGGCCGGAATCGACGTTTAGCGAATCGATCCTCCTTCCCTGAAACCTTTCTCGACGACCTAACCCCAGTCGATGCGAACCAACAAGAAGATTCGGAGGAAGAAGAGAAAGACCCCCATGACCTGTCGTTATCGCCGCGTCATGCCACTCGAGCTTCTATCGTCGATAATATGCTCCTTTCATTAGATCAATTTTCAGATTCCAATTTTAACACAGCAGGAGAAGCACAGCGTTACCAATCGCATGAACCCGACCCGTACATCCTATACTCTCGTTATGCCACTGCAAAACGTACTCGCCATCGCGGACACACCTTTTCTTCTTCCCTTTCGTCGGAAATAGGAACCCTCGAGGAGAACGGTGGTCGCTATTCAAGTCACTCTGGGCGCGGACGCCGCAGCAACAGCAGCTCTAATTTCCAATCTACGATGCGAAAGGTGGATGGCTTTGATGGAGCAGACAAATCGAGCAATCGCAGCAGGGTGTTCGAGGCGCAACGGGCTACCATGGGCAACCAATCCTCCCGATATTTGAGGAATGGGAGCCGTAGCAGCGATTCTTCCAACATAGACATCAACCAAATGTTGACCGGAGGTCATATTGGCAGAGCACGACGATCGATCAGCTTCGATTACGGGACGAATGGAGCATCGACATTGTCGGTGGACAATCCCATGTTACACTATGATGACATCAATGCTGCGCCTACTCCTCACGTACCTGCAGGACCGCGAAGAGCTCAATCTCCAGCGTTCAAAGACCTTTCTGGCGATCAGCAAGGCGCAGCGGCGAGTGCCAGACCCCCCGCCCTATCTCGCAAGAATAGCACCAAGTCCGCCCGAAGCATGTATAACAAACGGGGCCGACCCGATACTTTAGGCACAACCAGCATTAAAGGACGCCCGGGTGACAGTCGGTACCTCCGGGAGGCTCCCCCGGATATACCTCCCATACCGACTCACATTCATAGACCTGCGCCTAGTCCCACAATTGCATTCCATAAATCTTCCCAATTTCCCCCAGTCACAGAATCCATCACACCGCCTCCCGCAAAGGAGCGTTATGGGTTCTTTCGACGAGTCTTTGGGTCGTACAAGTCGTCACCCCCTACTCAACTCGAAAAGATCCAGGGTTTTGTGGGGGATAGTGAAATCTTCAGCCAGCCTAGAGAATCGCAGAGCGCACCGAACAGCTCGAAAGGCTATCCCACCCAAGGCCAACTTAATGGAGGTCAGGACAACGTTCCCGTCGTGACGAAAAAGCCATCTTCTTTTTTTCGTCGACGAAAGAGATCTACGACGGATCATGTTCCATCTCCGTTGGTCATACCCAACTCAAACATGAAACCCCGCTATGCAACAGGACATGTAAACGCGGAAGGAAGCCCGAGTGGTAGCTTACGTCAAATTATGAAACCGTACTTAGCAGACTCCTCTTCACCTGGCCTTGATCACTCCAAGCCTTTCGCGCAATCTGAAGTACATCTAGGTGAACTTGATGTTGACGCTGGAAATCAACAATCCAACCCTAAACCAGTACCTTATGACAGACCTCGGAACAAGTGGGTGTACGCAGATGGTGGACCGCAACTGTCGCACAATAAGGGTTCGAACATTGCAAAATCGAATCTAAAGCCGAACTTGACACCCCGTGACCGTGATGGTTCCTTCTTAGCGGACAGCAGTGGAAACGAAGGTGCCCCTACACAGAGCTCCGAGAATTCGTCTAGGCGGCCTATGACAAGCCCTGTTCCCGAAACATCGTCCCACAAATGCGCGTTAAATGGTAATGGGGCCAACAAAGACTCAAAGATTGGCGCTCGAGTTAATAATAAGCTGTCAGTCAACACTACCCTGAAGATGCGGGACGAGACCCAGCTCGAATCTGCATCGTCAACAGACGCCAAACAAGGGTTTACCAAGCCTAAGGGAGCTTCTGACAGTGTCAGCCAATCTCCTCCGATTTCAGCATCTACCACCGCATCCCATTATCAGACCGCCTTCAATACACCGTTGTTGAGTCCAGCCGAAGATCCTAGTTTGAAGTTGGGAAAGAAACTTACAGCGCCGACGCCGCCAATTAAAGAAAGTATAGAGGAATTGAATGAGCCTACTCTTGGTTCCAGCGGTATTCCCAGTGCATCAGATCGGGAACGAGCTCTGAAACTTTATGAAGACACATCTGAGGACAACTCAAATGAGGAGCTTACTGCAACCTGGCTTGGAAATCCTCATAGAGCTGGAATTCGAAAAGCATACATGGACTTGTTCGACTGGTTGGATATGAATATCTTGGCAGCACTACGCAGTTTGTGTTCCAAAATTGCTCTGAAGGGCGAGACGCAGCAAGTTGATCGAGTTCTTGATGCGTTTTCAACTCGTTGGTGTGAATGCAACCCCAAACATGGGTTTAAAGCAACAGGTATGATTAACAACCCTTTGGTGCCTTTCATAATCGATTAGGTGTTTGGGCTAATGAACATCCCCAGACGTCGTTCACACGATATGCTATTCACTTTTACTCTTGAATACCGACCTTCATATGGCAGACATTGACCAAAAGATGACTCGAAGCCAGTTTATTCGCAATACAATGCCTACAATTCAGAGGGTGGTAGAGGACGCAGCACCCGATGCCTTCGAAACCATCAACCCTTCAGCGAAGCTCCAACGCCCTCGAAGTATATACGATACCGGGATGTTACCTCGGGCCCCAACTCCCTATCACGAAAAGAATGAGACTGAAGTAGACACGGCATCCAGCTTGTTGAAACCTCAAGATCAAGCTCCAAAGTCGAATACAGTGACCAATATCTCCACTCTCATCAGTGGTGACATGCCTAGCAGTTCAGGCCAACTGAATAGCATGCCATTTCGTGGTACACAGAAGGCATGGGAGAATCAAGTGGAACTGGTTCTCAAGGACTTTTATAACTCCATTCAGAAGAGGCGGCTACCGTTGCGGGGGATTCAAGCAGAGTCTGAAGAACAACAACCCTCCAATAACTTCTTAACGCTTACTGGAAACATGTTAAGGAGGACTCCTAGTACCCTGAGTAGAGCTACTGCGCCGGATGTATTCAGTCGTGGCCGCTCTTCAGACAATAGATTGTCTACCGCCCGATGGGCATCTAAACCAAGATCACGGCCCAGAGTGTATCCACCCTCGGCAATGACGTCCAGTCGGACGAGTTTAGACGACCAGTCTGTTTGGTCGCCCACCGCGTCCAGCACGTGGAGCAAGGCGTCCTTGGGCAAGACTCTAACCTCGATGTCGGTTGATACATTGGGTTCCGATTACCCGCGTCCCGACTATCAGCAATCAATTGGATTTGCAAACGCGTTAAGCCATGCCATCATCCGAGAAGATTCAGCAAGCTTCATTGTTGGAGCGGAAGACTCTACTCGAGCCGAGGCTTTGCTTGAGGACGAAACGCTAGAGCTCGCGGGAGCTCCGTGGGCCAAGGAGGGTAGCATGAAACACAAACACCACCTTGACTCTGTGGATAAGCGAGCAAAAGATCGGAATTGGAATGAGACGTTTGCGGTCATTCAGCGAGGGTGGATGCGACTATTTTCTTTTAATTCATCAACCAAGTCGATGCGGTTGAAGCCTAAACAGAGGCAAAATGGCGGTATCGTTGTTGGTGGAGGAAATTGGATGGAAAATGCAGAAGAAACGTGGAAATTCCTCCTTCGACATACTATCGCTAGTGCATTGCCTCAACCCGGCTATTCCAAGTCTCGACCTTATGTTTGGGCATTAAGCCTACCCACCGGAGCAGTTCACCTTTTCCAGGTTGGGACGCCGGAGATTGTCAAAGAGTTTGTGTCAACGGCGAATTATTGGAGCGCCAGACTCTCCAAGGAGCCCATGTTTGGTGGAATCAGTAACATTGAGTATGGCTGGAGCGACGCTGTCATCAATCGTGCCCTGGCTCAGACAGACGACCATAAACCCATGAGCTCCTCTGGGACTCGCGTGAGCATTCAAAGCTCAATTCGGAGCTCTCTCGATCAGCAGAGTGTTCGTCCAAGGCTACCTGCGGACAGAATCCATATTAGTGACTGGACGCCGCCCCAGCAAAGTATGATCGCGTCTTCTCATTCTGAAGAAGAACAGCTTACCGGCCTGCGTTCATACGTCCAATATGTGGAGGAAGAACTAAAACGCCATAACGAACTTCGAACTGCTATGCTTCTCGCATTTACTCCTAGACACCCAAACGCTACGAAGGCGCTGGCTAACTGGGAACGCAAATCATCGTACCTCCTCAGGGAGATTGTCAAGTTCCGCACCTATATCGACTGCTTACAAGCCGCCCAAGTGCAGAAAGAGAAGTTCTATAGCTCTCCTCGTCTTGATGAAGCGGAGACTGCAAACGGGGAGCAAGCGTAGCCTTCTCAACTTGGGATCTCGCATCGCCTAGGTATCGCCAATCAACCCATGGCTGGCAGCTCTTTTCTCTCCTTTCCGACTCGAATACACCTTTTTTTCAGCACTCTAGCTAGATCTCTTCTAGTACTACTCGACGCACTCGCATTACCTGCA